CGCAACGCAGGCCGCGTTTATCTTGTATGCCACTCTGGAACGCGTTATGACGCGTGTATAAAAGACTGACACGTGCGGTTCTTTTGGTTTACGAAGGAAGACGCTATCACTTTTTGTTAAGCGCAACGCAGGCCGCGTTTATCTTGTATGCCACTCTGGAACGCGTTACGACGCGTGTATAAAAAGCCGGCGCAGTGCGCCACTGGGGGTCTTTTTTTTTTTTTTTTTTCTGTCGGCCGACGACTGTTCACGCCGCTGTTGCTGTGAGTTGTGTTTGGCCCTGTTTTGCTGGGCACAAGTTCGCCCAATAAACAGTTCGCCTGACACCGCCCTGATTCCTGCGTGCTTCCTCTCAAGTGCTGCGTGTATCACAACCTCGTGACAATATGATTTTGAGAAATAGACCAGGTGTGTGAAGGATGGATGACCCGGTGCCAAGTATCTATGTCAAACAAGGGGACCAGACCATCAGAAAACAGGAGATACAGAACAGTCCCAATAACACGGAGATCAGAGAGAGAAGTGAAAGACAGGCGGAGGGCAAGGTGTTAATTTTTTACTGGTTAGGCGTATCCTAAGAGGACGTCTCATAAGAGCAAAGAAAGAATAGAACCCTGAGATATGCCACAAACAGAACCCAAGAAGAGAAGGGTATAGAGATTAAGTAGTGTATGAAGCTAGTAAAAAGTTGGCATTCATGAAGTTTTGGAAAAATGGAGATCTGATTAGACAAGTGATGGTGCCAGCATGGCATAGGCAGAGTACCTTGGAACATCACCATGGTAATGGGTTTAGAGATTGACGAACTCCTCAGCACATGTACGCAGTGCTGCACATGGGAAACACATAGGCAGAAATGGCCGACGCGCCATGCCGACGCACGTAAAGGGCGGCCATTTTGGAAATGTCGATGGCAATAGAATGACCGTATTCATTTTTTTTCATACTCGATTCTAACGCGCATGCGATTTATGAACTCGCTTAACCGGAAAAAAGGTGCGCGTTAGATTCGAGTAATTACGGTATGTTAACTATGTCTGTGTGGTTCTGAGGTGTTGGTGCAGTGAATTGCGATAGTGTGATGGCGACAAGTGGAAGTGTGTATGATGGTGGTGGTGTTGCAAAGGCAAGGTTAGCCTGGTCTAAAAGGCCGGCAAATGTTCCACCTGAGCATCTGTTCAATTAAAGGGGTCAGTCACAAAATGTACCTAAGCCCAGCCTCTCGCAGGAAAGTCATCAGGATATGTTGCACGCTCTTCCTCGTCGTCGTGGGTCTTTCAGAAAAATGACATCTTCCAATGGCCCGTGCTTGTGACAACCTTTCTGGAAGCTGCCCAGCTTTGAATTACCAAGCCGGCATGTATGCGGAGTTGGTTCTTATCTGATAAAGCAGCGTCGCTTGTTCTCTCAAAAGTCCGTTGATAACGCATGACTGATGCAAAAACTTGTGGATCGCCCAGAAGTGATTACGTATAACATCCTTGTTGTTCTGGTAATTTTTAAGAGCTCTTATTTTTGGAATGCGAATTTGCACTTCGTGTGCAAGGGCATCAGCTTTTTCATTGCCTTCAATTCAAATGTGGGATGGTATCCATTGGAATTGTACATTGTGAAGTTCTTGCCGATCAGGTGTTTAATGAGTGCCAGAGATTGTCTTGTGAATTTTTCTCAAGGTATCCCTCTATGCAGTCGCTGCAAGGCCGACTGTGAATCACTCAGCACTACCACATCTCATGCAGAAAGCGTTTGCAATTTCTGGAAAGCCGCAGTGATTTCTGCGCTTTTTACTGCAGTAGACGACACAACACGATCCAGGCGGCCCGACCATGACACGCCCAGGGAGGGTATGCAGAAAGCCGCTGCGCAGCTATCCGTCTATGTGCACACCGATCCATCACTGTAAACTTGTACGTGACCACGGTACGTGGTGCTCAAATGGTCCAACACCAGAAACTATGCTTCCTCAGTTGGAACAGTTGAACAAGCTGACAAGCCAGCCCATTTACGAAGGATTGCAAGTCACAAGACGTCACTGGTTAGAACTCGGAAGCAATAGGGAAGAAATTAGCAGTTCTTCTAAGACAAAACTCTTGAAATGTGGAGCGAATGTCATGAGTAGAAGGGTGCAAGGCACGTGCTGGGCACTAGAATGCGGCACCCATGGTGTGCATTTGTGCCACGTTCACATACGAGATGGGACAGAATACTCATCGCACGCGACCTGAGCCATAATAAGAATCCCAAAAGATGAGCTGTCACTGTGCTCTGAAGCTTCAAACTGCAAAGGTCAGGAAGGTCAGCGTCGCTACAGCGACGAAAGTAAAGTCGCTCGGTTCTGAAGGATGTCGGCGTAAGAGGCCCGGGAAGTGGTCGTTGACCTCGGTGGTCACGAGTGAGGCTGCCCGATTTTGCCGCAACCTTGCACAGCAGTTCCTGGGAGGATTCAGATCTTCCACTTCGAGCCAAAACTAATGTGGCCCACACCAGTCATCAAAGTGCGTCATCGATGAGGCCATGAACAAGTTGGGTTTGACCAAGCAGGCCGAAGATGATGAATAAGACCAGGACACCGGCAATGAAGACGAGTGGATCGTCATGAGGACGCGTGCCGCCGCCGATGACAGTGAGGCGGTACCACTTCGTCGTAGTTCCGAAAGTGGCATCTGACCAGAAAGAATGTTCTACTTTTGCGAAAGCGCATAAGAGCAGCCACTGAGACGCCATCTTGGCTAGAAACAGATTAGGACTAAGGATCAAACTCGTCTTGGATTGAAGTTAGTTACAGCTTCTTTGTATAGCCAATTATTGTGTCCATGTCTCTTTTAAGGAGTGAATTTTGAGTGTCGGATTGTGTTACAAGCTGCCACTCTAGCGTCGCCAGCGCGAAGTCGGCGACGGGAATGACAGCAGGTTGGTTCGTTCCGTACGCAAGCAGAGACAGTGAAGAGATCAGAGACGTGAGAAAACAAAACAAACTTTACTCTAGTGATGTTGCAGCACACGGGACCTAATACAACACTTCAATACAACTAACAAAATACATCGACACTTGATACAACTAAAGAAATATATAACAGAAACAATAAATCAGCTTACGCGAGAGAACTATTACAAACTACACAAACTAACACTACAGAGGAGAAAGTTCGAAGATATAAACAGGTGAAGGCATACGTGTGATGACCGGCAGCGTTGTGTCCCCGACGATCGGATGCGAGAAGTCGAAGAGAGTTCTGGCACGACTGCGATGTCGGCGGTGTTGCAACGCTGGTGGCTCCGGGAGGCTAGTGCTTGCAGGTGACTTCGAGCAGGTTGAGCTAACTCAAGGCGAAGTCCCGATGTCTACGTTGCAGACGTTAATCTCGCGTCACAACTAGACCAACGGCTAAGTTTAGGTGGCCAGCCGATACAGAGCCACACTAAAAACTTCTAGAAGAGATGCTTGTTGATCTGTTTCTACACCATCTTGGTCAGCGACTAGTCTGCCTAGCAGGGCAAAATCCTGCGCTTAAATCCCCCTCGTGTCTCCTCGCTCTCTTCCTTGGGGACAAGAGACCTCTACATAGGTCCAATCATGTGCGTTTAATTGATGGAAACTCCGCCCCAAAAATATTTTGACCCCATCCCTTTTTAATTGGGAGAGGGCCCGCATTAGCGAGAGTGACAACCTGTCGGGTTGTTGTCATACGGCTTGGCCACCAGAGCGTTTCCCACGCTTTTCCCCGTGGGAACGGTCAACCATTTAGCTCTCAGCCGGGCGTCTCGTAGTCTAATCCTTGTTCGGGGTATACCGCGGCCTTCTACGACCTTGCAGACGTCGCCACAGTTACAAAAGGATTAACTGTCGGCGGCGACGTTTTAAGAAAAGCACCCCATTTTGCACTTCTCGGATCCCTTTCATGCGCCGCCGTTTCTCACGGTCAGTCGAAGAGTACGGCGCCCGTTAATTGCCGTGACGCGGTGTCGACAAAAATGGCCGTCCGTGACAGATTGTTTGCTGTTTTGTTTAATATTAAAATGGGTTTACTGCCGACTCGTGTCTCTCTCTGAACTCCATCCACTGCAAGGGCTCCCAAGATGAATCGTGACACAGATGAGCTTGTATACTAGTACATAAAATGACTCCTTGTACAGTAGACTCCTATTAAACGAAACTCTCTTAAATGAAATTGATGCTTAAAAAGAACTGCCCCTAATACGTTTGGTTTCGTATTTGAATATTATACCCCTATTTATCTCTCAGTAAACGAAACTCCTCTTAAAGAAAACACATTTTCCTAATCCCTTCAGGTTTCGTTAAAAGGTGTCTACTGTACATTCTTTTCCGAAGTGTAACCCTACCTCAGACCCTAATGCCTTCTTAGAGACCGCGAGATAACCTGAAATTTAAGAAATTGGCCATGTATCTCAAGGTTGCCCTGAAAAAGACGTCGAAAAACGATAGTCTCCTGTTTACAGGCGCAGCATTCGAGAGTATCAAAGTCCTCCTCGCCCACCCGTCTCACCTACATATAAGCAGGCGAGGATGACGTCGAGGTAATCTACGCTTGTGGGATATGGGTGCCGTCTGGCAGTGATGTGTAGAGAACAAAAGTATTTTAGAATGCAGAGCAACTGGTAGGTGGCAGCACCATGTCGTTATAGCGAAGCATAGGAAACACTCGTTTTTTCATTTGTAGCATTGCACTGTCAGCATAGCATATTGTAGCACTGGGGTATTTAGAATTTCGTATACATGCATTTTCTAAATAAACACACTACTTAAAAATCACATATTACTTGTGCCTCAAATATGCATACTATTCGTTTTTAATTGACAATGTGCATAAGTATGAACGCAGCCACTAGAACAAGATGGGTGGGCATTGAGCAAGGGATTAAATTTTCGCCACACAGCTGAATCAATTGGCAGATATACAAACCGAAAGACAGGCAGACTGAAATTTCTGCGTTAAAGTATCCCAAGAAAGACTATCATCATTAAAAAGTGGCTAACTTACGAGGGCAGTGTAGAATGCAGCCTGTGCGCTGGTCAATTGGGACAGCATTTCTGCGGCCTCGTCCAGACATCCGGCATTCATAGCACGAACAGCCAGGAACATCTTGGCCTCCTGCTTGAGGGCTCTCGTTTCCTGTGGACCACTCAACGTTACAGCGCCGGCCGGCATACTAAACAGCCGGCGTGACGCTGACAATGGGCTACTGGGGCTGCCGGACTTTTCCAGCATAGAGACGACAACTTCCCAATAGTGTGCCGCACGGTCTTCTAGAGCCTTAGACTCTTCCTCCAGGCCATCAGCCCGCATGAACGATGACTGCATATCAGAAACACGAGCACGCCATTTATTCGTTTTATTTAAAGATACTTCAGTCTAAATTGGATTATGATAAAGTGACACTTAGCAAAGGTTTATTAAGGCAATAAAGAAGAAAAAGTGAACCATCTAGATGCCCTTTATGAGCTGGCCGGAATCGCAAATTTGAGGTATTACAGAAGTGTGAATTTAACTAGTCATTTGTAACTGTTATAAGAGTGTACCCAAATGCACTACCTTGAAAGGTTAGGGATCATGTGAATGCTCCAAAATCAAGTACAGTCGACTCTCATCAATTCAAACTCAAGGGACCTCTAAATTTTATTTGAATTATCAAGAAGTTTGAATAATCAGTTCTCAGATATATAGCTCTGGGCAAGGTGTCACTTTGATTTTGTCACATTTAAATTTTTTTAAGCACTTTAAAACTCTAACTGCACCCAATGAACACAAAGCACAAATGTAAGGTCCACAAGTTTATTGGCCACTTATTACTGATCAGACCTTTAGAAGAAATCGTGATTTGCTGCCCGCTTCTTTGCTAATGTGCCTTAAGCACAAAGCTCTCTATACCCGTTGAGAAGCATCACAGTTTATTATGCGTGTACTTCGTTTCAAACATTTGTTTACTAGCAGGTCCTTTTCCCTTGAAGGTCTCACGTGCTTATTTTTAATTTTCAGACTGTTAGGATTATATAACTACACAAATTTTTAAATAGTAGTAGGAAAGCAGGTAATATTTTCCGGTATGGAACCGCAACAAGTATAATTTTATTGAATGATGGAGCTTAAATTAAGAGGCTTTTAAATACTTCGAAAGAATAGAAGGCCAACCAAAAAATTGAATTTTGTCTGAATTAACCTAAAGTATGAATTATCAATTTGAATTATTGCGAGTCTACTGTATTATTATCTGCATTCAGTAGTACCGTACTTATTCAAATATAGGCCGACCTTCTTTTCCCCCCAAAGTGTTGTTCATAACCAGCTATTGAACTATAATTGTGACGAAAGAGGCTCGACCTATATTCACAATCAAACCAACCAAAAGCACCAAGCTTATGGCGTTCAACTGCCGCGCTCGCTGTTTTTAAAGCGGTCACTGCTGCATACGCACATTATAGTATACCATTATAGTATACCCCCCTCCTTTCCGACTACCTAATTGAGACGAAAGTTATTGATGCAATAGCCGCGTACCGCCTTCTCAAAGCCCCTTCGAAATGCAGCCGTCTGCCATATTGGTGATGAAATCATGACTTCCCTAGGTATAGGCCATGAAGTCCCTAACCCGCTAGACATGCTTCAGGTACTGCCTCCCGGCGCACACCTCCACTGGCACTCGCCTGAGGCCTCGCGATTTGTTCGTTGTATGATCGGCAAGACGGGGTGACGGTTTGCATTTGCTTAAGGTGCTGTGCTGTGCACCCTGCTGGACTGCAGAAATTAGAAGCCGTGTTCTTCTTCTAACCACCACCGCCTGCTTTTGCGTGATTACGACAATGTCATGTTGGCAGAGCTAGACAGGTGACTTCAAATGCCAAGTGACACTTTTTGCAGAGGACTCGAGCAATTGTGCCGCACAGCGAGGGTTCAGTGTAAATGAGAAGTTGATTAGGGGATGGCGAAAGCAGCGGGAATGTCTGTCTGCGTGCAAGGGACAACGGTGTGCTTTTCGCGGCTTAACAATAGGCAGAGAGGACAACGTCGTTTAGAAAGCCGCAAATGCTTGCGAAGCATTCGATGACGACAATGTTTTGCACATTTGACCAGATGACGGCCCCGGCAGCAATTAGGGAGCTAAGTTGTGTAAATAAAGGTGTGCTACGTTTAATCTTTCCGTTGACAAACATGAGACAAAACATGAGACAACCTATATTCGAATATTTTTATTTTCTCGTTGAACAATATAAAACAGGTCGACTTATATTCATGCCCGACCTATTTTCGAGTAAATACGGTACAGTAAAAGCTCGTTAATTCGACACCCGTTAATTCGGAAATTCGGATGGCTCTATTGGTCCCGGCCAAAGTGCATGTTAATCTATGGGACCAAACCTTCGTTATTTCGTCGGAATTCGGCTCCGCACCGCTTAATTCGGACAAATGCTGACGGCTGCTGCTACACAAAAGTGTGATAAAGCAGCGCTGGCACCACTGGAGTGAAACCGAAACCCGAGTGGCATCGCCATCATCATCAACTAGTGGGGGCGATCGCAGCGTCACCGAACGTCGGCGTCTTGTTTCTTCTCCACTCAGCGCCTCCGACGCCATTCTCCCTTGTGTTGTCGTGTCGGAACCATCTCTTCTTGCGGAGTTCTTTTTTTCTTCCATTGTGACCGTATTTGTATGCCACCACCATAGTGCGCTACAGTGATGGCAACGCCGAAAAAGCGGCAGAACTACGACGCGAAGAACTTGGCGACTAAAGAGGAAATTTTGGAAGCACTGAAGAACGGCGAATCGCGAGAGCAGGTTATGACCAAGTACAACGTTAAGCGGAGCACGTTGGGAACGTACGTGAAAAATGAACAACAGATTCGACAAGCCTTCGAAAGCGAGAAGTTTCATGCCTCTAGAAAGCGGTTGCGAACCGCAGCTCATCCCCAGCTCGAAGAAGCTTTGCTCCGGTGGATTACTGACTGTCGCAACGCGCATCTGCCTTTGAGCGGACCTCTCATCATGGCGCAAGGTGAGAAGTACGCTGCAATGATGAACATTGAATCGTTCAAAGCGTCAGAAGGGTGGTTTGCGAGGTTTCGAGAGAGGCACGAACTTGTCTTCAGGAGTGTGTGCGGCGAAAAGGCCAGTGTTGACGAAAGCGTGACCACCGAGTGGAGAAATGTGAAGCTGCTGGAGCACATCGCCGCATATGAACCACGTGACATGTTCAATGCAGATGAAACTGCTCTATTTTTCAGAGCTCTGCCCGACAAGACGGTGACTTTCAAAGGGGACGCGTGCATTGGTGGCAAGAAGTGCAAGCAAAGGATAACTGTGCTTCTTGCCGCCAATATGACTGGCACGAAGCGCTTGCCACTACTTGTCGTCGGGAAGGCGCTTAAGCCATGTTGTTTTAAGAACGTCAAAAGCCTTCCTGTCGAGTACACAGCGAGCAGGAAGGCATGGATGACATCGGACATTTTTCGCGGCGGGCTGCAGCAGTTGTACCGGCACTTCACGTCGAAGGACCGCAAGATAATTATGGTTGTTGACAACTGCAGTGCCCATAACTGTACAGTCGAACTGAAGAGCATCAAAGTAGTTTTTTTTTTGCCGCCCAACACTACGTCTGCTCTTCAGCCAATGGACCAGGGTATCATTTACGTGAAGTCAAAGTACCGCAAGCACCTGCTAGAGCGAATGATCCTATGCTCAGAAGCTGGAAAGTTGTATCAAGTGGACTTACTCGGCGCAGTGCACATCATCGCCCACGTGTGGAAAAACACTCCGCCGCAAGTCATCGCCAACTGTTTTCGGCACAGCGGTTTTGGGAGGCCCGAGCATGCAGCAGTAGCTAACGATAGCATCAAAGAGGTGTCAGCCGAGTCCACCGACGATGACTGCCCGACTTTCGATGCTGTCCTTCCCACAGATGTGACTTTTAAGGACTACATAGCGATTGATCATGGTGTCGCCACAATGGTCTCCTGACCGATCAAGAGATTATTAATGATGTCACGGGCGCCCATGAAGACCACGATTCCGACGAAGAATCATGCGAAGAGATACAGCCGCGACCTCATCGCACCTCACGGGAAGTCTCGGAGGCGCTGTTAATATTAGAGGACGCTTGCCTGAACACTCCCGACAGCTTGCGTGCTGTTGGCCATTTGGAACAGTTGAGAAAAATTGTGATGTCAGTTGGAATCTGCGCGAAAACGCAGACAACAATTACATAATAGTTCAACAAATAAAGGTATGCTTCTGCAGCTTGATTTTAAATGTTTTCCCTGTTCATTCGTTAATTCGGCATTCGGTTAATTCGGACAGTTTTTACGGTCCCATGAAATCCGAATTAACGAGCTTTTACTGTAGTGACATTGTCCCACGTGCTCCTTTCTTTCTATCTAGTACTAGTAGTGATATACAACAGTTAAATGTCACGTTCAACTGCAAGACTTTTGCTGTGTAATTATGCGTTAAAGGGCCTCTCACCAAGCCCCAGAACAAATTCTAATTAGATGCTGGTAGTTGTTGGGTGTTCGAAAAAGAGCATTATGCCTACAGGGTTTTTTTTCAATCGGTTCATTACGAGCTGTGAAAATCAGTGAAACCACGAAGCACAAAACCCTTGCCACTCGCCCCACGAAGCCTTCCCAAGCCTAATCTCTTCCCTATCCTCTCTGGCATTCGAGCAAACGGTCACATGCGCATGACATCCCCTAGCAAGCCCAAACCCCGAGCACACCAGCGGCGTTGTTTTGTTGACCAGCGTTATATCGAGGTCTACTGCCTTTTTTTGCGGCACGGATGCCTTGGTGTGTGCTCATTTGTAAACGCTGGCTTAGACATGGTAGAATAGATAAGCATATTGAGTGCTCCAATGCGCAGGATCGTTGATTTCATTTCCAGGGCTGGTGTCTACTTGGTGCGCTAACCCCGCAGACACGAACGCATGCGTAACACAGGCACATTAGCCCCGCATCTCGTTGCAATTCACAGAGGGGAAAAAACAAAAACAAAAAAAGATGCACAGATACCCCTTTTGTGTCATTATTTATCTCAAGTTTTATGCATGTACTCAAACTTAAAAAATACACACACTACACGTCCTGTGAAATAATTTTCACCATGTCAAGTGCCAGCCAGCCCCAGCCCCCCCCCCCCCCCCCCCGCAACCGACCAAGAGGTTACGCGCGCATGACATGCCCGAACAAGCCCAGCCCCCGAACACGCGAGTGGCATTGTTTTGTTGATCAGCGATATTTTGTGGTCTACTGCCTCTTTCTGCGATATGGTTGGTAAACGCTGTTTTAGACGCGTTAGAATAGATGAGCACAATAAGTGCGCGAACGCGTATGAGTGTTACTTTCTTTTCTACGGCTGTCGTCTGCTCGATACGCTTACTCGCGCGTGCGAAACACGGGCACATTAGCCTTCATCTCGTTGAAATTCACGGGAAGAAATGGAAAGGAGACATGCACATTCCCTTATTGCGTCTCATTATTTATCTCAAGTTTTTGAATATCTTAAAGAAACAAATTACATAAACTACGCATGTCGTGTTAAATAATTTTCGCCATGCCACATGCCCCTGTTGGCAACGTCAGAGCACTGATGTCTATGTAGAGGACCAACTTCACAGCACTACCATCTACGTAGGGCTAATCCTATGTTTACGTCGTGCCCTCATTATCTGGGCACGCGCCCGCAAAAGGAAGGGCAAGAAGTGTTCATATTGAAATTTGACCCACCTCCGTGGCGCTTAGGGCTGCAAATGTTCGCAAACGTGATCGGTAACACCCCCTGTATACATTGCGCTCATCAGCTCAAAATTGTCAAACCTGGTGAGAGGATCTTCAGTAATACCGTATTTACTCGCGTAATTAACACACTTTCTTTCTCGAAAATCAGAGCAAAGATGAGGGTGCATTTATTATGCAGGGAAAATTTCATGAAAGCTTTTTCGGTATGAGCAAGAAAATGCGGTAATGCAAAAAAAAAGTTAGGTTGCTCAGCTTCTTTGTGGCACTTCACTGATCTTCAAAGATTGAAGGCGCTATCTTCTGCAAGCTGTTCCTTCGCTGCCCGTGCACGTCATAAAAGGGTTTCACGGCTATCTTTTCTTGCGATCATTTAACCGCAACAGTATTATATGCTGTGATCCTGCGGGGCGCCTAGAAGCGTGCGCTACGACGCCACGACGCACTTATTAACCAACTTGTTGGCAACCTCGAGCGATGAATGTGCCACCGCCGTTGATATTGTAGCAAGCAACCAACATTGCAGCAAGCTACCATCGAAGCATCAAAGCAAACCACTGATAACAAGATTAACAACAAAATACGGCGGCCGCCTCGCTTGCAACCAAAGCGAGAATCGGGGACCATGTTGCGGAAATAGTCACAATCTTTTCTGGACGACAAGCGATTTCTTTCTCGTTTTCCAGAAACCTGCGACGCTATGACAACGAATGGCCTTTCGCTACAGTTATAGTGAGAGCAAATCCTGTCATCGCTCGAAAATTGCGTGCATGTGATTGGGAAGTTTCGTAATTGCAGGAAGTGATCGTCGGTTGGCGGTAAAAACGAAAGAGATGTAACAGGCAAGGAGGCGCCAGGTGTTGGTTAGCGGGAATGCAGCGTACGAATGTAAGGGGTGCGTTTATTAGGAATGCACCTATTACGCGAGTAAATGCGGCATTTCAATGCAAACATAAAACCTGCAAAGCTTCCGATTGGTCACTACAAACCTCCCACTTTTTACAAGCAAACGAAACATTTCCGTGCAACATAGAGCCAGTGTTACACAGTGCATTTCAGGTTTTCAGAACACAATGTTGTGAGACATACCCTGTCAGCAAATGTCCTAGCCAAACGAACAACCAGAGCAAGGTCCATGCCATGGTTTCCAATTCCACGAATTACTTCAAGTCCTCTCTGTAGAAGGCGCCTGTAGTCGGCCATTTTGTCCCTGGGCAAAAAAGATTTAAAATTTAAAGAAATTCAAAAAATACAAAAAGAACGCACATCAGCAGAACACATTTACCCATTTCTAATGGGTGCATTTTTCAAATTCCAGTGCGAATTGAATCGAATAGCAAACACTATTAGAAAAATATTGAAAATAGTTCGAATATTCGCCCACTCCTACACGTAATGTCACAGGGGAATGCAATTTTGGCTACAACCGTGCTCACCTGGCAGTGCTGACGTGTAGACGGTAGGCAGCATTCCACCACTCAGCTTGAGCAACCGTACAGAGCTGCACACCCACGTGAGGAGGAAGGGCCAAGGGCCCCTGCGAGGGGCGCATAGCCTTTCGGCCCAGTGACTGAGCTGCGCAGTACCGGGTCGCCTCCAGGAACGCCAATGTATCCATTTGGCTCAATGTCTCCACTGCACCGGAGTTAAATGCATGAGGCTCTCGCTGTAGCCGCTCGAACACTCGCACCTGGAAGGACAATGGGCACAGCAACATGGCAGAGGTCAAACGCACATTCCAAACAATTCCAATGCTTCTGTGAATTGGTTGGCTTTAAGATACTCACCTCAAAGAAGTGCTCAGTGCCTTTCGATGTCTTGTCTTGTACAGAACTCCAATGCAGGGCCAGCCAGACGAGGTGGTTAAGAGATGAAGGGTGCAGCCACTGAGACTCTACACAAGCATTTATAGCAAAGTTTAATAACAGTGCCCAACAAATCAAAAACAGAAATGCAAGTTGTCCTATTCCAACCATCATTTACTTCTGTTTGTTTTAACCATGGTTTTTCAAGTACAGTGATGGAAGTGACTTTTTACTTTTTGAAGCAGAAAAAGTACTCTTTTGAAGCAGTTATAAGTGCTTTCTGAGCAGAAAAAAATGCTAGTTTAGAGCAGCTATTGGAGTTTAGGTGCAGATGTTTAATTTGCCATACACTAATAGGAGTACAAAACATTGTCGAAGCATCTCGTAAATATTAATTCTTACGAGATGTATATAACAGCCAACAATGTAAATTTCATGAAGAAAACAATGGCAGGTTATAAAAAATATTGCGAAAAATAACTGACCATGAGCACAAATATGCATGTCTTCACATATATCCGTACAAATACGCATATAAATATCTCATTAAGCAACAATATACAAAATTTTGTAAGAAATTTAAGAGGTCCAGGACTGGACCAGGATGAGTAAATGCGTAGGACAGATAACTGGAAGTCACTGAGAGCTTTGGTATACCAGTTATAAATTATACCAGGAGATGAAAAACACAGCCGAGGGAGGCAGAAAGTTAGGCGAGGTGATACAATAAAGTTTGCAGACATAAAAATAGGCTTGCAAAAGAAATAGCTTGCACAGGACAAGGCGAATTGGAGATCACCAGGAGAGGCCTTGGACGTGCAGTATACTATATAAACTTGGCTGATACTAGTGATGACGAACAAAGGCACAAATGTGTGTGCAAAACAGAGTTCAAGGTGCTTTCTTTTCTATTTTTCACACGGACAAAATCGGCAATATGAACTACGAGCTCGGAAATACTATAATTTCAAGATTTTTGGTGAACAGATATTAAAGTGCAAATGTGATATTCTATATATAACTTCTTTCTTTGAGAGTTGCCAGTCTCTCTCCCAACTTCTTGAAGGGATTCGGTACAAACATTCACAAGTGCAATGCACAATGCATATTTTCAAGGTCCTTTCAATCAGCCCACCACACTGGAATCAACACAATTTTATTCCCACCTTGATCATGCTCCTGAAGGGCCGCAATGGTCGGAAACTCAAAGGCACATTTGACAAGGGTTGGGTCATGGAGAAACCATGATGCGGTGCCTTCTCCATCAAAAAGGCTCTTGTAGATTTTCTTTCGCACCTAATGAAAAAGAAAAAAAAGGCATCAAACTCATTTCCCTATACATCAATTACCTTAGACAAAAGTCTGAATGTTGACAATGCATGTGGCGAATGCAAGTGATATACACCTGCTACGACACTATCTTAACGAAACCATGCAATTATGTTGTTGATTTCTCTCTATTTTCCTACATATTAGGAAGCGTGCATACAGAAATCATGCAAGCTGACAAGGGTGACAAGCAACTATATTGTTTTTTTCTCAGAGCCATGTGTACATGAGACCAAAGACAACTGGAAAACTTTGCATAATATACTTGACTCTGCTTTTTGCAGTGACGGGATCGCTTCTATCTGATTAGCCACATAAATTGATTCTTGCAAACTAAATGACATTTTAAAAGTGCTCAGTTAAATGTAGAAACTTTTTTATAATGACAAATGCTTCAAAGCCATAGGCATGTTGGCTATTTTCATTCGGGAAAACTATAAAAGCTATCCATCATTAGCACGGCTCGAGCAAAGCTGGCTTTGGCACACAATATGCTAATGAAGTGCCTATAATAGCGCTTCTTGAAGACAAGGTGCACCAATCACTTCTTTTGCACTAGACATGTGCAGGTTCGAAATTTCCAGTAGCCTAAAATTTGAATTCCCGAGCTTCCACAGCAGTGCTTTAGCCTTTTATATTCATTATGATGAAGTGCACAGGCAGGAAAACACACAAAAATTTGTGTAATGAGAGACCTGGCCCACAGGTAAGCATCAACATACAAAGGGTGACCAACCTCAGGTGTGCATGCTTCTTGCTTGAGATCAGACAGCCAACGAGACTTGCTTTCCACTTCACAGAGAACATGCACAATGTGACCTGTGCGTAAGAGAGGAAATGTTCTCGTACCTGTAACCCTTAAAGTAGGTCCTTTTCTTTCAGCTGTTGTCTTATACCCATTAAAATAGTAGTAGCCTAAACAGCTTCGGGAATTGGCAATAAAAGAATTACAAAACACAAGGGCTGGTATATCACATACTGGTCTTGAAAGATTATCTGAAAATTTCCAGCCACGAGTGTAGTCAGAATCCTGGCTGTCCGTTCAATACTTTACCTCGACTCAACACATTGCCTTGGCTTCATTGAATAGCTATAAAAGCACACTTTCGATTCTTCAGCCTCTGTTACCCTCAACTGTACAACTGACGTCTTAAGTCAACCAATGACAGGTCTGTCATAAACAAAACATGACGACACAGCGATGTTTGCTGAGTCATATTTGACCAAGATTCATAACATCTTACCGAACGTTGTTTCCACTTAGACAAGTTGTACGGCACTGTGTGACGACACACACATACACACTGTTGGCATAGTGAGAACTGAAATACCCGAAACTTGCCACAAAACAAACTAACACATCCAGTGAGAAAAAATTGTGGACCATATCCCCGAAGAGAACCATGATAGAATGCAAAGAAGCAGCGGTGCGCACGCCTTTACTCGAGTAAATATTTCTTTGAAACAAAAAGACACAGGAGGCAGGTTGGGTTTCGTGTAAGTTTTATCACAGATAAACGAGCCGAAAGAGTGTTTCCACTCGATGTGCGGCCGAGCGTTGCGGGCGGTGGAGAGGGTGAAGAAGTGAGTTGCGAGCAAGTGGAGAAGCAACAACACCTAGGCGTGTTGTTGGAGGAGCCGGCAGCTGCTGCAAGTGAGGGAGGGAGTGATGTTATTGCGTAGCTGCGACTTCACCTGCTTGTCATCGTTCCAACAACTGCGACGGGGGGAACGCAGTGTGGCGCGTTGGCACGGATACACAGAAGGACAGTGTTACACGAGCTAGTCAAAGAGCTGCTTCGTATCTAAAAAACTGGGACGCTAGACCGAGCGAGCAAAGGCAACCGGGAAGGTGAAAATGCATACGTGATGGGGCCCAGATGTACTTAAAAGCGGAACTGCCCAGTCTATGCACTTGCTGTACTTGCACAGTATACAACTCACGAAAATTACTGTGCTATCATTTTCTTTTCCTATAAATCTATAATTTTAGAGAGGAAAAAAAAAAGAAGCTAGAACTGTGTTAGTAGCTACTCTTAGCATGACATCATATTGACGTCACACATCAGTGCCCATGGCAGCAAGCAGCGCCGCATGGTCATTAAGGAGCCCAAAAGCTGACAATTTCAAAAGGGTGTCAATAATTATTCACTGATTACTACGCCAGAATATTTCGGAATTGGTAAGTAATTTTTATTGAAGCAGCGAAAGTCAGAACCAGGCGAGTTTTTTCGTGTTTTTTTTTTTTTTTTTTTTTTTTTTTTGCCGTGACTCCCGTAAACCTTCTGAAACAGTTCTAATGATAGGAAATACAGTTGAACGTGCCTATATAGAACCCGCGTATTAAAAATTATTGTGTGTATCACAGAGTTGTAAGATCTCCTCAAAAATATTTGCAATAGTATATAAATATTTTACACATCAAATTATATAATTATATAAAACGATACTATGATCCCGTTCGGATTTGAAGTTTGTAACTGCGCTTCAGAGTACAACTAGGAAACCAATTTCTATCACAGCAAAGTTTATCTGTTGCAAAATAATAATAAGACGACCTCCGTGGTAGTGCTATAGCTGACACAAGCACTTTCTTGTCAGCTGCATTGGAAAAAAAAAAAAAAAAAAAGACGTACAACTTAACAGTCTCCTTCCCCACGCACAACTGGGACCAATCAAATGACGTAGCTAATGCAATGGCGTGAAATGAAAGAAGCAGATGCCAACCTTGGCTGCAGAGATGCATGCCATGCGACGCTGACTAAGAAATAGCTGAAAAGCAAGCTCACAAATCCATTCATATAAAGCAATGGCACTTGCCACTTGTATTCTCTAATATCCTCAACAGTCCACATGAATGCTGCATGGAATCATTCTTACATTTTTTTGCAAAACTTCAGCCAATTTAAAAGGCTCTCACACATAGAAACACAGGGGAGCTCCGTGTACACACACACAATATATACAACACAAACAAGCAGCTGAAGTTCAGCTGCAAAAATACATAAACACTACATTTTTCACTTTGTCCTAACAACAACACAGAGAAAATTGCCACAGTACTTTTTGTTTTTGCTACAAAATTAGGAGCCACAAATGTTTCGGGAAATTTCAAATACCGTGCGGCCAGGGGACTACTTGCTTTCAAATTTGACACTGGCTCTCAATTTTCAGTCTACTATCTTTTACAATGACCGCACTCTGCTAGTTTGAACAAAACAAATTCATCTTGCATTACTTACAGTGAAGTAAAAAATAATACTAAGACACTAAGACAGCTTCATACATGACATTCACATGGTATATTGGCCTCCAGGCCATTGAGTGACAATGCAGTGTGACAAGAGCAAGGCCCTTTGCAGTCAGTTATGACAGGGTACTGACAATGAAGAATTACAATCGAGCCCGCTTATAACGAACCTGAGCCTGACGCGGCATCCATTCGTTGTATACCAAAGTTCGTAGTAAATGAAACACAGTTTTTAAAAAAGTTACGAGTGAAAACACAAACTTTTTTGCCCAAAAAACTCTGTGATGCATGTGTTTTGAAAAGCAGAAGCAATAAGGGCGGTCTCGAGTTTATTTCAAACGCCAGCGTGCTCGTTCACCGAGGCCTGTGGCATAAGCTGCATGAGGCCCGTGGCATAAGCTGCATGAGGCCCTGGCTCCAAAGTTTCGTCGTTCTCGCAATCCTATTCCTCCAAATCGCTCTTGCCGCGTACTTCATTCACAGTGCACAATTCCGCAGTATTGGCATCATCATCGGCCGTAATTAAACCATCAATACAGATCTCCCACCCGCTCTCCCATGTCGGATTCGATAACACACTGCCACAAATCACCACTGCTGTGATTCTGTTCGGAAGCTTTAGCCTCGGCATCGGGCTCGATGTCGACGACGAAGTCGGCCTCGCGAAAACAGTTTCACATGCATGTAGCCGTCACTGTCGCCCACGAAATATTCACGATCTCCACAGCTGAATACCGATCGCCCGAAGCGGCAAGTTGGCTGCCAGGTGGTCAACAGCTATAAGCAAGCACTCCGCAACACGGCATCTAAAGCGCGGATCACGCTCAAGCCAAGCGGTGACATTTTCAACGTTTTGTTGAGCAGCAGGAAAAGCGTGCAAGTCCTCCTGTCTGCCATCGTGACCACACACACGCACACCAAGAGCGAGCAAGACGCACACACGCGACGCATATTTCAGAACGCGTGGAACAGCTCTGGGCCCGTTTCTAGTCAGGAAACGAAACTAATTTGAGCCAGCGTGTCTGGCGTTGCGGAGCGGTGGAGACGGGCGAAGGGGTTGTGATCAAGAGAAGAAAGCAGATTTGCGAGAGAAAGGCAAGGAGTTGCGATAGAGTGAAGAGAGGGGAGGACACGACGGGAGGGCAACCTTGAAAACCAAAACACGTGGGAAGCAGGCAAGTCGAATAGCTTGCTTCAAAAGTCTGCGAATCTCTAGCGTAGAAAAACTTGGAAGAGGCCTGCGCGCGCAGAAGTCAAAGCCCGGCAGCCTGGATCAGCGCGCGCGGCGGTGTTCAAAGAATCGGCGGCCGTGGTAAAAAAATAGTTTTGATGCTGCCGGCGGGTTTGCGTGGCCTCACCCACTTCGATATTTCGCGATTAGTTTTCGCGATCCGCACGCATGCAAAAGGCATGCTAAGCTGAGTGCGAAGTGAGCGAGAACAGGTTATAAACACGAAACGAATCGCAATTTATCAAAGTCGGTGGGTAGCGTACGCGCTTGCACTAGACGCATACGATCGGACAGAGTCGGTGGCCGACTATGTCGGTATAGTGTACTAGATTATGGGGTAGTGTGTTAAGGCACCCTCTCTCGCCATGCATCGCGTGAAGCGGCGCACGTGGACAAAAAACAGGTCCTCAAGGCGGCGCTGCCGTAGCATGGGCTGGCAGGATTGTCAGCTTCGCGCTGATCTGCCTTCTCGGGTGCTGTTCAGTGACCTGTTGCTTGTGTTCGCACCCGCTTAGTGAAAGTTCTTCTGGCAATGTTTTTGCTGGCCACATGACAGTGAGGCAATGCCGAGTCATCGGCAACAACGACACTGCTTTGCACTTAGGTGCGAAACAGGGTATACCATTGGAAAAAAGGTGAGCAGCCGTCGCTTTTTGCTGCACCCGAAGACGAAGCACCGAGGAAAGTTTGGGAACAGAATGTACATTGAAAGGATGGAACCTTGAACGAAAGCTGCTCTGTATGTGAGCTACAAGTCGAGCCATGTGTTCTCGGAGACTTCGTGCACGTTATAAACAGCGAAGAAGTTCGCGTACTACGTAGGAGACCAGAGCTAATGCCGGACGCCGTGCCGATGTTACTGCCCAATGCTCCAAGCTACTTATCGAAGAAAGCGCCGCATCCAAGACCTCCGAGAAAGCGGAAGAACTGGGCGGTCGAATCTACGATCTCCAAAAAAACTGCAGCACCCTGTGTTGAGGGTGCGGCCACTGATTCAGGTTCATCAATGGACCTTGCTGCTGTCTACAAACCCGAAGTGGCGAACACTACAGGGAGTGCAGCTTAGCTGGAACGCTTACTCAATTTTTGTTTACCTTCAATTTATATGAGCTCAATCGCACCACATCTCGTGTCAGAGAGAGCAGTAATTTACGTGCTGTCACGACTTCATTTTTTCTTGAAGGGTATCAACCAGCCTCTAGAAGCAAAACGGAAAAAAAAAAAAAAAAAGGCTGCGTGCGAAAATCAGTCGATGTTCATAAAGGTGCCCCCGCAATGAAGTAATCGTGAACTGATAATTCCACGGAATGGCGCCGAATTTGATCGGCGTTACTACTCACTGCAGTATGCGCACTCGTGAATAAAGGGTTTCTTCTTACAGTCTGACAGTGGTGCCAAGTGATGTTTCCTTTCGACTGCACAGTGCAATATCCCGGCCAAAGCAGTAGTATTTCGGCGGGCGCGTAATCGTTTAAGGACCCAATATTGTCAAAATTATTCCCAGGTCTTCAGCTACGGCATGCCTCTCAATCAAATGGCAGTTTTGTCACCTTAGCCACATAATTACAATTGCATGATGCAACTATCGACAAGAACGGTGCCGCACGCGTAACGAAAGAAGTCGAAGCTGTTGTACTGTGCAGACTACGACTCGATATAGCAGTAATATAACAAGAAACTTTCGGGTTTATAGATGCTCCTTCGATACCTCAATCTTCCCGATTTTTTCATTCGCTCACCAATCGAGCTTGAAAAACTGCACGCAGTTTCCTCAGGGATGACTGCTTTGCCGTAGTTTGTTAATACCTGCACTCTGACCGTGCGTTGCAGCTTTGACATTTCGTTTTGATTTGAATGCAGTACGATCACACCCATTCAGAAAGCATTTCGCGGACGTGTCAGCAATTAAACACAAGACTATTAAGCGCGACATATGCAAGTTTATGTCACGGGATTGAATTCCGGCTGCAGCGGCTACATTTTCGGCGGAGGCGCAAATACTGAGCTGCGTGTACTAGATTTAGGTGCACGTGAAAGCCCCCCAGGTGGTTGAATTTTCGCCGTCCCTCATAATCATATCGTGGTTTTGGGACGTTAAACCTCTGCTATTACTAATATCAAAGCACTGAAGTGCATAAGGTGACAGCCCATGCGTGAGGTGACAACCCATGCTAATGTGGCGCCATCTCGCGGCTGTCGATTAAAACTGCGGCAGCCCCAGCTCCTCCCTGAACACACTACCCCATATTCTAGTACACTATAATGTTGGCAAATGGTCTGGTCACTCCAGGCCGGCGACGCCAACGACAGTACCAGCGATCAAAAACTAGGGAGATGGCCGACCGGTCTTCGAAAGATTGATGGCAGTGTGAAAACACCGGCCTCGTCTGGCGATGCGGCTTGCCCGGGAAGTCGACAGAGCGCCGAGCCCGTTGGCTGTAAACGATCGGCGGCGCTCGAAAACAGTCGTTCTAAGTGCGATTTTGTGCCATTGAACCAATGCATATTTTCACAGCCATGCGGCTATTGTTCGTTCTAAGAGAAAGCTTGTTTTAAATGGGGCCATTATATGAGGGCTGAAGTGTACTTACTAAAAAAAATCAATTGTGGGCATAATTCCAATCAATTATACCATATATCATCATCATCAGCCTGACTACGTCCACTGCAGGACAAAGGCCTCTTCCATGTTCCGCCAGTTAACTCGGTCCTGTGCTTGCTGCTGCCAATTTATACTTGCAAACTTCTTAATCTCATCTGCCCAGCTAAACTTCTGTCTCCCCCTAACCCGCTTCCCTTCTCTGGGAATCCAGTTAGTTACCCTTTATGACCAGCGGTTATCCTGTCTACATGTTACATGCTTGGCCCATGTCCATTTCCTCTTCTTTATTTCAACTATGATATCCTTAACCCCCGTTTGTTTCCTAATTCACTCTGCTCTCCTCTTGTCTCTTAAGGTTACACTACCATTTTTCTTTCCAATGCTCGGTGCGTCATCCTCAATTTAAGCTGAACTCTCTTTGTAAGTCTCTAGGTTTCTGCTCCGTAGCTAAGTACCGGCAAGATACAGCTGTTATATACCTTCCTTTTGAGGGATAGTGGCAATCTACCTGTCATAATTTGACAGTGCTTGCCAAATGTGCTCCACCCCATTCTTATTCTTCTATTTACTTTAATCTCGTGATTCGGCTCCGCGGTTATTATCTGCCCTAAGTAGACATACTCTTTTACAAATTGAAGTGCACTATTACCTATCTCGAAGCGCTGCTCTCTTCCGAGGTTGTTGTACATTACTTTCGTTTTCTGCAGATTCATTTTAAAACCCACCTTCCTGCTCTCCTCGTATAACTCCGTAATCATGAGTTGCAATTCGTCCCCTGAGTTACTCAGCAATGCAATGTCGTCGGCGAAGCGCAGGTTACTAAGGTACTCTCCATTAACTCTTATCCTTAACTGTTCCCATTATAGCCTTCTGAAAACCTCCTGTAAGCACGCAGTAAATAGCATTGGGGAGATTGTGTCCCCCTGCCTTACACCCTTCTTGATCGGTATTCTGTTGCTTTCTTTATGAAGCAGTATGGCAGCAGTTGATCCCCTGTATATTTCTTCCAGGATGTTTATATGTGCTTCATCGACGCCCTGATTCCGCAGTGTCTGCATGACTGCCGATATTTCTACTGAATCAAACGCCTTCTCGTAATCAATGAAGGCTATGTATAGTGGTTGGCTATATTCTGAGCATTTCTCTATTACCTGATTGATAGTATGAATGCGGTCGATTGTTGAGTAGCCTGTTCGAAATCCTGCTTGTTCCTTTGGTTGACTGAATTCTAATGTTTTCTTTACTCTGTTGGCAATTACCTTTGTAAATAGCTTGTATACTATAGAGAGCAAGCTGATCGGCCTGTAATACCATATATACACGACTGCAGATCGACTTATTTAAATTTTGGAATCCAAAATAGGGGTCTCAACTTACAAAATTGCATTTGCCTTCCAAACTTGGTCTCTAATAGTGACATGAGAAATGGTCATGCAAGAAGCTTCGCTTTGGAAGCGAGAACGCTGAGGGCACACTTACAAGGTCAGCAGGGCCAGGCCATCGAAGTTCGTGCTGAGGAGTTGCTTAATAGTGACATGTGAGGACGTGTAGTAGGACAAGCGACTACATTAACAAATTTTCACTAAGGAATGCGCTCATGTGTTTGCTTGCTGTTACTTCTTGTGCAATAATATAGGCAAGTTGACCTACAGTCAAGATTCAAGTTAATAAACAATCATATAGATACAGTACAGTAGGACTAAGACTTTCTAAAAAAATTATAAGTCTGCACCTACAATTCAGAATTGTGTACATACATAAATACCATGTTTACTTGTGGACACAAGGCCCAAAAGGAATGAAAAGGACACTGCTCCTTTTGTGCCTTGTCTCCGTGCCCTGCTTCACAAGTAAACATGAACTATCACTAACTCGCTCAACCTTCAACATTACTCAATGTTACACAAATGCCAGCAGCAGCTAGCTCCACTGATCCGAGGACGAGAGATTCTGCTAAGTAAGCATCTCAGCCTGACATCGATGGCAGTGATCAAACTGCGGTTTTATAATGGCACCAACCAGAAACTGAGAGCCGGTGGTGAGCCCGTAGAAAGACATGACGATAAAGCCTCTGCCTGGTGGAGTCCAGTGCCAGAAACCAGGACTCCTGGGACAAACCGCTTGGAGGACGCAACGAGTACGCACTCAACAGCATGGCTGCCGCCCAACTGCGAGCTTCTTGCCAGTTGTAGTTTTCCTGCAAGCCAATGGATCAGGTATTCAGGGCTGGAAGTGGGCTTGAGTATTTTGAAGCAGCTCAGGGAGCAGAAATAATGCTGCTTTGGAACAGCATTGGAGCATAAAAGGATGTGTTCCGAAGCAATGCAAGTTGGTTTTGAAGCAAAATTTTCAGTTCAAAATCTTAATTAAACTTTATCATTTCTGGGATATGCCAGAAATTCCAGTGGCTTTGTTTTAGTAATCATTCAAAGCTGATGAACCAGCCTGACTTGTAAAAAAAATAATGCATATATGTGCACGTTGTTCCAGTCATTAAAATATGACAGCTGACAGAGGAATAACCTAGAGAAAACAAGAGATAAGCAATGCTTTCCATAGCTACACTTTACTAGACCACATTGAAAACGAAGACTAGAAATAATTTATTAAAGGTTACCTTGATTCTAAACCCAAGAAGATTATTAAACTGAAAAGATTAAGAAAGATAATGCTCAGGTCATTAAATTACCAGAACCGACATGGAACGACGTAAGAACCGAGAGGAAAATAGAAAAATAAACAGTGCAGTGCATAGTTAAACACACTTCAGAGAATTTTTTACTAAATGCTCACGTTGAAAAAACATAACTGCTAACATGTACAAATTACAGGACAACAAAACTGAAACATCCACTTTTATTGCACAGCAACAATATGGACACTAAGCGGGCTATCGCAATGGCCAGCCGTCTCGCTTCGTATAAAGTCCAAAAAATCGATAGCATTGCCCTGCACATATCATGTTTTACAAACTACTAGAGCGCGCAAGCGCTTGTGACGAGTGCAGCTGAAGCAATGACGAAACTAGTCGGCCATGCCCATTGCACGTAAGGTACATAACTAACATCACTCCGCATGCGATGCCTGCAGTCGATGGCTCCTCAGGCAGAGAGGAAAGACCCCGCCTGTCTCAACAGGTGAAAAAACGCCGGCGGAGGGGGGTGGGAAGGAGAGAGGCTGCGTGCGCTATTAGCGCAGCAATGTGAACTTTGATCATAAGTGGGCACGATTCTAAGCGTGCAAAGGGTTCCCCTTTCAGAGAGGGGGGGACCCCCCTCCATTATGTCATGGTATGGCGCCGACTTTGCGACCCCCCCTCTCCTCTTAGGTGACTAGAAGTGTACATCATAAACCAATTAGACAAGCACATGCCACACACCTTCCAAGCCCTCTTGAGCAGCAATGTGGCCATGTGCAAGTACAGCTGGCCTGTGACATGATGCAGCACGAAGTCCCAGGCTCCACCACGCGTCCACTTCTTCTTATGGGCTTTATCAAGCAAACCATCCAGCCTGCAGAAAAGACGAATTATTGTCTTTTAGTATCGCACACCCAGAAAAACGCACTAAAATGTCGACCAACACAGATGAGTAGTACAAAGCTGCAAGCATTCGCTTAACAGAAATGTGGCTAAAGAAAAAATTAGACCATCTCCCGCTAAAGGGAACTGCGTGTAGATGCGAAACAGCTGGTGCTAAAGCTTACACTGGCGGTGACGTTGACGCTCATCAAGCGAAAGCCAAGTACAGACGCTCTTGAGTGAATTCCGAACACGTGATCCAGTGTCTAAATATACAGGGTTGTCAGTGAAGGGTTGTGCAGTGTGAGCAGTTCGTTTTTTACTAGCAGACGCTGCCAGCGTAAGCCTTGCAAGGCTCTAGAAAGAGGGGGTGGGGAGCGGCAGTTTCGCAAGCATCTCCCTGGGCCAGCACGAGATGCAAGCATGCCGCACGAGACGAGAGACACGAGCAAGCGCAATGGGAGTGTATAGAGAGACAGCGTTACACAGGCTAGTCGTAGAGCTGCTTCACATCTAAAATGCATGACTCTGTTATGTGCTTCCACAGCGAGTGATTGATTGATACGTGGGGTTTGATGTCCCAAAACCACCATATGATTATAAGAGACACTGTAGTGGAGGTCTCCGGAAATTTCGATCACCTAGGGTTCTTTAACGTGCACTCAAATCTGAGCACACGGGCCTGCAACATTTCCGCCACCATCGGAAATGCAGCCGCCGCAGCCGGGATTCGATCCAGTGACCTGCGGGTCAGCAGCAGAGTACCTTAGTCACTAGACCACCGTGGCGAGGTGCTTCTACAGAGAACAGTCTACAAACCACAGCTCTGAGAAGGGCTTCACATTTGGCTAAGTACCTTGTACACTACAAAAGCTATCACTAGCCTAAGCATACAAATATTGCAGACCCTTGCGTTTCAGGCATTCAAGACCCAAACGTTATAGACCCAAAAGGCTTTTCTGCGTAACAACGTAAGATAGCTTGACAAAATATTATATAAATAAATTGACAAATTTATTAGATAAATTGACAAAATACTTGTGCACACTTTTTCCCACATTAAAAAAATGCAGGCATTGTAGTGCTTAAATGCAAACCCTTTGTCTCGGTGTGATTTTGAATTGCATTAGGATGATGAGGATACTGTACTTACTCGAATGTAGCAATTTTTCCTTTTTTTTATAGATTTTTGCTATCTGAAGTCGAACCTCTAGTACAAATACCGTTATTAAAGTTGCCTAAAAAGTGCATACATTCACAAAATTCTAGAAAACAACAGTTTTTGCCATTTCATGATTTATGTAAGCAACATGTGCCAGCCGAATGGCATTTGCATCCACAGCAAGTCAATCACCATGCTCTTTGCTTCCATTCTGTGCAGCAAGCACTTTTTGTTTATTCTTGTGTCGTCGTGTGTGGCGGTGTCAGTGGCTTTGGTTGCCTTCGGATGTTTCGGCTTTCCTTCAGCTCCTATTGTGACGAGAACATGTCATGCTCAACGCCCACTTCATAGATGCGCTAATTTGATGAAGAAATCAGCTGCTGCTAGAAGCCTCGACATCAGTGAGTTGCCCATCTGTGAGTGGCAATGCAGACAGGAGCTTCTTTTCATGCCGCCACTTTGAATTGGAGCAGCGTGTTACCAATGTCATCAGTGCATTTACCTTTCGACGGTCAGTGTTAAACTGATAGTAGTTGAAAGCAAGCGATGTCGCACAGCAGATCGCTGAAGGTTGACGTGTAATACTGCATTTCCAGGCAGTTTATGAAAAATAAATGCACATTTTCAGGTCTCCAGTGGCCTTGAGTTACATTAGTGTTTTTTGTTTTGTTTTTTTCTGCTAGATGCAACAAAAAGTAGTAGCCTTACCGGTTACATTCATGGTTTTATTTTCTTTCTTCCTAAAGGCAATAAAAAGTGATACTCTGCATTACAATTGTGGTCGCGTTACAATAGAGTAAATACAGTATTTTTGTTCTGCATGCCATGGCACAGTTGCACACAAGCATAATACCACTGTTTGTGTGACCACACAAACATTCAATACCAACGATTACAGTGATTAGAGAATGAATGAACTTTAACATAGGTTTATTTTGTGAAAATTGCCAAGACACAGAGCTGCCTAGAACACTGGCTAGTCCAAGCATGTGCCAAGATATTATTAATTGCCAGAAAAGCACATTGGTAATTTCTACATATGTCTGATTTCCTAAGATCCAATGGGAAAATAAAGAAGAGTTGAATTTGCACTGAATTCTTTTTTAATAGTTGCTATGGCACTCAGGAGCAACAACAGACACTTGATTTCAAGTGAGGCCACTCACGACTCAATGGCACTGATGGCATCCTCAACAGCAGCCCGCTCCCCTTGCTTGGCCGACTCTCCATTGAGGGGACCAGGTACGGCAGCGAGTGCAGAGCTGCTCGGATTGGTCAGTGCCAGGGAGGCTAGCTGGTCTAACGTAAGGAGGTACTTGGCAAGAAAGGATTCATCAACTGGGCCAGCCTGGTTTTCTTGGTATGCCTGGGAAGATCACACGAGGAATTGTATTCAACCTAGCAAACAGAAAGTAACGCTGCCTCTCCTGTAGAGCTTAATCCATCAATTCTTGTCTCTTATAAGCAAGGAAGGTACCTCATATGCATTTTCTATCAACCCATATTTTACAAGCACACCAGTGTTTTTTATACTGATTTGTCTCCTATATCAGTGTCTCTTATAAAGAGGTTCAACTGTGTACGTACGTACGTATATATATATATATATATATATATATATATATATATATATATATATATATATATATATATGGACAATAATTTTGATTTGATCTCTATATTTAGAAAAGTTTACCAAGTGATGTTCGTAAGAAAATAACAGTAACGAATGCTGGTAACTTTTTCAGCATTATGCGCTTCTAGCACAATTTTTTATTTGAAGAGCTGCTGCACATGTTGACTCTGTATTCCTTACTTATAAGGTAGCCCCACTGCAAATCGCATGCCTTGAATTGGTTATATAAGCTAAAGGCTTGAAACAATTCAATGAACAAGAAAGCCCTCCTTTTGTTTTGTTGTGCAGAAGACAAGCAACCGGCACTTAATTAAGGAGTACAGTTTTTTTTAAATAGTTTCTCTTGTTTCTTTCTCCTGTTGAGAAACGTGCCTCAAATACGTCAGCCAGGCAGCGCTGCCATGGGAGCGAGTAGAAGGCTTCTGTGCCAAACTGGGGCTCCTCCTCTGCCTGTAGCGCGTGCTTGTAGGCATCCAGGACACGACCAGAGTTCAGCAGCAACCTCAACAGCTTCACACGCAGTGCCACATCCAGAGGACGAGTCACCTGCGAATTGAAAGAGCAAACTTCCATTGATAAACCCCACCAAAATAAAAAAAAAAATGGTGTACACACCTAGTCAACAAAGTGTGTTATAGGAGGATCTCTGCTGTAATCATGGAACCAGTAGAATTCAGGAATTAAATTTTCGAGCTTTACACACAAAAACAAAGATAGCTATGAGGCACACTGTGAAAAATTTATAAAAAAAGTATGCAGAGAGAATTTCTGCCATGCAACTCATCATCTGGCTTGTTTGTATTTCCTGCCTTGAAAACCCAGCTCTTGCAGCTTTTTTTTTTTTTTATCAATATTCTCTAAGAGTGTAACGGCGGATACCAGATCAATTTTGACTTCCTCGGGTTGTTATATGCTAAATCTTAGGTGCTTTTGCATTACACCCCCATAAGCATACAGCTTCCGTGGCCAAGAATAGCCAATTTTGCAGTGCAGCTCTTTTCATGCGAAATTACCATGGCAGGTGTAACCAGTAGAGTGTGAACGCATTTCATGCACAAGCCTGAGCAAAAATGGAACAGAAAGACAGCCTTACAGCATCCAACAAAAATATCTTCCCCCCGTTCATGCACAAACTCGCAAGAAATACTACACAAAAATTTTATATACGTGTTTATTTATTTCAAAAATTCAGAAAGACTGAGCAATAATATTTAAAAATTTTTGGAAGGAGATACAAACGTAAAACTAAGGTCCTCACCAGCTCTGACGTGATCAGGTTTTCCATGTCCTTCGTATCTGGTTCACCTGTAGCTCTTGTCAAGCTTTCCTATCGGCAAAATGAAAGTAACGAACGTGTCGCTTAGAATACTATATACATGAATAAAGTAAAAGTTACTTTTCATAATGGCATGAGAAAATTTATGTGCACCGCAGACAACAAGCATGCGAATCAGCATTGAAAAATATATTAAAATGACGATAGCGAAGATTGCAAAGGTGTGATTACAAGTAAATGACGTTGTTAATCGACGTCCACCAAAAACTTAAGATATAGAAGTTGATGCAGAGAACGGCTATTATGCTTTTGTGATCGTGAACAGTTGTCTCACAATTGCCTCTGCGAAGTTTTTGTGAACATTGCAAATGAGTCATTTGGCTAATAAAATAACCTTGTTTCCTCAATGTTTGTTATTTTCGTTTTCGACGTCCCCCAGGAACTTAATATATAGAAGTTGATGCAGAGAACGGCTAAGAAAATTTTCGTCAACACAATTGGATTGCATATGGAAACATACAAACAATGCTGGACAAAAGAGCACATCCATACCGAATGAACACAACCTACTCTGATGAATATGAAAACCGTAACCCCTTAGCTACCAGGAAATACAAATCACATGAGGGCAGCACCAGAGTAGCACATTAATGTAACCACTCGAAGTGGTTTGGGCAAACAAAAGCTTTTACATCCCACAGAAATTTGGAAATGAAGCTACAATAACCCCATGTGTAACAAATAAACCACATTTATATGCTACTGTTAGGTAAACCCAAGCTTCAGAGCACATTTTGTTTAAAAATGCAACATAGGGTTTTAATACAAAGCAACCACCAACCTTGAGCTTAAAAATAATCCTGTGGCCAGGAAAAATGCTCTCGGCTCGCTCTAGCCAATACTGAAATGATAGAAAAGAACAAACATCACGTTGAAGTATGATCAATGCCGACAAGTTGAAGGGTGGCTATTAAGTTTCAAACTTTACACTCAAAAGCAATGCTTTCCAGTAGATACGTCGTGACGCTTGTCAGCAGAGAAAAGCTTTTCAATAGCTATATGTAAACAGAACAGATCATGAACGTAAACAATACAGATCATGAGCCTATCCAAGGCACAAAAGCATGTCTTGCAACATTGGCTGTAATCTTAGTGACAGCGAGAAACAATTCTATATTGTCAGAAAAAAGAGGGCAGGAAGGAACACTACAAATGTTCTTGGGCTCTCTCATATTGCAAAGAGGTTTCTCCCCAGGAGCATACCTCTATTAAAATACGGCAGCCTCTACAGCATTTAAATTAAAAATGGTCTCTAATGAATACCACCAGCTTCACTGCAGATCATGGACTGTAAAATGAAAATTTAAAGACTTCCTTCATGCGAGGAAATATGACAGGTGAAAATAATTCAAGTTAAACGAACACTCATTTAGAACACGCATGGCTTTTGAAATTGCTGAGAATATCTTAACGAAGCATTAGGATGACTTGATCGGTTTGGCATTTGCTCATTTGATAAAATATCCCCATATGTGCAGTGTACACCAAGAACAAATTTCCGTGGAAAAGCAGTAGAAATACAACAGGACAAACCTATACGAGATACACTCCAACTATAGCAATACAGTGCACTCTCAGTAAGTGGAAATCTGGTAAACAGAACTGCTGCTTAAATGAAACAGCTGCGTCTAGCACAATTGGTTTCGTACATGAATTCTGCACCCATGCTCATCTTTCAATAAAGAAAACTCCTGTTAAACGAAACACATTTTTCCAGATCCCTTCAGGTTCCATTTAACGAGAGTCTACTATAGTTTCATAATGACAAGCAGTAAATATGATTTTTTTTTTTTTACATACCCTCGTTGTCTCTTGGTCAGCAGGAAATTCACTGTAGATTTCACAAACTGGAACAAACAACACAGGCTTATTGCTTCTGAAAACACATACTTAAAGCTTCAATTGGAGATAGCAACAACAAAGAAATGATTCCTCACTTTTCATGATGACATCTTTCTGGTTTTCCTCAAGAGCCAGGGAGCTGTCAAACAACACAAAAAGATTGGTTCCTTGCAATTTATACACAAGAGGACAAGATTACTTGCACTACAAACCTGCTCACCAAACACTAAGCATAAGACACATACTTAAAAATGATTAACAAAATCATAGATAGATCTAAAATTCAAAAATACAGGACTATCCAGTGTATTCTTACTGCTGAAAGTTCTTCAGATACGCAGACTAGAAACTTTTCTTCATTGATTGATATGTAGAATTTAACGTCCCAAAACCATCACATGATTATGAGAGACGCCGTAGTGGAGGGCTCCGGAAATTTCGACCACCTGGGGTTTTTTAACGTGCACCCAAATCTGAGCACACGGGCCTACATTTCCGCCTCCATCGAAAATTCAGCCGCCACAGCCTAAAAAATTTTCTTAATAATATGTGTTCTTCAAATATGTAGAGGTTAGAAGCTTTTCTTAACGATCTGTGGATTCTAATGGCACAAGGGCCACGCTTGGCCAAAGAGTGCCATGAAATATTATGAAAAAGTAACAATGATCCACGATAGGAGATGTGAACTATGATTATGTTATGTGCTGTATACCAGCCTAAGATTCTGCACATTCAAGGTGCATAAAACATTTAAATAACGGATGACAAGTGATTGTGATAACAACACTATGGAGATACGGCCTGAGCACAAATGCCTTGTCAACATTCTCGAGTCCAAGGGCCGCAATGCAGGTCATAGCAGCGACTTGCAGTCATCATAGCAGTCATCATAGCAGCGACCTCTGTTCATAAGTTGTGCTACGAATTGCCTGGGTATATGAGATAAAAACTATGTATTTAAACAAGCAGAGAGTAACTAATAAGTACCAAGTGAATAACTACCGATGAACATCACAGAATGCAGAGAATTTGAAATTGCTGTCAGAGGGGTAATATAAGGTGCTTTTTTTCTGTTCGCATCCAACTCACTGCACTGGATAAGGATGTGAAGCCCAGTAAGTAATCCTCCACGTCCCTCGCACCTGTCTGAATCACAGAAGATATACATGTGTACAGGGTGTGTGTCCTGTTCGTAGTCTGGTGTTACTCGTGTGCGGCATGACCTCTAAACTGATATCTAGCTTTCATGATTCGGTTTGATGACATATAGCTTATTCTGTTTGCCTGTCCCATAACCACTGCCTACAGCAGTGCCCGAGCTTCCACTTTGGAAAATGTTTTAGGTGCATTGCAGGGACTGGTATGAATGTAGCGGCAGCGTTTCCGTGGACGGATGCAGCAATCTGGTCTGCCAACATATTTTCTTGGACCTCAAGGTGCCCTGGCACCCAGCACACTACAACATGCTGCTTGAGTGAGTAGATTGTGCATAGTTTTCAAAGCTTTTACTGCACTCAAAATGTCTGTATATAACCGCGTTTTGTAGTTTAAACTTTTAATGCGTTTGACAGCCGCCGATTTTGCATACGCCTCTGCTGCAAAGATGCTTGCATTTGGATGCAGAGCACAAGCATCCGAAAAGGATAGACTGACTGCTGCATAGGACACACCAGAGTGAGACTTTTGATGCACCTGTGAAGGATCCAGGTAAGAATACTTGTGCTGCAATTTGAAGAAATGTATATGTGCGCTGGCAACAGGAGCGTGCTTCGTAACTTTCACAAAAAATACACTGGATGCTAGAAGCTGCCCCTGCCATGGTAGGCGATGTACAACAGGGGCGACCAAACGGTTTTCAAGAAGTGACACCTATTTCTTCAGCTAGCCCCCTCACACGTAGTGAGTAGGATTGTCTCCCTGAAGAATGGTTGCAAATGGGGCAGAACTGGACAGACCATTGGTGGTACAGTGTAAAAGGTGTTCTTTGCAGTCCCCTTTGAAAAATATACAAAGATGAATATGGCCTCGGCAAAATGAAGCAGCCCCCCCCCCCCCCCCCCCTGTGTTTCAGTCCGTGTTTGCGTCCCCGCAAACACGGACTGAACCGCAGACCTTTTGGGATGTTTTCGCTCGTTTTTCAAACCCACAAAAAAACAAAAAAGAAAACCTTCGGTGTAACGAATGGGCATTCCGGAGTGAAGTACCAGAAGGATTATTTTTATTATTCTCACGGGCTCCCCCGCGCAAACATGAGGACCGGGCGGCGCCTTGTCGTCTACAGACCGTGTGACAGTGTACGGTGGAGATAATCGGCGCGCACCCTTCAGATTTGTGGCATGGGGGAGCAGCAGAGCGCCTTTTGTTGGTTCAAGGAATGCGACCTTGCCGCAGCGCCTGTGCCGGGTCGGGTCGGACTTTCCGTGAGCCTCCGTGGCTCCAGGGCTCATTACTGCGTTCTGCACGGATGGCCGCCCGCGGCGTTGAATGACGAAGAAGCAGCGGCTACGGAGAATTTCGCGAAAGACACGAGCTGCATGGAAACGTTGAGACTTGGTCTGGACATCGGCTCACCAAGTATCGGAAGCATCGAGACCATTGTTCGCCCGAAATTAAACTGTCTTCGGACAGCTCGCCCATCACTCTCCCTGAGGCTTGAGTTTGTACATTGTTACTTGCTCGGCTTTGTTTGGGAGAGGGTTTTCTACTGGTGTAGGCCGCGGGGGCGGCCGCCGAAGATGATACACTCCGACTGAGAAGAAAGTATGCCACGTCGATAGTGGCGATTGGTTTGGTGCCCCGGTAGGGCGGAGTCGGGTTCTACAAAAAGGGGCTACGAGACGATACGGGGAGAGTCCGAGATACGATGTGATGAGTCAGAGAGACGGAGCGTTGAGATTGAGATGGTAGAGAGACGGAATGGAAAAGGAAGATAACGGTGCGAAGAGATAGTGATGAGAGGCGATGAGATGATGACTGGGACAAGGACGGTACGATGAGGAATGAAAGTTGGGGATAGGAGGCGAGTGAATAGAACGTTACGTAAGAGGGCTAAGATGGAAATCACTGAGAGGCACGACGAAGGCGACAATGACGAAGACGATGAAGATGCTGACGAATTGGACAATGACCCCAGGAAGAAGCCGAGAGCCCCGACTCGAACAGCCAGCTCCGAGGCCCCCGTCAACATGGACATTCTGTGAGACGAACTTCACCTCCTTTACTTAAACGAGCTTTGCGGGAAGGGATGCGGCATATTGAGACATTGCGCGGTTTTATTAATTAATGACTTTACCATTTGTGTCGTCGTGTGGTTACTTTGTATTGTTGCACCATTGTATTGTCAAAGTTATTTCCCTTATGTATCCTGCGTCGCACATCACGAGTGTGTATATCATGTGTTATAATTTTGTGTAATGGTTGATGTACGCGGGTATTCGATGTTTGCAGTTTGTATTAAACTTAACGAATCACTAAACAGGAACAGGTCGTAGCGTTTCTTACTTCCCGGCCCCAGCACGAATCCCTGTATGTGAGAAGTGTTTGAGACACGTATCCAAGAGGGAACCGAATAGAAAAGGGGCTGAATGGTCTTCCCTCTCTTTGGTAATCGGTGGCGTATGGCGTAGCGGGGGACGTCTCACAGGCTTTCCACAGGGCTTCTTCTGAAAGCATCTGTAGACAGGCAAATACCTAAGCAATGAATGGGGTCCAGCAGTTTCAAGGCACTTGATGAGGCAGACGGATAAATTCTGGCTCCATAGTCTAGTCACAAACGGATGAGGCTTTAATAAAGATTCCCTCGTAACATTTTGTTACTGCCCCCAGTGGTGCGTGACAACACTTCCGAGTACATTCACTGTTCTCACACATCTCTCAAGTAATTTATATGTGGCACAAAGGCTTCACGTCTAGAATTATTCCCAATAATTTACGCCCTATTTTTACAGGTGGACATTGACCCTGCAGGTGAATGTCAGGATCAGGGTGGAGACCTCTATTTAGAAAGGAAGCTCCTTGGGGTGTCGAAGCTCCCTGGCACTGTGCCAGCTGTGGAGTCTCCTCATGTGAGAGGATAAATTAGCCTTATGGGCGCTGGCCTGCGTATAGCGCCTGCAGAATGCGCAAAGCGTGAGTACTATATGAACGGATGCGAAACGCAGTCTCCCCTTCCTTCGTCTCTGCCCTTTCCCCTCAAACTGGCGAATGCACGTTCCCGCCACCGAGTGCAGACGCTCTCCAATGTGCCACAAGTCTCCCCCTTCCTTTGTCTCTGCCCTTTCACCTCAATCTGGCAAATGCGTGTTCCCGCCACCAAGTGCAGACGCTCTCCAATGTGGCACAAACAAGGTATGCGACACACACACACAAAAAAAAGAGAAAATGTATATAGTCGTTTTAAAGAACTTCACTTATCAATTGTATTTGTACACAGAACAACTGATTTTTTGGAGGGGGGGGGGGGGGAGGGGATGCAAGTACTTGTTTGTGAATATAGACTAAAGCCATTTTCGCCAGCCCCCTTGGCCACTTTGTTCAAACCAAGCTGAACCTGTCATTCACAGATTGTGAGATTGCACGATTTAAGTTATATTTGTACATCATTGACACACGTACAGTAACACATACTGGGAGGGGCACACAAATGCAGTGAATTCATTTTAAGAATAAAAAGCACACGGCAGAGCACCCTTCCAAGGCACTACAAATTCCTGCACAAATGGTCGTGACAGGACATTTCCCACTCGAACAAGGAATGTCAGCTGAGCAAATAGCTTTCTATTAAATTTAGCATTCTGCCACACATGCCTATATGTGAGAGGCCACACAATATTTTATAACTTATCCATATCAAGGAATACAGATAGAAAAAATTGCTTGTGGACAAAGGCTTCACGAATTTGCGCCTTAATATGTATAAGACTGTCACTCGTGCATCTAACATTCCATACCCACACTGATAAGTCGGGCAGATTATTTGATTCTAAAAAATGTAGCAAGCATCAGTTTTATCACTTTTTTCAAATACTTCATAGAGACAGCTCATTAGTGCTACTGGACGATAGCTCGAAGCAGACGATTTATCCTTGCCCCGTTTCAGGATAAGCATTATAATGGCCTCTTTGCAAGCCCAGGGGACTTCACCAGAAGACAATACCACATTGTAAAGGCAAAGGAACGTTTCTTTGTGTGTGTGCGTGTGTGTTCCTGTGGTAAATTTACCAACTTTACATCCATTATACAGTCCGAATCTAGAACCATACTGGTTGCAGCAACTTTAGGCTGCCAGCAGCTCAGCTAAGCAGAAAGGTTGGTTGTATCCCTCACCTTTGGCACTCGTATGTTCCAACTTCTGTTGTTCTATTGAAGTTTCATACATTTTGAAAGGTTACTTACAACCACAGTGACCCCATGGATATTCAACATACCTCATGATTGTGTCCTATTAACATACATCTGCTAAGTAATTAACTCCACCTACTCATTTATGCTGGGTAGTGGGCTCCAAGTTACCTCAACCAAACGCTAAGTTTGCTAGTCAATTATGTACATCCTGCTCAATAAAATGCTCTCCCTCATCCATACCTTTCCCATTTAGCCTCAAAATAACCTCCTCTGCCCATTAAGTGCCAAACATCTTTCATTATAACACAACAGAGAATAAAATTATTGGGTATAAGGTGCATTTTGCTTCTATCAGAATGCAAGTGTCGTAGCCAATAAACTAGCTGGAAAACCCATTAGACGAAGAAATATGAGCCACTGGGCACGCAGCAATAAAAATTGCACTTTTTACAATACATAATTATCAAGAATGTAATCACAAATTCTAAAACATGCAATTGTATAATAATGAATAAAATATATAAAATATCTTACTGCTTGTAGGACTGCAAAGCTTGATTACGCCTTCCTGCAGCTTCATGGATCTCTCCCATAAAGTTTGTGCGCAGATGCCTGTTTGTCATTGACAGCCAAGTATTCAGCCAGGTACCTACAATGTAGGATGTAGCGAACATTAGGAATGCGTACCCCCCATTGCTGCCTAAGCAGGGCAATGAATATCAACTGACACCTCCACCTAGAGCTGTGACAAAGAAAAAAATATTCTGACTCCTGCAGGGGCCTTAATTCAGTCATGACTGCCTCCTTAATTCAATATGTAGTATTCGTCAAAAGCTATGAATGATAGACAAGGAATATCTAAGATCGATATTTAAGTTCAATATGCTTAAGATGAGCGAAAATTGTTTCCCCATAAGTTCTTTCACAGAGCATCACCAAGCAGAACTTCGTACAGAAACAAACTGCTACTAAACTGCTACTTCACCTCACAAGGAAACACTGCCTTAGAAAGCATTAGAATTACTGCTTTAATGACGATATTGCGAGATACTGCTTTGAAAAATACACAGAAATGCCTAGCAACAACATATAGAACATACCTTGTGGCCGATTCATAGTCCTTGACTGAAAAGTAAAGCTTGGCGAAGTTGAAACCTCTGATCTTTTTCTGAAACAAATATGTGCAAACATTATGAAGATAGCACTACAAAGAGCAATGGTACTGATGTACAAAATGCAGGCATGTAAATGGGAATACGTAGATGAGTGGTCAAGACATAACAAAGTTTAGAGTTTTCTTTAATTATAAGCGAGAAGAAAGAATATTGAGGGAATCTAGCAAGACTATGTTGATATTCTTAGGACAAGCCAGATATTTACTAATGTCCCAGGTGATAAGCATCTGACAGCTTGCATCTTACTTTCAGGTATACATCTATTGCTGTACTTTCGCATTCCTGTGAACATACCTCAACAACATTCAAATGAAAGCATAAAGCAATACCAGTTTACTAGCAATTAAGGAAGTGAAGATGTTCAAAGGGCTAAGTTTTTTCACTCTCTCTCTCTAGACTAGCCTACAATACTTATGTGTCAGAGAAGTTAGATAGCACAAAACAAATGAAGCAATTACTTCATTTCTGTTAGCAGTGTTTTTACATTAAAATAACCCTAAAACACCTTTCCAAGTGATCACTGAATGACCTGAATACCAGGTTTGGCTAGATTGTGCCAATTTGGCAACTTTAATTTTTTGAGCGTGTGTGTGCTGGTGACACCAGAGAAAACATTGTGGCTCCTTGGCTACATTCCTCTTTCATCGATTTGAACCAAATTATCAATATTTGGCAATGGCACAGCCGCTGGAGTGCAACTATGCAGTGTGTAAACACAGAGGCTATGGTTAGTTTCCAGCATCCAAAACTGAATTAGGCCCTTACATTACATAAAAGAAAATGATTTTGAATGTGTGGCTCGGCCTTAGAAAAACATTTTCATGCAACCTCACTTTGTGGGCAACCGTGTGATTGCATTGCAATTGAAAGTGAAGATTACAATTGAAAGCCTTCTGCACTTTTGTCGTTTTGCACTCAACACCAGAATTCGAATATATAACATGACAAACTGCTTGTGTCATTTCTTAGGATTTGGCACAAACCACAACTCAGGAGCACAAAACGCTCAGACTTCGTCATCTCGGAAGTGATTGCAAAAATAATATATGGTTCACTGCCATCATACCAGCAAGCATGATCTTGTACACAGTCAAGCCACACTAATTTTTGTAGTTACAAGAGAACTGATACTCTAGTCCCCTTTAAAAAAGTCATGCAAGATGTGCGAAGAGTGTCGTTAGAGAGTTCATGATAGGGTTTGTGGCATTTACGTTGCTTGGATGCGTATGCTATTTTACGACATGTGTACCCAATTGGTAAGCAAGTGACCCATGCATGGTGGCACCAAACTCCTCTAGTGCAAAGCTCTGCGTACCCTATTCAAAAACTGCCCATTTCTGCAAAGCCACAAGAAAATTTGTCATTCTCAAATTTTAGAAATTTTAATCATGAAGGATTCATGCAATACATAAAATTTTTACCAAATGGCCTCTTGCATTCGGTGATGGAAATAAAAATGTAGCCATTGCTTTCACACATGTAGGGCCACTTTCCCCTATTATTGGCTACTTCATGGCTAGTTTCCCACATTTTTTGGCCATATTGGTCTTTTCAACCTGGCAACACTCTTCAATACAAGACTTTACTAGTGCCTTATTAATCTCTTGTTCCAAAAATTTTTGGAATCAGTCAAGCATAAGCAGCTATTGGAGCTTGTCGCATATTTCTAGTGCTTTCCATCTCATTTCGTCCCAACAACCATGCTCAACACACAGAGAGCAATGAAAGGGGGAGCAAAAATCTACATCAGCGCACGACACAAGTACCCAGCAGTGGCACCCTAGCCAGACAAGAAGCCAGACTGTTGGCTGAACTCAATGACAACTTGGTGCACACAGGTTTTTTCCAGTGTCAGTAGGACTATGGCATCTAATCCAAATGGTACATCTCAAAGCAGTACTAATTAAACCTCAAGCTATGTCAGCCAAGGTGCATTGCTTGCAAGCTATATGGGAGAGAACCATGCACTGGCAAATGTAGCTGTGGTTTTAGAAACAGTAATGTGCATAGGTAAGTACTGTCACAGTGGGCTCAGTACATGCGAATGACTTTTGCACGTATGGTGTTTGAAACAGAATGGGGGCAGTATGCTTGATGTGCATCTAGGAGAAACAACGTGAAGCATACAGCCAATTGAGACAGGAAGCACAGATATTTTCTCAGCATTTTTAAAAATAGTGACTCCCCCCTTTCTTACTTTTCTCTTTTCTCCCTCTCTCCTGTTCACTGAGCTCAATAAACAATAGGCATATTACTGAGGATGTTCCATCGATCATGAAACCGGTTCACGAATGGTTCACTGCCATCATACCAGCAAGCGTTATCTTGTACAGCCACGTCTGTGCATAGCGCGTGAGCAGCCACTTCTTGCTCTGCGGGGCAAAACCTCAAGGCAGTACCGGGCTCTGATGTGGTCGGCCTGACAGTTAGGCCACACACGCTTCTAATACAGCACTTCAGAGCCGGAAACTGCTTCGAGGTTTCGCCTCTCAGAGCAAGAATTGGCTGCTCGTGCGCTATACACTGACGTGGCCACGGCTGTACACAGTCAAGCCATGCTAACAGTAACTGCCAACAGCGATGTAGTTTGCCAAGAGGGGAGCGAGAAATGTTTGGACATTTCTAAAACGAAATTGCACATTTCCTCTAGATAATGTTCTGCAAATATCATGCACCACTATATTTGTATCTCATGTTCACGGGATCCTTGGCTACTGATCGACAGCTTTCACATAATTTGAGAAGTCTTGCAGGAACACTTAAATAAAAAAATTGCACACACTGCGTGAATGAGTGATAGCATGTGCCATCCTTGAGTGACGCCTAGCTTATGAAGGATGCTACAAAAAAAAAAACGGATGAATAATTTCGAGCACCTATGATACAACCAGCTTCGTTTTTGCCCTTATATGAATTTGGCCGCTGGCATCAACAACCAAACCCACGGCCCCTGCACTTATTAGTGTGTTAATAAATGCGGTCGGCAAACGCACATGTAATGCAGAGCCATGTATCCCCTTCAAAATACCTCTATGATCTCTTGACTTGCCAATAATAGTGGCAAATGCATTTATGCACATCAGCCAGTTTGTTGAATATAGTAAACCATTGCTCAGCAACTCTGAAACCTAACAAATGACTCATTCAATAAACAATGGTTCACTTTGTCCACAAATTTTTTTGCACCGATAGTTTAGAGAGTGATCGTATACCTTACGAAAACTTCCAAATCTTCTATGATACTAACAATGAAATGGCAAAGCGTTGCTAGTGTTGCTATAGTTTACTTTCATTATGCTATGCTGCAAAGTATCAAACTAATGACTGCTTACTTGGCAATCAAAACCTCTGCTAATATCTGTATGCTTACCGGCATATTCAGGGTGAAACGCACGTGACCAATGGTATTACGTCCCAAAACCACGATATGATTATCAGTGGGCTTCGAAAATTTCGACCACCTGGGTTTTTTTTTTTTTTTTAATCTGGTCCATGTAAGCGGAACCCTGGCGTTTTACCACCATCGAAATGCGGACAGGATTCGATCGTGCAGCTTTCCGTCGGGTAAGCAGTCCCAAACCATTGCGGCGGGAGAAATTCACACATATCCGCGTGCTAGAGGTACCCAGCATAGAACACTTAATACGATACCCGCCAGGCCCCCACACAATTACTTGCTTGACCATCGAATTGCCATCTTGATAGCCCATACTTATCAATGTAGAATTCGTTCTCCCAGAGAGAGATTTTCAACTATTCGACATGCCACTTTTGTTACTTCTCAATGTGTTTGTTTTTTTCGCACACGCGAACCACCGACCAAAAAAAAAAATGCAGACTATTTTTGCAGAATGGGTAGAGTGGATAGAAAGCATGAGCAACCTTGTGTTAATAGAATTAAAGATGATAGTGAGCAACGCTTCCGAGTTATTTCTGGCGAGTAACAAAGGTTTTAGTGCCAAGCAGCTTTGCGCTGACAGCTTACGTAGCACACGCTTTCAGGAGACGCGACACAGCGCGTTACGTCAAACTGATATGTCATACACTGAGAAATCGAAAACGAGTTGAGAATTTCGCAATTAATACATTGGCTAACGTTCTCGCACAGGCCAAATCTGACATCTAGAATGAATGGGCAAATTTTATAAACAAGTGGTTAAACCATGCGCAGCGCAGAAAAAAACTTCAATGTCACAGTTGCACTCCAGGTAAGTCCCATTTATCATTTGGGGCCTCCAGGTAGGCCCCATTTTATCAGGGTGGCCGAGACATTTTATGCACCGGTGTTCACAGCCGATATTCCGACCACGACGTGATGCCGACACGGCCAATGCTTCAACGCCGGTTGCCCGATCAAACCGAAGCTATGCACGAAAGCTAGCCCTTCCGATGTAAGCTTGCGCAAGACGCTACATTCGGAACAGTCAAGCCCCACTGCGCCGCTGGCGAGCCATTTAGTTTTAACCTAGAGGTAGTACATACACAAAATAGCTGGCAAAAAGTTTCGAAAAGATCTTACTAAGCCTAACGTCGGCAAACCGCCAAAACGATGAATGTGAGTACAATGTGAAGGACGAGTCATTACCAAAGTACGTAGTTTTCTACAACAATGCGCCACTGAAATAATACGACTGCATAACTAAAGTTCGTGATAACATGTGACCGATGTGATTGTTACGGCGGCAAGACCTCACCTCGTTCTCATCTTTAATTCTCGCCAGAATGCCGGCGATGTGCCTGTCAACGTCCTTTTTCGTGCGAAACATTGTTCTGTCGCTCTTACGCTCCTTTGCACCAAGAAGTTTCACATAGGAAGCACCGTAAAGCACATCACGAAGTCCACGCACGAGCACCGGACAACACACACACAGCGGTGAAACGACCGCCCGCGCAGACCGGCAAATCGAGCACGCGGTGTGCGAATTTCTCTGCGTTTGTACCTTCGCACGCCTTCGCTGTCGTCCGCGAGGACAGAAACGCAGTAATCTACAAAAAAATAGTACGTGCTTCTACGGTAAATAAACTGAATAATCAACGCAATACTGTATTATTAACGTATAACTTTCACAGTAAGTAACTAATTAAGCTTATTTATTTTTCTTAATAAAGTATAAATAATTACACATTTTTTTGCACTTGTCATTGTGCTCTCTGCTGCACACGCTACACACGCTGAGAGGTGGACAGGGGTACAATTTATCACGCAGCTGGTGGTTGCTTACGGTGATTTCTAGTTCGCCGCTGCAGCGCGGACGACACGAAGCTAGAGTGTACTAAACAAGCGAAAGGTTGCATACGCGCCCGCGAGCTTGCGCGCACTTGCAGAATGTTAGATTTTGCTATATTCGCAGTGTGTTTCGTCGTGTTTCTCATAGCACTTGTGCTCTACCTGTACCCGGTGAGAGGCGACATTCGACTTTGCTTACAGTTTACCTTTGAACGCTGCTATTAGTACGTCAAAAATGACGGCACGCTTGATTGTTTTCGCAAGCTGCTGCTAAGAGATACCAATGATCGATCAGAAGCAGCAGTGCGCTTGTGCATTTATGGACAATGCCGCAGGCACGACAATCTAATGCGAATAAAAAATGCATATTTGCTTTTTCAGAGTTCTGCGAAACAAACGACTATCCCTGGACTCGAGCCGTCGGATAAAAAGTAAAATACTAAACATTCTCTCTGCCATTTAGTTGCAATGCTGCGCGCGAGCGTGTTTAGCGTACGTGTACGGACTCTTCATAAACTATAAATTTACAGGGAGGGCAATGTTGGCGACATCGTCCAAGCAGGAGGACTGCAGAATTTCCTCATCTCCTTGCACAAGGGAACCGGACCGATTGCATCTTTCTGGATCGGCACGAAATTGGTTGTCAGCATCGGCAAGGCTGATTTGTTCAAGACGCAATCACATGTATTTGACAAACCAGGTGACGTCACCGTTCCCCGAATGTTTTGCCGAAACGCAAATATTGAACACAGGTCTTCACAGCCTTTTTCTCGGATGTATACATTCGGTGAACAAGAACGAGTGACGCTTAATGCTTCACGTATGTGTAGTCCGCCTTGGTGGTACAGTGGTTACAGTGCTCGGCTGCTCGCCCGAAAGTTGCGGGTTCGATTCCCGCCACCATGAGGTGGCGTTTCCATGGCGGCGAAGTGCTAGAGGCCCGTATATGTCAGCGCACGTTAAAGAACATTTAGCCGACGTTTCCGAGGCCTTCCACTATAGCGTGTTTGATGAATCACGTCGTGGTTTGACACACAGCTTGCAATTTGCTGTTATGCTTCTCACACGCTGGGGTTATGCATGCGGTTACTGAATTGTGATGGTTTCTTTTATTCTTGAGAGCTGCCCGTTCTGAATTTATTTTCACTCAATTGCTTGTTACGGGTTATTTTAAAGGCCATGTCTGGTCTTCAGTCTTAAAAGAACACGCATATCCGACGGCAGTGATGCTTTTGCATGAGAACTTGACGCATGTGAAGAGGTGCTCTGTACGGGATCGAACAGAGTCTAAGCACATCAGTTTCATTCCATGTGGACGGAACTCTTACCGTAGCAGTTTGTTGCATCTGGATGGAACTTCAGTGCTTCTTATCATGCTGTCTAAATGGAACACTGCGTGACGATAGTCATAGCACGAGAACAAAACGACGACACAGAGACGAGAAGGACACGAAACGTGTCTTTCGTGTCCTTCTGGTCTCCGTGTCGTCGTTTTGTTCTCGCGCTATAACTATCGTCATGCCATACCAACTAGCCCAAGCTGCCAACTTCTAAGGAACACTGCACTCTTCTTGTTTCAAACAACCAATAGTACTCTCTCGCGCCAAGGTTATCTCACAGTGAGAGAGTAAAAGAAGTAAATTGTGGCGTAAGAAGTCATGGACTTGAATACAATCAGCCTGCCCTGTCCCGTTAACTATTCCAGCAATAGCGAAAAAATTCATTACCTATTTTGATTCTTTCTTTTCAGCCGAATTGTTTATGCTGTACCGTGACGTGATGGGTGCAGGCAGCATCTTCTTTGCAAATGGAGCAGAAGCACGAAAAAGGCGCAAGCTCATTGATGAAGTACTCAGAGGAAAGTCCCTTGACAGGTTCCTAGGATCAATAGAGAAGGCAAGTAATTTTCACAAGCACTGTCTTCTTCAATAGGCAGAAGTTCACATTAGAATTACAAAAGGTCGTGTCCTGTAGCATCAAGGCTGCCATTTACTTTCTTCCAGTTTCTGTCAATCTCGTTGTCTTTTGTGGCATCAAAAGATTTACTGGAGGCAATATGGCATTTTCAAATTGCTGCTTAAATCAAAACATGCTATGTCTGGCACATAGGTTAGGGGTATGCACTGAGCCGTGATCTGCAATATGGCGACACCATCGCCGCGCCATTTCGAAGGTCCATTTGTTCGTCTTATCTGTGCTGTCTATGTGTCGGCGTGCAGGAGGTGTTCGGGAGATCAGTAGTCATTCAAGCCTCCGTACCGTACTCTGAGGCAGCATGTGCGGCGAGAGCACGCATCTTCGCAATGACAACCCTGATTACGTGAAGTGCATACCACCTATATTTTTACAGCTGTTCAAGAATGTTTTCTCAAGCCGCAGACTTGCACTAACTATCCTGCACTGGAATACAGCGTTATTCCCACAATTAAAGAAGCCGTCTTTGTTTAGCAATAAGTATTCAGTTTCATATTGGTCTCTCTGTTTAACTGTACAACACTCGTATGGCGAAAATTACTTTATGTTGCATACTCATATTACTTTTTTAGAATTTGTTGTTAGGCTAGTTGGTAACTGGTCACACTGTGCGTACTTAGCGCAACTTGGTAGTCCCTTGAAAAATTCTGTGTGGGGGGTGTGCTTCTGGAGTGGATGTGTCTGTGAATGTGAGAGTGTTTTTCGAGAGATTACCATGTTGCACTAAGTACGTACAATTGGATAGTGTTTAATGTTTTTAAACGCTAATAGTAGCATTATGTGTATATTTAGTCACTTCACTGCTTTCTTGTTTTCTGGATTTTCATCCTTACAGCTGTGCACTGAAGTGATAATGCACTTGAAGGATACACCAGATGATGAACATGTGCCTGTGTACAAGTACATGTATGCCCTCTGCATGAAAATCTCTACGCGCCTGCTGTTCGGAGAGTATTTCTTTAATGACATGGAAGTGCTCAAATTTAGCAGAAATTTTGAGCTGGTAAGAACCTCACCCTCTCCTCCGTTCTGTTTTCTTTTCTTGAAAATCATTTTTGGGTTCTTTTTTTACACTGATAGCAGCCTACAAAGCTTCACAGAAAGCGTCTTTATGATTATTCAGGCACGCAAAGTGGGACTATGGTGATCTATAATGACTCAATATAGATATCACTTCCATTTGTTTGTTGGTTTATTTGTTTGTACGCATGTTTGTTTAACATTCCCACAGGACCCGATGCATAGGAGTAGAGAGTGGGCTGTGAAGGTAGCTGCTGGGCAAAAGCTTTAAAATGCCTGTGGTGCCCTTGGGGAGTGTCAGTTTTCTTTGACTATCTTTTCTATTCGCACACTTTTCCCATAGTGTTAAGTTGAGATCGCCCAACCTCGTCGTGGTAAGTTTTCAGGGCTTTGTCCTCGGCTCCTTGTGGTGTTCTCTAGTGAATTTTTTCTTTTAAAACTATGTGGCAACACCCGCCGAATCAGTATTTTTAGCATGCATCAAGGTTTTACAGAAAATGTGTGTGAATGTGCCAGTGAATGACCTGATCTGTTTCTTTATCCACCCAATTCTTCTTGCTGATTAACACTACCGCTACAATACAAACCTCCCAACAGCAAATGGGAGAGTGTCAGGGGTAGTGGTATTTCTGAGGTGCAAGCACTACCCATATTTGTGAAAATGTTTACTGTACATTCTGCAATGAACCTACTATTTGCTTGCGGTGAACACCATGCTACAGTTATGTTCCCATGATGCTCACATGAGGAGGTTCTTCAGATGCAAGGTCGAGATAATATCTCTCTTCAGTGCCTGCTGGCTATATTACTGTGCTTGTGCTGTCTTGATCATTGCTTCACATGTATGTCTTGCCTGCTCATTTGCACATTTAATGCAATGGTGCATTGTTGATGAAACGCTGCTACATGTTTTTTTTTACATTTTTAAGAGCCACTTCTATGTTTTTGAACTATCAGTAACTACACTGAGCGATACCTTACCAGAATTGTCTACCTGTTTATACCACATGCATAACTAAACCAGTATTGAAGCACTGTTTCAACGTCCTAAACAGAATCTTTAAGCCATGAAGTAATACAATCATTCAAATCTCGAGTTAGTTCTTATCCTTGTTACATGCAGTGGGGCACTTTCAGTATTGCATTTTGAATGTTTTGCTTGCCATTACCTTTGTGTGTGCATTTAATGTACCATGCAGTGCATAAAAGAACTCGAAGAGATTGCCAATGGCGTGGTGCTAGACTCAAACAGTCCTAGGACAAAGAAGTATGAGGAAGGTAAGCCTAGTATAAAATGACTTTGTTAATAAATGCCTCCTCTGTGGCTTCATTTTTTAGACAATTCTGCAAGTGGCAGGAAGAGTACATAGCTGCAAAAGGTTCTGTGATGCCCTGGCTAAATAGAAAATGCCTGTGGTGCCCTTGGGGAGTGTCAGTTTTCTTTGACTATCTTTTCTATTCGCACACTTTTCCCATAGTGTTAAGTTGAGATCGCCCAACCTCGTCGTGGTAAGTTTTCAGGGCTTTGTCCTCGGCTCCTTGTGGTGTTCTCTAGTGAATTTTTTCTTTTAAAACTATGTGGCAACACCCGCCGAATCAGTATTTTTAGCATGCATCAAGGTTTTACAGAAAATGTGTGTGAATGTGCCAGTGAATGACCTGATCTGTTTCTTTATCCACCCAATTCTTCTTGCTGATTAACACTACCGCTACAATACAAACCTCCCAACAGCAAATGGGAGAGTGTCAGGGGTAGTGGTATTTCTGAGGTGCAAGCACTACCCATATTTGTGAAAATGTTTACTGTACATTCTGCAATGAACCTACTATTTGCTTGCGGTGAACACCATGCTACAGTTATGTTCCCATGATGCTCACATGAGGAGGTTCTTCAGATGCAAGGTCGAGATAATATCTCTCTTCAGTGCCTGCTGGCTATATTACTGTGCTTGTGCTGTCTTGTTCATTGCTTCACATGTATGTCTTGCATGCTCATTTGCACATTTAATGCAGTGGTACATTGTTGATGAAACGCTGCCACATGTTCTTTTTTTTACATTTTAAGAGTCACTTCTATGTTTTTGAACTATCAGTAACTGAATCTTAAGCCATGAAGTAATACAATCATTCAAATCTCGAGTTAGTTCTTATCCTTGTTACATGCAGTGGGGCACTTTCAGTATTGCATTTGAATGTTTTGCTTGCCATTACCTTTGTGTGTGCATTTAATGTACCATGCAGTGCATAAAAGAACTCGAAGAGATTGCCAATGGCGTGGTGCTAGACTCAAACAGTCCTAGGACAAAGAAGTATGAGGAAGGTAAGCCTAGTATAAAATGACTTTGTTAATAAATGCCTCCTCTGTGGCTTCATTTTTTAGACAATTCTGCAAGTGGCAGGAAGAGTACATAGCTGCAAAAGGTTCTGTGATGCCCTGGCTAAATAGAAAATGCCTGCTTAGTTTGTAGTTAAGTTTAAAAAAAAACCTTTGAAAATAATTGTTAAATTACTGGTCATGTTAGAGCACCTTTGATAACCCACTGGCACTTTGTCTTTATTTCGAATGGCGCACCACATTTGAGAAACTGCATCATGTTGAGTATGCCAACTGTGTACATACACGTTTTGGATTTGAATATGTGTGGCAAACAAGATTTTGGCTAAATAATCAACTGTTGACACATCCCTCCATTCAGCCTTCTGGTTGTCGCAAAGTACAGTCGAGGCTTTGAGGTACGGTTGGTTGCTTTTGCTAACAGTCTCATTAGTATGCCTTGTCCAATCATCATCTGCACCATTTTTCATGGTATTTCATGCGTGCCTGGCTTCTTTCCACGAGGCAATATTGAACCAAATCATTAAGAATGGGGCCGTGACGATGGGAAAATCAAGGGGGTTTTGACAACCCCTGAAACATGCTTTAACTTTTCGGGTAATAGTAAAGTATTTACACACCTTCACATCAACCATCAGCTGCCAAATTTATCAGTTCTACACATAAACACCCGCCCAAATAAAATTTCTGGGTATGGCCTTTGTTAAGTACATGTCTTTTTTGCCAGCTGTCCCCGGCATAATCAATACCTTGCAAAAGAAATTAGAAACAGCGTGAATGAACCACTGGACAATGGGACAGACTTTGACTGAGCACTTAGTCAATTGCTGTTCTGTACTTCGCGACGTTCCTCATTTTATATGGACATGTATCAAGCAGCCCTAATAAGTACCCTGGGCCATGTGAGACTATGCATGTCTTTACAACAGCCTTTTTGTTGTTTTTATGGGGATTTCTGTGTGCATATGTTTGAGATGGTTTGTATAATTTATGCGCAGCTGCGAAAGAGATGAGAATGCTGCTTACAAAGGCATTGCAGAAGTGCAAGGCAGGAGGTGACAAGGCGCTTCTGGCAAACGTGTTGAATGATGCCTCTGTGCCCGAGGAGCAGGCCGTGGATGACTGTGTCACATTTGCAATCAAAGGCTACTCTCTTGTTTCTGGTAAGCGAGTGGAGAACTCAGCCCTTGTTAAGTGAGGTCAAATTACTTCCTTGCAGATATTGAGTGCACACAACGTGTAAACTTTGTAAAAAATTATTTTAAAAAATCTAGAACAGTAGGTATTTTGGTGTCAGCACCACTCAGAATCGCAAAATGCTCAAAATTATTTCAGAGTGTGCTATCCCGTGAAACACGGGTCTAAGCATAAAACGAAAGTAAAATCAGAGTTGGAAAAGTCGTCGCTGTTGGTGTCGAGAGAACGGGCAGTGTGTATGGCCATGTTACCGTTTTACTGGGCCTCTCAAAAACTCAAGAGAAACCCGTTAAACAGGGAGCAGTATGATAAATGAGTACCTATGATAAAGAGGCAGAGAGCAGCAGCGATAAAGATGGAAGTCATTATTGAAACTGGAACTTTTTATTAATAATCAAAACCAAACGTGCATTTCTGCGTCTCTATTCAAATGCTTTCAAGCGGTCTTTGGCTGATGCACAGCTGAGTTCAATCCCCACCGCATTATACAGGGCTTCGTGCTTTTTTATGAACACATCAGTGGTGTGTTTTCATGCTGCATCCATCAAAGGGCACGAAGTCCTGTACACTGTGGTTACAAACGAATACAGCCACGGAGCAACCACTTGTCAGCGCTCGAGTAGTGGTGCACAAGTGGTTGCTGTTTCACATTTGACATGTTTTTCGTGATTTTATTTTCTCTCTAACAAAAAGACGTCCAGGTGGATTTTATCACAAAGTATAAATGCTTGATTGTGAGGTTATAAATGCTTGGTTGTGAGTAGCTGGTTAAAGTTAAGTGGTTTATTCTTAGTATTGAAGAAATACAGGCTGTAAGTACACAAGGCTACCAATAACCTGTGGCAGGTACTACTTTCGAAAAGGCATGTTCTCTTTTGTTTTTTTAGTCTTGGTCAGAGTTAACGGCAACACCTTGTATATAGTGAAACAATATACATGTACTATAGTATAAATATATTACATAAAGTTCATTCACTAACTGCAGTGAATAATTGCTTGAGAATAGCAGACTTAGCAGAGAACAGAAAGCTGGAAATTTTCAGTTTCAGCCACTGTTGTCACTCAGGTCATATCTTTCTTTTCTTCCTTTGCATCAGCCATGACTTGGATGCTGTACTTTCTTGCCACCCATCCCGAGCTCCAGGACAGTATTGCTAACGAAGTAAAGGAAGCCGTTGATAAGACCAAGGGCCTATCTTGTCAAGCTCTCTTGAGTATGAAGTGAGTATCTCACTCACTGTATCACAGTTCTCTGAAACAGCCTGTATTCTTAATTTCGTCTAGACATTTTATTTTATATAAAGTGCCGTAATTGTTGTGGGAAAATTGTTTATCGAAAGGTCAGATGTGGCGAATACACACCATAGGAATAGCTATCTTGGCTTGATGCATTCCAGTGAACATTTTTTTTTTATCTTCGTTGTTGCTCTTCCTGCTGTGCGACAGTTAATTCAATAGTGTACTGCATTTCTTGTCAGACATACTGTTAGACAGTGTTCACAAGTGGCTTCCCTTTCATTAAAAAAAAAAAAAAGAAAACCTCACATTGTCCCTTTCGCATTCATGGAAGATGAGCGGAACGCAAAAGCGATCTTGTTTTATTTTTCAGCCAATGTATTGATGCTGCCCTGCCACCCTTCGAAAGCCCTCTACACCTAACACACATTTACACTGCCTCCTAATTGGGAAGCACCTCACCTGGTTTTGGTTTGCCTCCGTGATCAGAGCACGTTTGAACAAGCTACGGTGCGATGCAGTGACATCATTGAGCGACGTGATGCCATCATGACGTGACGTCATGCTGGCGTCAGAAATTTTTGGCTATCTGTGCCGTCAGTATGTTGTCATATGGCAACCTCATCTCATGATGATCATATTTAGGGGTGAACCTCCGTAGGGCCGAGCCTTGTTGGCGTCCGTCGCACTCCACAACATCAAAACCAAATGCCTGCACAACGAAAAAAGAAAACATCTGTGTAAAAAATAAATCGACCTCGCTCAAGTATGCAACAGCACAATACATGATCACCTATGCCACCTGTCTGTCTGTACCTTCATTCATTCATCTGTCCATGCTTCTTACTAGTGGGCGACTTCAATGTAGATGTTATGGACCTCAGGGCCTACCTTCGTCATCATTCACTTCGTGGAGATACATGGATTTTCGCTCATCACACGTCCTCGACACTGTTGGGCTGGAGACATCAATGGTCAAATTTTGCGTTTGACGAGTCGTGTAAAGCTTTCGACTTGATAAATCCGAAATTTGTTTTCAGACGCCACATAATGCTGGTTAACAGAGGCTGCTGCCTTCTCACTTTTTTTTTCTCCTTCAACGCATGAAATCATTTACCCCATCTCCTTTTACACGCACCTGGTGCATAATTCTGAATATTTTTTCTAGTGTGTTTACAGTGTATGTAGATACAATTCTCTAGAAAATAATTGTGATGTAGCACATTTGGAATTCATCTAAACGGCACCTCCTGTTTTTTTAGAGGAGATGCAAAACAAAAGTACGGTGAAGTAATATTGGCTTGTTGGTGCCGTCGAGTACTGACAGTTGCAGTATTGTCACTGGGAGGGCAGTGCCTGTAAAAAAAAAAAATAACATAAACTATAAAGAGGAGCATTGTTGCCATTTGAGCGCTGGAGTGTCAGTTTTTACTGCAGTAAAAGGTGACACTCCGGATTGGGGGATGGTCGGTGATGCAACATAATGTTGTCATGCAGCAATGTATTATTGCAATAGCAATTATATGGACACTCTCGGCTGGATTTCGCTGTCGGCGTCGATATATGTATATGTATACGTATATGTATATATATGTATATATATATGTATATGTATACATACCGTATATGTATGCGTATATATGTCTATGAAAACGCAAGAAAGGAAAAAATCCAGCTAAAAAGACTCCGGCGTGCAAAATTGAACGTGGGACCTTTGCGTCATGTATGCGAGGCGTTAACCACTGAGCTACCGAAAGGTACCTCCTTACACATTCAAACGGCAAGCTATCTGTATCTGCCACTTACCGCTGCTGGCGGGAACTTTGGGGGGGAGCTATTGTTTCAGTTTCAGCATTATCAGCGAGATGGCGCAATGTGCGAGCGGAGGCTCTCATCTTTCACTTGTACTTTGGCCCGCGGAGAGGAGGTGATTGGACGATCTCTCACGCGCCTTTATCTCCTGGTGGGGAGGATCATGTCTTGGCTGGCGTTCGGCTTGCACTGGAACAATTCTGTTGTAGTTACGGGGCGCACAAAGGTCACTGCTATCGTTTAAAACCTCCGTTTGCGAAAATGGCGCGCTTTTCAGACACAGCGAAGTAACAACTGAAACGCTTATCCGCGTGCATCTGTACCTGTGAGTACGTTTCGTGTGTCATTTGTGCGTGAGAAATGCCGGGCACGTTTTGATGTGCTTGCCATTCTGCGCGTGACCTTCCAATTTGTTGGCATCGAGTTCATTGCTTCGCCTTTGCGGCAAAGCTGTTACTTTTTTTATGATGTACTTAACGCATGGCACTGCCCCTTGGCTGTGATTGTGTAATAAAATTTCTGGAATTTATCATTGTTTAATGAAGATTATTTTTTAAAGGACGAGCATACACATATCAATAGGAGCCTCTACAAGCAATACTGCGAACCTCATATAAATTACATTCAGAAAAAAGAAAGTGCCTTTCTTTTGAATTTTTATAAGTTTTGGAAAAAGGCCTGAAGAATTCTTGGTATCAACATTCTTTATTTTAATTAATGAGCTCCTAATGACCTGAGGCACATTTTAAGGTATATAGCCACTAATATCAGTGTGTCACATCTAGCATTGAAACTTGTACGCATGTGAATCAACTTTTCTTATCCGATAGGTCACTGCAAAACAGCATCAAGAGACGCTACGTACTGCAACCATTGAGCCATGGGCTGCTCGCTGCCAAGATGTGGACATTGATATTGCTGGGACACATCATTCCCAAAAAGGTGAGCCGCCAAGGCACTGGTGAATATGAAAAAACCATCGTTGATGGCAATCAAGAGGTTCTAAAAGGGTTTGCAATATCAAAGCTTATTTTAGTCAACATTTTATTTAGAATGCCACCTTGACTCTTTTTGCTCTTACCGAAAAATTCCGAGCAAGCCCCCCCCCCCCTCCCACTCCTAAATTGCTGAAAGAGTGGAATGAGGCGCTATCTCAGAACTGCACCAAAATTCAAGATGGCGACAAAATTTCTGGTTAAAAAAAAAAAATGCAGTATGCATGGATTAAAATTTCACGACAGTGAGCTTTATTTAGGGCGACGATTTGTTGTAGCTTTTTATAGCTTTCAAAACCATCGAAAGGCTCCTTCAAGTCAGTTGCAAAAAACAGGTCGCAGCATTCCCCTTGAAGTCCACCACGGTGCTCTGGCACACAGCTCTAAAACATTGGCCAGTCCATTGTGCAGGTCACCATCCTCTTAAGCCATCAAGCACGTTAATAATTCCACATCCCTCGAAGGACCGTGTCACTGTTTCCTCGTATACAAAGGCCCACGCCTCAGCAACGAAATGGAGCACATGTTGCCGCGATGGATTCAAACTTTCTTTCGGCGTTCGTGGTTGATACTGCTTTTACAAACGCCACTAAGTGGACTTGAACAGCTTATTCCAATACACGTCAGCAGGTTGCAGGATGCTCGTGCACCCCGTAGGCACGTTAAGCACGTTGGTGTTGTTCTTCTTGAAGGAATTTGTGGTGGCTTGTGTCTTACAGATGTACGTCTGGTCCAACACTAGTAAGAGTCACACGTCGTCAATGTTTTGGCCCCGGACTCTCGACAACCATTTTTGCATTTTCTCTGATATCATTCAGCCATTTTTCATGGCGGTAAAACAAACATTTGCTATGAATGGGAAAAAAAGTCAGAGTTGTGATAAAACGAACTAGGCGACTATGTGACCCCTCACCCCATTACAAAAATAAAACTATTCTCACCTGGTATGTGAAGGCTTGCAAAGACCCTGGCTGGAATGTTTCCGCTTTGCTCCTTGATGATAACAAAGGCCAGGAGCTTGATGCCAAGTGGCACAAGCAGCTAGGTAAGCTGTAAAGCCTCGCCAGGCACATCCAGTGTTCGCGATCCATATGGTGCTTTCGCTGACCACGTTGTTTGTCCTGTTAGTGGGGTTGTCTATTCGCACCATCGTCTGATCTATGTTGGCCTTGTTATATAAGGTGTAGCCGTTGCACCATCGCAGCGAGTTCGCATAAGACCCAAAGGCACTTGCTGTCTCAGAAAAACCCTTGGGCGTCTTCTGGCTCTCGCTCGTAGCGCGGCGCATTGCAACGCTGAACCGCTGTTTCCAGTGATTTTATGTAATGGCTGGAGGTTACAAAGTTTCCCAACTGCATGCTGTCGGCAATTTTGGTGGCCTCTTCAAAAAGAGTCCGGTTACTGACGGCGTGTCCTGCACCTCTGGTCATGCTCAAGCTACTCGAAGAGCGCATTGTTCACGTGTTCACTGAACACTGTTGCGCCGTTACCGAGCTTCCCTCGAAGTTTTGCCTTCCCGTAGTTTAGCTGCTACAAACTATCGAAATTTTGCTCTTATTCCCATATCTACTTCCAGTCGAGCTTGAAATGTCAAGACGCCTGGTGCACATTGTTTCCATTTTCTCGATGCCATCGAATAACCTCAATTTTCTTCACCACTGTGTAGGACTGCATAGGCATAGCTGACCTCTCACTCGAAACACAAAGTAGCAAATGGTGCAGAGCATGTCGCAAAGCAATCGGACTGCAGTACAAAGAAAGATTGGATTGGGGTGGGGGGCACTTTCCCAGAACAACGCAGCTTTTTGAAATTGCCAGTGAATTGGGGGGGGGGGGGGGGGGCATTAGTATGGGTGGGGCACTTTCTTGGAATTTTACAGTAGCTGTGCGAGATTGAAATGAGCCGCTGCACTCATGGAACAGATGGACACAGTAGGCACCATCATAACACATGGTGAGCTCATAAGCCATATCTAAAAAATAACTCATAACGTGCCAAATAGCCCATTATAATGCTATTCGTACAGGAATAACATAGCACCCACAATCTACTGTGAATGAGGCATCACATACATTTGACTTGCTGCACAAGTTCGTGGGGCAGAGCCGTGGAACCACCACCAAAGATCCTGTGCAAGACATGTCCTTCTACGAACGCTGGCAAGCCCCAGTCTTCGTAATGCACCTTTATAATCTCGCTCTTTCATTGGCACCACCGCTACACTCTCTGAAAAATATAAAGTTGCGCCAACTGCATCCCTTTCCCTCTGCCTTGTCTTCTAGCAGAAGCAAAAGCACCTCTAGCATGTCCACCAGGAATCTATGGTTTTTTTCCCTGTAGTGAAAGCACCTTTTTTCTGTTCTTGTAGCTGTGTTAGTTACCACTGGCACAACTGGTCGGCATACCGAAGCATGGATAGTTCAAGCAGACTCAAGCATGTTCAACCACACACGGTGCACCAACAGGGGCGGCGCCAGGGGTGTACACAGGGGTGCTGGAGCTCCCATTAAGGTTTCTGCCTGCCCCCTCGTTGCCTCCCCCCCCAAGAGGGAACATAGTCATAAAACTATGGGTAAGTTCCCTGCCTCCCTCTAGGAACTGATTTACTGTGGGTACCCCCCCAGTAAAATAATCCTGGCACCGTCCCTGTACACCAATCAAGTAAACAACCCAGACATGGATACATAAGATGGTGCTTGCACAATCTTCTAAAAAGCTAGTGCACCCACTCCTAAAAACTAGCAACTTCGTAGCACCGCCAAGTTTTCAGTGGCACTGCTGCAAAGCAAGCACGTTTGGGTGCTAAGTAATTTATTGTACATTTTTGCACCAAGAAAACATGTCGCTTGCTTTTGTATTCATTATTGTTGTAGTGATCCCTATTTTTCGTGCTCTTTAGTTCATGAACTTTTTCCATCACTCCACATAGAACCACAGTGCCCTCGGGCGCTCCAGCAGTAGAGTTGCACAAGTTCGTGAGCTTCACAGCTGGACCAACTTCATTTGCTATCTACAAAGTGGGCAAGAAAGGTGCCTGTACACTGACACGAACGGCGCTACTTCAGTTTTTTTCAGGGACTTAAGCCACTGTGCAAGCATACCGCCGTCTCTCGGTCTTCGGTGGCCAAGCTAGCTGCCTTGATCCACCGGATGTGCGTGCACCATGAGGCGAAAATAACTTTACCGAGGGTGATAGCACGCTCATAGCCGTCATAGCCGAAAATTAAAGTGCTTTCATTGTTTTTTCTCCTGTAACACCATTCCTTTAAAAGTTTGCAAGGTTTGTGGAGCTTATGACAGTAGTACTGACTCTAGTGCGGATTATGAAGCTACTGGTTATATTTTTAGGAACTTCCAAGAAATGTTCTCTTTTAAATGTCATCTTTGTTGCCACAAAACGCTGTGGTCTTTTTGCAGTAATCCTTCCTATAAAGATGCTAGATTAATAAACACTTTTACTTACTATTATATCCACAGACACCTGTGATTCAAGCATTAGGAGTCGTTTTGCATGAACAAGCGAACTGGAAGGTACCACAGAGGTAAGAAAAAGCATCTTTTTTTTTTTTTTTCATTTCTCCTAAATATCTGGTCCATCAAGCACATGAAATCAGATCATCGTTAGATGTACGCATTTTTGTTCATTCTCAAAAGTAGGCACAATGATGAAGATCTTCTATATGTCTACGTTTGTCATGTCAGTCATGCAAGACGTGCAACCAGCATCGTTTATTAAATTCCGCTATCATGTGGGAAAACGTACGTAGGCCAAACGGGGTGCTGCGTGAATGATTGTAAAAGGGAATGTAAGCCGTCGATTATATAATTAATGGGAAGGAGCATTGCTTGCAAGTGTGCACCGATTTTCCTAAACATGAAGATTTTTAGCAAGGGCTGTAACACTACAGCCCACATACTGATAGAGCCTTTTTATTTATCTGTAGTAAATAACACATTTCATTATTTGATAGCAAGTGGAAATTTTTGCATGCAATTTTGTAACATGTTGTCTCGCGACTACATGACCATCTTTCTTCCACACATCTGTTTGAGCATATTTATTGCAGAGCGACGAAAATTAAATGTCAGTTGAAAGTTTGTGTCTGTCCTGTCCATGTCCGTTTACTGCATCCCTGCTTGTCATTTGCTACATCCCAATTTTACTTGAATTCTTGTTTCGTACAAATTTACATTCATTTTGATGAGGCAGCTTTTGCTTGCATCACAGGTTATGCTGTTTACACTAATTAGCATGATAATTGGTTGCTTTAGAGCATGCAACACCATGTTAAACCACACTAAGGTGGTCATAATGGCTTATTGGGAGGATTGGTGATTCACAATACTGCTTGCAAAAATGAGCGCGTAACCACACAAGGTCACTAGAGGACAAGGACATATGTTCCTGCAGGTTTGTGCCCCTGCGTAGTTACCCGTATTTCAAGTACTAATGTGGTTGGGGTTTGGAGCTAAGAATACCTAGAACAGTGAACTGATTAATGTGCCAGATACACCCAGTTTTAATGGGAAACATTATCAGCAATGTGCTAAGGGGATAAACTATTCCATCTTTTTTTCTAGGTTTGATGCTTCAAGGTTTGAGGATGCTCCAGAGGACCCATTGGCCTTCTGTCCATTTGGCTTTGCCGGCAAAAGACAGTGCCCGGGTCAGGACCTGAGCATTCTGGTGATGGGAGTATTTCTAGCCACATTGTGCCCGGTACTGAAGTTTCACTTCGTCCCGGACCAAGTAATCACCCCCATGTCAGCTCTAATAACTCGACCGCAGGACGAGGTTTGGGTTACGATCAAGAGAAGATAGCCTGGCTTGCCCTCGGGATGAAGCACGAGACCTTGGCATGAAGTTTCAGTCAACAGTGGTTGGTGCCTGACCTGGAATAACTTAAATCATAAATCGCTGACAAGAAACCCATGGCATGGCAGGTTGTGGCGGTGGTGGTTGCATGAGCGTTTGACCTTGATGGCAAAAGAAAGAAGAACCCATACCCCAAGCTGCTTTTCCACACTTGTGAGGGGGTGAGCTAGGCAAAAGGTACATCTATCATAAATTTGTAATTGAAGGACAATAACAGACGGCGAAATGATGAGCAGATCAAGTTCTTGTGGAGTGTTGTACTCAGTCTTTTGAATTGAGCCGGAGAACCTGCACCAACAAAAGCACAGCATTCGGCGTGGTGATACGCACATTGTAAGCAGTTCATGCCTGTTGGGGCTCTAACAGTCAAGACAGTGCCCTGAAACTGCAGGACTGGCAGTGTCTTGGAACATTTACAAAATAATTATGATGTGAATGCCAAGTTGTATAGCTGCATTTATTTTTTAGAGTTTGTGTGAATGAGACAGCCGTGCATGCTACAGATGCCATTAGGTAGATGCGCACTTTTGGGAAGCGGAGTTCTGCCGGGTGGTCATTGAGCTTGCAGGCACAATCCTAAGTTCGGTGCATTGCAATGTTGATCATTTCGCAGTTCCTTCGAAAGTTACATTTTGCAAACATTGCCTACACTTTACTGATAGATGAAACGAGCTGAATCGTAGTTTTTCAGCGGTCACCACTTTCCGTGAGTCACCACACATATGCTTTCTCACAACTTATAAAAACAGAGTCAATTCTTGTCATGTAGAATTTTGCCAGACACTAATTGTACCTTTTCGCAAGGTTACCAGGAAGTCTGCCATTATCTCCTAAAATCTTATTGAATGGTTAGAGCAATAAATAAAATAAGAAACTAAATTAATTTTTAAGTGTGTGTGTTAAGCCTGAATTCCAGTTTGATAACATTTAGATGTTAAGATTGGATGTGTGTGTTGATGAACCTTCAACTTCCTCACAGGAAACATTCCCGTTCAAATGCACTGAAATCAAATGCACACATGTATGCAATGGGACCTCACAGGTCAATTACCGCGTGAACGTGTGGGTGTCTGAAATGAATGTTGATCATATTTACTTAAGCCGCCATTACTTTCCTGCAGATTACGCACAGGTGACGGAAAGTATCACTATAACCAGGCGTTTCTTTTATATATATATATACATATATATATATATATATATATATATATATATATATATATATATATATATATATATATATATATATATATATATATATATATATATATATTACATATATTCATGGTTCCTTTGGTTACAATAAAATAGTCATTTTGGCAACTGTCAAATTTTTGAACGGCATCGCTTCATTTTGTAAAAGCACTGATTTGTGTAGTACATTGCATTCCTAGATATTGTGTCAAGTATATTTCACAGAGGCTACGTAATTTATGCCTTTAATGAATACATTGGGGATATGCCCACAGCAAACTTAGTATAAGTAATATTAGAATGTTGCAAATTGTTTTGTATCTTTACTTGTGCCCTTGTTTTCTGACAAGCTCAACATCTGCAGAAATGTTGAATGCAAGCAGTAGTGGGGGCCACAAATTTAAATTTTATTTGCGTGCCCAGGACATGGAAACATTCTCAGACATTTCAGATACTGAACCTCGTTAATTTCTCATGCCAATAATTTGTCTAAATACAAAATGTGCTTACAAGCTAATGTGCATGTTTGTGCACTCTGACAACACTGCAGTAGAAAGACAGAAAAAATTACTTACAGAACTTTATATCACCAACCTGTTTATAAAGTGTAGGAGTACCTTTAGACGCCCAGGTCAGGCCACCGTTTAATGTGCCGAACAGCGACGAGACAGCAGCCAGTAGTTTCAGCAGAAGCAGCACAAGCCTTCTTCATCTTCTTCTTCGTCGTTCCTCCAGCAGTGCCCATATTTGTCATTACAATAACTTCCCGGTGAAAAGGGAGCCATTCTGGCGACCTATAGTGCAGGCAAGTCTGGTAGGTCGTAGTAAGGTTTCAAAAGGTCAACTTGCACAGTTTCGTGCCCGCGGCGCTGTTTATCTGTAGGTGACTGAATAGGCTCAACAATGGAGTTGACTGGCGATGTCTAGTGCAAGACCCTGTAAGGACCGTCATACTTGGGTATAAACTTTGAGAAAAGGCCGAAAGCAGACAATGGCATGCGGAGCCACATGATTGTTCCAGTGGCATATGACCAGGGGATGACTGTCAATTATGAGAGTGCTTCTGACGAGCCTGATCGTGCGTGGTAAGCAAATGTTCTAGCACATTCTTCGGCATAAGTGGCAGCTTCGCCCAAAGTCGTCGATTCTGAACGGTCTGGGTGGTACAGACTGGTAGTGTCCAAGAACGAGAAATGTTCTTCCCGACCATAAAGAAGAAAGAACGGGGAAAATCCAGTTGTAGATTGAATGGCACTGTTGCAAGCATAAGTAACGAATGGCAGTGTACAGTCTAAATTCGTGTGGTCATCGAAAAACATATATGGAGAGCGTGTCACCTAGCGTGCGATTAAATTGCTCGGTCATTCCTTTGGTTTAGGGGTGGGTGATATGCGGTGCAACACGATGTTACATTCACGCAGTAGGGCTTCTACAGCTTCGGACTAAAAGGAATGCCCATGGTCACTGAGAAGCTTGCGGGGTGCACCATGCTGAAGGACAAGGTTGCGCAAAATGAACAAGCCGAGCTCACGCGCAGTGGCCTCGGGAAGCGCCGAAGTTTCAGTATAGCACGTAAGGTGATTTACGGCTACGATGACCCATATTTCTATTTGGTGCGTATGGTAGTGGAGCATACAAGTCGATTCCGATGCGGTCGAAAGACCAAAAGGACAAGGCAGTGGGTGGAGTGGCCCTGTGTTCGTGCGAGGGGAGCTCTTCCGGCGTTGGCACAAGGAACAAAGTACTGTTTCACAAAGCACAAGGAACAATGTACTGCCGAACAAAGTGGTACATTCCGCGCCAGGAGTATCGAATCTGTAGGCGATCATGCGTCTTCACCACACCAGCATGGGTGCATTGCAAACTTGTGTAGAAGAAGGCACAGACGTCGGAATGTAGATGGCGAGGGATTACCAACAACCATTTGCGCCCATCAGATAAGTCGTTTCGCCGGTATAGCAGTTCGTCGCAGATTGTGAAATGACGAGCAATTCGTCAATGAACAGTTGTTAGTACATGAAGATGCCCGAGGCAGGTACTCTAGGAAAGACGCTATCCATGGATCCTGACGTTGCTCAGAGGACATGTTGGCATGTTCAAGTGAAGAACATTCACAGCTGGAAACGGACGCTGTAACATGATCGTGAAGAAGTGGCGAGCGAGAAAGAGCGTCAGCGTCCGAATGCTTGCAGCCTGACCGATAAACTACACAGATGTCATAATCTTGAAGACAAAGCGCCCAGCGAGCTAGGCGACCAAATCGATCTTATAATGACGCCAACCAACACGATGCGTAGATCAGTCACGACATCGAATGGGCGGCCATATACGTAAGGTCAGAACTTTGTGATTGCCCAAACGATGGCAAAACATTCCTTTTCTGTGACTGAGTAGTTCTTTTCCACTTTAGTGAGGGTGCGACTAGCATAGGAAACAACATAGTCATCAAAACCAGAAAGATTTACGCTGGGCAAGAATAACGCCGAGGCCTACTCCACTAGCGTCCGTATGGATTTCGCTTGGAGCGTCTGGGTCAAAGTGGCATAGGATAGGTGGTGATGTGAGAAGATGGCATAAAGAGGCGAATGCTTCGTCGCATGCGGGAAACCACGCCTGAGATGTCTTGATTGTTGGCAAGTAGCTGCTGTCAGGGATGCGATTATGGTGGCGAGAATTGCACACTAAATGGCAAAAACATAAACAGGAGGCATATGAAGCTGCGGAGTTCTTTTAGTGTAGCCAGCTTGGGAAAGTCCGCGACAGCACGAAGTTTGGCTGGACCAGGACGAACACCATGCTTGCTAACAACAGTAAGCTGGCGGGCGGCGAAGTGGCATTTCTTCAAATTCAGCTGCAGTCCAGCGTCTGTAAAACAAGTCAGGATGTTTGCAAGGCGGCTGAGGTGGGAGTCGAAGTCCTTCGAGAAAACGAAGACATCATCCATATAGCACAGACATGTGTTCCATTTAAAGCCTCTCAGGATTTTGTCCATGAGATGTTCGAAGGTGGCAGGCGCATTAAAGATGCCCAATGGCATCACGTTGCAATCGTACAATCCATCAGGCATTGCAAACGCAGTCTTGGAGCAGTCGGCTTCATTTATAAGGACCTGCCAGTAGCATGATCGCAGGTCTAAAGAAGAATAACTGCTCCTTGCAGGCAATTGAGGGAGTCATTGATTCTGGGCAGCAAATAAACATTCTTTCCCGTGCTTTTAAGATGCCTATAATCAAAGCAGAATTTGATGCTGCCATCCTTTTTTTTTCCACCAGAATAACCGGAAAGGCCCAAGGGCTGTTTGAAGGTTGTATTACACCATGCTGAAGCATATCGTTCACCTGATCATCAATGACAGGCGTTCAGCATGAGAAACTCTGTATGGGCGCTGGGGCAATGGTGCATGGCTACCGGTGTTGATGTGGTGAACGATGGCAGATGTGCGACCCAAAGAAGGTTGGCTATGGTGAAATGACATCCTGAAGCGATCGAGTAGCAATCGAGTAGAACCAGGAGTTGGGTACACTCTGCAGCGGGAAGTTCAGGGTCAATTGATGGGGAAAATGCCTTGAGAGATGAAGTGGGAGTGGCATCAGGAGTAATGGTGTTTACATGAGATGAAGGCAAGCTATCAGGTAGGTGACTGGAGGAAACAGAATCAATTTCCTCAACGTGAGTGATGACTTCGTCCATGGAATAATATGGCTGGAGAAGGAAGCAGGTTCGTTATATAGACGGAGCCACGCGAGTTTCGACAGTTCCATTAATAGAAGTGTACATTCCAGAACTAGTCTTACTTTATTAAAGTGGGAAATTCAGCTTGTTCAGGCTTGCAGTAACATAGTGCTAAATAACATTACAAAGAAGACCACATCTTTCATTCTTTAGCTCTGTTGTTTACACTGCTTAACTCATTTGGCTCGAAGTGAAAGCTATGAATTCAGTGAGAAACAGAAAGGACACAGCTTTTTTTTTTTTAGCTGCATCAGTAACTTACAATCTTACAGAACCAGAAAAAGTTTATCTGTTCTGCCAGAAGAGGCTTACAAGTACCCAAAAGATGCTAAGGTGAACAATACCTTGCATTCCCATGTCTGCAAACTGAAATATCATAGATTTAAACAGTGCTCGAGCATGGTTATTTTTATTTGTACTAATTAATAGGCTTGCATTCTGACATAGCCAGAAATGCGGAGCAAGAAAGGGGGGGAAGGCAAAGAGCTGATGACAGTTGAAACATAACTTTCGCCTTACCTCCAGTCATAAGCCGAACAAACTGGAATTATTGAAAATGAGTTTTCACAGAAAATTCAGTCAGTCTAAGCTGATTTAGTGCTTCTTTAACATTTTCTCTACAACAGCACTACTAGCAAAAAGATTTACACGCTGGGAGAAGTAGCCCGAAAATCTTCGACAGAATCGGCGTCTTCCACACAGGAAAAGTTAAGAACGAGGAGACTAGATCATCAGTTGAAAAAAAAAACATGCAATTAGATATTTTCAGGACCATAGATATATTTTGCAGTGTATTGATGCATAATTCTTAATAGGGAGCTCATTTCAGTCTTTCATGTACATGTGTGGTATAGACAAACTAAACACACTCTATTGCATCTCTTTCCACACCAACCGCACCTTGGTGCTTAGTGCCAAAGCAAGGCCAATGGTTCACGTCATAATTTCCACAAATTTTTGGCCACATTCTGTTTTGACTACAGTGTGTTCAATGGCCAACACCAACAGCTAGCAAGAGCTGCTTGCCTATTTAGCTGTGGCAGGAAGTACCTGCCACGCAAATGACTTTACTGGCAATAACAATCTGGTTGATTACCTCTATTTTTCTTCTCTCAATGTAGACTAGCATTGCTGCGTAAGTCCAAGCAGTCCAAGACAATTAACAGGTGCAGCCCTGCCGCGGTGGTCTAGTGGCTAAGCTACTCGGCTGCCGACCCGCAGGTCACGGGATCGAATCCCGGCTGCGGCGGCTGCATTTCTGATGGAGGCGAAATGTTGTAGGCCCTTGTGCTCAGATTTGGGTGCACGTTAAAGAACCCCAGGTGGTCGAAATTCCTGGAGCCCTTCACTACGGCGTCTCTCATAATCATAGTGTGGTTTTGGGACATTAAACCCTACAAATCAATCAATCAATCAATTAACAGGTGCAACCTTGGACCAATATATCACACTTTATTATTGTATAAAAAGTTGCCTTGTGGAGCATTAAATGCCTAGATTGAGAACAGACTCGGGGAAACAAGCACAGCAAAGCTTGCCATTCTGTCAATGTCCACAGATGGTGACACCTAAGTGAAAATTGGTTAGTGCTCGTTTCCGTGCTCTGCACGCTTTTTTACATTTGACGCCTATTCAGATTGTCCTATTTTTTTATTTATCTGGAAGTGCTCGACTACGTAACCAACCCTTTCGAGTTCACTGCACAGCACACGTGGCGAGCCGTTGAGAATTATGCCTGTGAGCCTTTATTTAACAAAAGAGAGATCCCAAGAATAACAGCAAGAGGTCTCGTAGGAAGACTGGGTAAAAGACCTCGTCTGCTTGTGTTGAATGGATTGAGAACGCCTCCGCATCCTTCAGGTCTTGAGCAAAAAGTGTTATTATACCAACAGCGAGAAGAAACCAGCATGTAACCGAAGGGAAGCCAGAACACAGAGGCCATAGGAACAACAGTCAAAAGCATGTCATCGTTTGCCTGTTGGTCTTGTAACAGTGACCGTTGGCACAGTTGGGATTACTGTCTTTTTTTTTTCTCTCTCTCTCTTTCTTTCACAAGCAACAGCCTCACAATAAAACTATTTTCCCCTCAATTTTTTAAAAAGCACTACACTGGAAACTCTGGGAGAAAGAAAAACTGTGGGTGGCTCTGCACCAATGCACATTTTATACATACATACACCGACACATGCGCCGGCATTATGAAGGTACACGGTCTACACGCATCCCAGAAACTGCTTTCGCACGCCAAAATGAGAAAGTTTTAACAGCAAATTTCTGATACACATTCTTCGAATGATATGTTTTGCTCTCATCCAGTCAAAAGGTACTCTTTGCTAGACAGCCTGTTGCCATTACTGCATTGCCACAGGTTGTGAGTACCCGCTCTTATCGGGGCTTGTACAGAGCTTGGGAAAAGTGGCTGTGGGCAGCAGCTGAGGAGATGCAAGAGTGGGTAGCAATTATGTGAAATGCATGCTGCTCCAAGTTAATTATGCTCTTGCGTAAAAGGCCAGCAGCCACTGAAGAACCTCAAGCAAATACCCACCTCACCAACACAAACAAGCTACTTACAAACACACCATTTAACGAAAAATTCTTGAACAGTGTGTCGCTGGAGACATTCAACAAGCAAACTTGTCTTCGTCAAGTTACAGCCTCGAAGAAGAGAAATCTGCATGTTGAAACATTGGTTCTGGCAACACACTGGGCTCAAGAACAAATGACTGTCACCAAAACTGCCCCCATTCACTCTGGAGCCAGTGCAAAACAGAAAAATATTGACAAGTTTCGATTCGGTAACAGCATCCTCAGGCAAGTGTGCATAGCTTGAACATACCCCAAGATATACTTCAGCTTAGTTAAATTTTTGTGAATACAGTCGAAACCTATTGCCAACAATTTTTAAAAACATAGCTGTCTTAGATATTGACCACAACACACAGCCACAGTTATCTCGTTAATTCAATTGCACTAGTAAAATGGCGAAGACAGTAAAGAATAAACATTCAATCTTTCTTTCACTAATGTTTTCAAATGAGCTACACTCAAACTTCGATATAACAAATTATCGGTTATTATGAAGTAAATAAAAAATAGCTCTGTCAGACACAGTGCTGCAAGTATATGTCTATAACAAATTTTTTGGATATAATGAAACACTTTTGTGGCAGATATGACTTCGTTATAAGGAGGTCTGAGTGTATAACAAATACAGCAATTTATTTTGCCGAGTTCTTACACTGTTACAAAAGAGGAAACGTTCAAGTAATATAGCAAAGCTACGGCCTCTGTAAGAACAAACAAACAAGACATAAATATATCCCCTCTCCCTGCAGCTTCATCTACTTTCACAGGATCTACCACTCTTACCATTCACACCAGTGTACACACATTGCACATTGCATAATGCCTGCTGCCCACAATTTTACTTTTCTTGACCAAATAAAGACTATATGAGTCATCAATTTTTTTGTATCATCATGTCACGATAAAACACTGGAGAGAACTACAGTGATGCATTTCCGCAACCAGTCACAGTTTCATAGCCTCCTGTATTACTTGTATGAAAATGATGCAGATTCCACGTTAACTTTGCATAATTTCTATACAATGTGGAAAATATAAGGAAGGAATCGCAACACTGCATACAGAAATTTCAATGGGGAACTACATCCAAGTATCACAATCGAGACAAAAATAAACAAACATGCAAGCAAGAGAACACTGTCGCATCTAGAAGCTTGCGCAGGAAAAAAAAAAAGGACGCGCATCGAACAATCCCTGTAGGTGTGCAAGTAGTAATGAGGCTGCAGTAAACAGTTCAATGTATGACTAAGTCAGGCCGGTTACCAACGTGTTCCATCTGCCACATGACATGTTGCTAATGTAGTGGAGCTAATTTGTGCGTGGAATATTTTCTTCAAAACCCATGCAATCAAAAGGAACTCGGACGTGCTTTTCTTTTCCTTAATTTTTGTGTGAATTGTACCTGCAGCAAGTTCCCAAGCACACCAATAAGCCAAGGTAAGGCTCGAGACAAATATGCCGCGAGAGATTTTCACGTGAAGTGCGATGCAATAAATGTATGACAGAGCATCCTAGCGCATTTTATAGTGGCCCAGCACATTGCGAAAAGCTTTATAACTGCTCATGCACAGAAGTGCACAACACACAATACCTACTTCTGATTCGGAGTGTTCACAAATATTTCCACAGGTACAAATTTACACCACGTCCTCGGTAACGACGTTTGACTTGCAGAGTCGGGAGCACGCCGCCACTTATCAATTTGCAGCAGAAATTGAAATTCAGCTGCTGCTGTTGCAATTATTGTTGTCTTTGGAGGATGAATGACCCTTATTCAATAGAATTAAAAGCCCATGTGACCAGTGTCTTTGGGATCATATACTCGGAGATTTGTATAGACCACCAGCAAAAATTTAATTTTTACATCTCATTTTATCCAATCCAGTAACTGAAATGACTTAAAATGTCATGCTGTTCTATTTTGTACACATGCTCATCCCATGGCTCAGCACCTGGAAATAAGACGGCTGCATCACAGGCCTCACTTATCAGTGAAGCAGTTATGTTTAGCAGAAAGGTATGTTTAATCACTTTTGCATATTTTTGTTAAACACAGTGAAATTGGCTCACAATGGAGTATTTATGATATGCTATTATGTGCATATGTTTTAAATATTGCCTTTATAACAAATAGGTATGTATATGAGAGAGTTAGTAGTATAGAGGCAGCTGGTTAAATCGACTTGTGCAAATGTTTTTCAAGCACCAATATTTTTTTTCTGTGTGCAGGTAAATTAACCAACCAACCCAGCTCATGTCATCAATATGCTATGTGTAAGCTGTACAGGCTGACAAAGCTCAATTTTGTAACTGTTGGCCTTACAACTCGAGATGGCAATTTGGCAGTTTCCATAAATGCTTTCTGGCAGAGGCAACATTCATTTCAACATTTCAAAAGCATACTAATTCTAAGGCTTACAGTCCTTATATTGCCTCGTGTAAGTGAAAATTAGATGCAAGTAGATACTACTGATCTTCTTGTGTGCTTTAGGTGAACCGATATTTGCCCTTAACATCCAGTCTCTGCTGCAGCCACTGCAAGAATATTTGAAGGCTGACACTTACAAACCACCTGTATAACCATTAGTTGCAGTCACAGCTAACGGTGAGAAAACAGTTTGCAACTACATACATCTACATATGAGCCATATGGTTTGTCTATATTACAGTAGTTTTGTTCCAGCATCATATGTGCGTAGAAAAACAAATGACTCCATAATCATAGAGAAAACGGTGATAAGCAATAAAAATGCTAGACCCACATTACACAAAAAAAAGAAAGAGGGGGAGGAGGGTTCACAGTTGGCAATAATGAGTAGCAGTGCCACCATCTTGTGCCCCCAGTTTTATGGGCTACTACATATCTCCCTCATGGAATTCAACAGCAAAGACCCTCGAATATAGCTGGAGAACTGCAGGTACTTTTTACACGACTTATGCAGAACAAGCCTAGCAAAACGCCAACTCATTTTGTAGGGAATCGCAAAATTTTCAATCCAGCTTCCCAACGCCTTTTTAAAGGGCACAGCCTATGTTTGTGCCAGTTTTCTGCAGTTGTCTTAAGGCCAATCTGAGAAATCTTCACAGAAAACACAGAGTGCAACAAGCTGTGGCACATAAATTGACCAAAGCTTGGCATGGATGTGATTGACTCAAAAGAAAGTATGCCAGTCCTGCGCTAGGTGCCACTCTGGTCGCGCTATGTACAAGCAGCTCAGCATGAGGGGCGCTAGAAAGCAGAGTAGAAAAGTAATGGCAGGACTTTGCAGACACCTTGCACTTAAAAGGCATTCCTTGCATCGTCGCCTGCCCAGCACAACCGAATGCATCAATCCATCACAAGTCCCACAAATAAAGGAGCTCAGTGCCCAAACGTTTCCAAGTGCATGCTAAGTGGGGTCGCTCTTCGAAAATATGCTACGTTTTCGTGGCCCATAATAAGGCCAACACAGCTGTCAATGCTCCACTCACAAAGACAGCTATCGTCATTTTGCACAACCCTGAAATTACTGTGTGGTACAAAACGGGAGAGAGAGAGAGACCGAGAGACTAGCGCTGTAAGCAACAACCATGGTGTGTCACTTCAATGGACCGGAGCGTCCTACTAATGTTAGGAAATTCGTGACCGTGCTACCAGAAGTATGTACACAATTAGCATGGTCAATTAATTACAAGCCTGCATTCACAGCACTGAGGTGATGTCGGTGTCAAGAGGTCTACATCTAATGGCTTCTCACTGTTGCAGCAGGTCACGGAGAACCTTCAAGCCAAAGGTGGAATGTGTAAAGTAAATGAGTTGCGAAAGGAAAATGCCAATAAACATTCTGGTGCACAAGCACAGCTGCACAGGCACACAGGTCACGTAGAGAACTGTCCATGTATTCTCACTTGAACTCACGGGTGCCAATAGCTTGACCAAACGTGGTTGTGAGGAAAAAAATGTGTCTGAACAGATTGACGCCTCAATGACCACTGACCTCGTCTTTGGAGCATATGTCTAAACAACTGACGTAGAGGGGCTGTAGTCGTAATAACATTTTTTTACAGAGGGAAAAAATTTTTTTATGATTTTCAAGTCTGCTGCTGCTAATTGCACGTGCCACATCTAAAAAACCATAGATTCAAAACTGCCACAAAAACCATAGCTTCATACTGACACAAGAAGCATCAAACAAGCTGTTGCTCTGCGTTAAGGCAGCACAGTTGCAAATGTGTTTGAATAAGATGAATTACATAGCACCGATGATCAACAAACATCAATGTAAATAATTAAAAAGAAGAAATAAAAAAGCGACACAAAAAAGTAATCATGTAGCAAGCTGGATGATAAGGGATATTTAAATGTCCTTTCAAGTTTCCTCTGTGCCTGCAGAAAAGCAGCATGGGGTGTTGCCTTCGCTGGTCACTGACATCTGTGGCAGTGGTTGCTCTGTTTTCAATACGGTGGATGTGGTGGTGCTGTTGGCGGTGGCTGCGAAAAGCCGTGTACTCCATGGGCTTTCCTTGCTTTCACACTGCCCTGGCACAGCTACAGCACAATTTCACCCTCAGTCACTGCAATCCCGCAAGGAGAGTCTTGTGGCTGCCTCGGGGCAAAGTCTGTGTAGTCATCGCACCACCCTACCCTTCAGTCTTTCAAGGAGCCATTGATTGTCACCACCACTTTTCTGGAGCCTGAAAAAAGAAAAAGGGGGGACACAGCCGAGTGTCAAGTAGGAATGAAAATGACCTAAAAATTGTCAACAGTGATTCCAGAAGCGAGCAATGCTTCTCGTATTACTATCTTGGCCACGTGTCGCCTCTAGTAGTGAGATATGAGAGTTCATGATTAGCTCTTGCCCAGCGTGATTCCCTCTCAGGCTTTAACCTTGTTAATAACTATATCTGGGGTTTCACGTCCCAAAACCGCCACGACATGATTATGAGAGACTCCACAGTGAAGTGCTCCGCAAATTCTGACCGTCGGGTGTCCTTAACGAGCACTGACATTGCGCAGCACATGGGCCTCTACCATTTCACCTCCATCGAAATTTGACCACCGCGGCTGGGATCAAATCCACGACCTTCGGCCCAGCAGCTGAGCACTGTAACCGATACACCACCACAGCAGACCTTGCATTTAACCTTGTTCGTTATTTCTTTCTCCATACTAACAAGCATCAATTCCACCAACATTTTACTAAACTTAAAAAATCGATTACAAGCTTTTAACCCCTTCTTCACAACCCGAGGTTCTCATGACCAGTAGCCACTTTTTTTTTTTTTTTTCCTATGACGACCTGTGCTAGTCATGGCTCTTCGAAGAATTCCAAGAGGACTTCTTAAAAGCCCAGCTCATCAAATAGTGTTTGGCCAAGTAAAAATAGTTGACAGCATGGGTTCTGTGAGTGGCACTTTTATTGAATAAGTATGCAAACTAAACGGCGAAATGCGCGACTTGCATTTACAGCGCAACATAAACGAATATAGCATATTCGTGTGGTGTTCTTGCACAATAAATTTTTGTTTCTTCAGATTATAAAAGCATGAGTAATAAGAATATTGGTGTTGTATTTCATCATTCTTCAAACTCTTATTTTCTGGAGTTGCAAGAATTTATTTTGCAATGTGCCTCAGATGCCCCAGGTATGGAGTATAACACGACAGTGCTAAAAATGACAAAAAAAGCATTATCTGCCATAAAAAGCTTTCACCTGTATTTTTTTATTTTGAACATTGAAGTCATTAAAAAAACTGGTAGATTTCGAACAATATTCTGTGGTTTAATGGGTACTTTAGCCTTTGAAATAAGACTGCCAGTGCCGAGATCATACCAGCAGCCTTCAGATAGGCAGTGCTAAGCTATGAAGCTACTGATTGAAAATATGCTCCAACCTAACACAACAAAATATAACCAAAACCACACAGACGTTTCGCCACCTATGTGGGTGGCATCTTCAGTATGCACTGACACCAAATGAGCGAAGGTCACCCAGTGTACTTCTAGTCTCGTATGTCTTTGTACACATCCTGTAGGGGGGCCACAGTTGTTTTTGAACGCCGACCTATCGCGGTAAATGATCCATGACTCAAGAAGCTTTCTCTTGCCCCATCTATGTTCTCGAGCCAGCGTATATTTTTAATCAATAACTCACCCGGCTTTTGGAACATTTTTCCACTCATACTGAGCTACTCTAATGAATAGTCGACTTTGGTCTCTATGTGTCACAGTGTAATCCAGCAACATAAGAAGACATGATTCTGTGAATGTATGGACTGATATGAGCAGTAAATTACTAAGCAGTCACAATAACTTATTGCAATTCTACATTTGTACATGGATTTACACTTTTACAACTTCCTTTCCTTAATTGAAGTAGCTACGTAACTACACAGGCACACAAAGCTAAACTTTTACAGTACGTTGTTGGGCCTCTCCTAACAACACAACATGGCCACAGCCATCTGTTGTCAGGCACTGCTCAGGAAGTTTTTTTGTGCTTGAGTCACGCACGCATTTTCTCGCTGCATTGTGCACCATTCCTAAAGAAGTGAGTGAACTTTTTTCACTTGAGCATTGTTTTCTTTAGTTTCAGACCGAGCTATTGATACATGGATAGAGGTTTCAGAATGCAAAGGGTTAAAAAGACAGTATGAACCCTACACATGCAATAAAAAAGAATGAGGAGGGGGAACAAACGAGTCTGAGGTGTGCTTCATCGCAAAAGTCTACTGACCTGCCCTGTTTCTATGCTCGCAGAGCCAGATGCCCTGCCAGGTGCCCAGGTTGAGCTTGCCATCCGTGATCGGAATGGACAGGCTCGACCCAAACAGAATAGCCTTGATATGGGCAGGCTGCAACAGGAGAAAAGAGCAGAAGCAGAAGAGTGAATTTAATCAGCAGCAGTGTCTGTCAAATATCTTGCGCAGCAAAGGACAGGGATTGTCATTTCCTATGCGAATGAAAGAGCAATGACAATACTGCAGAACTGAATCAGATGCTTTAAGCCAGTTTGCTAACAAATATTATGTACTTCATAATACTAATTACTAACAAATTACGATCTGAATGTGTGCTATGCAAATTTTCACCGTCACACTTGTTACATACTGAGGATGTAGATGTAGTCACTGACCAAGTCACGGTGAAAAAACACATACTAATTCCGTACTAGTGCTCGGTGGGAAAATAGCCTGGAAAGCATGGCCAAGTAAGTATAGCTGTGTGAATCGCAAAGTTTGGGGTGCAAAGCGAATTCAAATATTGAAGTGTGAGTGCAAATCGAATCGCATATTTTTCAAATATTTCTACACTACTTTACTTCTAAGTGAAATTGGGGGGAAAATGAAATACTAGTTGGGGAGGATTTCTTAGTATGTTCTCATGATACAGCAACATAAAAGTATCATTTGGCTAGGTTGATGAAGCACTATTGGGGAGGTGGTTCATACTTGTCTCATCAAGAATGAGGCAATGCAACCAAAGTGGTTGCCAACAACATTTAACACGTGAGAGGTAAAGACTGTACTTCCTCTACAATTTCTATGGAAGCTCAACTGATCTGGCAGACAAGGGTGCGCTCCCTTCTAGTCTGGTGCTCCGAATTGGCCTCGTAGACATCATTATATAAGAACATCGGAAATTTTGGCATCTGATTTTCGATGCTAAGCATCTCTTGCTTGTCCCGGGGTGTCAGCGTCGGAGTCTGCACTCGCACTACGTATGCGCAATTCTCCTCCTTCCCTCTCTTCAACAGCTGCACGTTAATCTCTCGCCTTGCCCCGCTGATGCAGGGAGTGTCTGCTAGCCTGTGCTTGCTCCCCCCCCTCTCTCCTCAAAGCATTCCTCCCAGCGGGCTTTACACCCGACTGCGCATGCGCGTCCCCTCACCCTCTCTCCTTTATAACGCTCCCCCCACTCTCGCCTCGCATTGCCGACGCAGGCAGCGTCTGCTAGCAAGTTTCTTGATTGAAAAAACCGACTCCTCACACTGCACAATCATTCACTGGCCACCCTGTATATATAGGCACTGATTTCCACCTCCAATGTAGTACCAGTGGGAGATTTTTCCTGTGCGTTATTGAACAATAAAAATTCGCAAGTGCGCATTAACTAAAAGCAGACAGCAAGTCTCTACTCAATCGGAGTCGTATGTTTTTAACTGCTCATTAGCAGTGACTGGCATGTTCCAGTAGGAAAACACCGGTCCACCACTGCGTTCTTTGGTCTTCCACAGGTTTCTCTCCAGTGCAAGGCCGCAATGAGCGCCAGCGTCAATGTCACCGCCAGTGTAAGCGTTAGCGCCCACTGCTTAGCATCTATACATGGTTCCCTTTAGCGAGAGATGGCATAACTTTTTTTTCCTCCTCCTCCTCCTCCCTTCGATTTATTTTCCATCTTTTTGCATTGCCTTTGTGAACTTGCTTGCCTACATTTCTGAATGATCTGATGTGGCTGTTAAGCCCACTGCATTGCTTTAAGGCACGTAAATATGGGAATATTCATCATGTGCATACCTGCATTCTACAAGTATCAAACAAATTTTCAAATTAAATTAACCCACCCCCAAACCTCCAGTGCCATCTATCGACCACATTTATATAACTTGCCAAGTGCGTATTTAGTGCTGCACCACCTACGAACTTTCACGGCTCCAAACAAGCTGGGAAAATTGTGCAGGATCAGTAACCCAACTGCTTGCAAAGCACGCAGCTGTGACAAAAATCACAAAAAATGTTACATGATGCAAGAAAGGTGTCGTGTACCACCTCCCCCAGTCATGTGGAAAATACTACGCAGGGCAGAGATAGAGCAGTGCCTTAACAGGATTAGAGAGCACAAAAACAATGTCAGGAAAAAAGGTGATGGTCTGTTATCTGTACATTGCTGTATGTGTGGGTGTTCCCCTGTGTTTGACAAGTGCTTGGTTTTTCGTATGCACAGGGATGAAACCATGCAGTCGACAGTGCTACATTACATAAGCTAGGCCAAGAATGTGTCAGTGCACCATCTTTATCACTACTATCAAGAAAATAATTGTGATTTCTTCATGCCACCACATTTGTGCATGCTTGAGTGTCCGACTTTTATTTTTATATATTACAGTTATCGGGCTTCCAATAAATCATGGTTGAAAGTTGGCACTTCTGTGTGTTTTCTGTGTACCATCCTTGTCCAATTCAGTGCTGTGCTTAACTTTATGAACATACTACACCAACATGGCCAACAAGCCACCCTCGCTATTTACAAATAGCTTTTATTTAAACCATTGTTAAACCCCACCCACTGAATCATCAGCTTCAACAATTTTGTCTCTGTTCTTAAGCCCATCTATTCGCTTCTCTTGGTATCTGATGGGCTAAAGCCCGAAAATTGGGCAGTTCGTTGAGACAGACACTGCATAGTAGAACTCCTGCCTTGCTAATATCCGTGTCACATGGGCCCTTTTGAAAGGCCATCCATGTGCTGGCCATCAAAATGCCACAACTATATGGACTCGATGCAGTCATCACAACTGCTACACGGCAGTTTTGAATGGCCACTGAGTGGTTCACACCATAGCTCACGTACTTCTCATAACAGTTGTGAGGCACCGTGGATCCTTATTTTTGGATTCATGTCACCTTAAGTTAAACAATATAATTTCACTTAAAAACTCAAATATATCTGTTGAAGTCATTTAACTATTATAATAAATTATTTATTTGTAATTGTGAATGCATATTTAGCTTTTAAATTATGAGCAGTGAGACTATGGCAAGCGATACACAGCAAGGCAGCACACTGAAAACCAGCACGTGACTGCTGTCACAGATATATGCAATTCGCACCTTCCAAGTTGGCAAATATACTCTATTACATAATTTACAACGCTCCCATATACTGCTTTTAAAGCATGCTGGTTTTATTCCTTTCTTTTAATCATGAGTATGAGCCCATTGCAAATGAGAGGACACGTTCGCGCCGTTTCTGCCTCTGTCACTCAATGGCCATCGGAAGTTTCAGGTGGGGTTGCGGGGTGCTTCGTTGGCTCAATCGACTATCGACTCAGTGGACTTCCAAACCGCCTGCATGGCAGCTTGTGCTTGAGAGTTGAGTCAATAGATCATCAATTTAATAGCCTTACTTCCAAGCACCCGTGTGACACGGGCGTAAGGTAACCTTCTTTGACAACTGCATAATTATAGATCTGCTTGACAGCATGCTGCTTCCCAAATATTATGTCCACACAAGAACATACGTAAGGATTGCGTGGCAAGTTTGTGCTACAAATGGGTGGTTGTCGATTTTTCCTTTCAATATTTTCCTCTATGATTTGCATGATGGTTAAGGCTTCAACGCATAACATTTAAATTTGCAACCTTGACCACCCTTTATGGAGCTGATTATTCAATATACCTCTTCAAAGTTAGCACGGTCACTTGCCGAGACATTTATGAAAACCACGAGAAAACGTGTGCAAAACTGCTTTCATAAGCATCCCTCACCCTACGTATAATGAAACAGGTGGCATAGCACTGCCAGCACTTTCGAACACCTGCAGCACTTTTGGCAACATAAAGTGATGAATTTTGATTTCTATTGTCCGAGCAAGCTATCACTGGGAGGTGTGATGCAGGTTCCACAAAGAGCCCCCAGGCAATGGCATCACTCTCTCCCTCTGCCTTTTAAAACCAGCATAACAATGCTTCCATTGTGTTTAACATTGACCTAGGCAGGTCATAATATGTGATATTGCTGACAACATTAAGCCCGAGTTTAGGGAAAAACATTTCTGAAGTCAGTATGACAAAAATACATTACGTTTTATTCATTTATTATTTATTTGATACGCATACACAGACAATCAAAGACACAGAGGAAAGAGAAAGAGAGCAAGCTGCCAACTACCAGTGTTCCAAACTCACGTATGTTTAGTAGGAAATGATTGGTACATGTTCATCTTTTCGAATTCTTAAAGTGCACTTTGTACAGATTAGTGTTAGAACATCGACTGACCAACTGATAGCTAGCTGCACAATGTACTGACACTGAGCTATCTGCTGCAGAGCAACACAAGCGGCTCGCTGACTACCATCAGCATTTACTCATGTAACCCAGACACCTCATCATTTAGGCAATAAGTTCAGAGAACTTCTGTGAAAAAAACATGCTGTAAGTGCACAGGCTCAATAGCAATTTCGGTACTGAAGGGCATCTTACCATGTCATCAGGACCTTCACAGGAGTGCTGGTAAGGTAGGTTCTGTGAACGTGTAAAAAGAAAATGTATTTACTCACAAAAGCCGACATAGGAAAGATTGGTTCATGGATTTGGAAGCTGTCACTGTGCTTACCTCTGGTACTAATTTATTCATGAAGTTCTCTACATCATCTCTGAAAGGGCATAATAGTTATACAAAGGTAAAACAACTGATGCATCAGCAAACTTTTAGAGCAAGCAAGCAAGTCCCATTATTATGAAGGGACTATATATTCCTTCTCCGATAATTAAAAAGTGCGTGCTAACAACAATCCAACAAAGCTTGTGTGTTAGTAACATATGAAACGCGAGTACAATAAAAAGGGGGAAACAGTTTGGAAATAAGGCAAAGGAATACAGTGATTTTACAGGAAAAGATTCACAAGCAAGCAACACAAAGATTCTGTAAGCAGCACGTCTGATGCTACCAGAGTACCTGTACTGTGTCTAAATAATGTGAGAACAAGTTGAATTGGCTGCACAGATTTGAGCTGCTGCTGCTGCTGCTGATTGATAAAGTAAGCAAGGTAAAAGACTTAGCATAGTGCATCCATACATACCACAACATACTTTACCATTACTGAGCTTCTTAGTGCACAACACCCACTAAATTTACACCGTGCCACATATTCTGTGCGGGTCGCATGCAAAAAGTATAACCTCTATTAAACTCACCGAACGTCTGGATCCCAGTTCTAGAAAAACAAAGAGAAAAATATAAAGTGATAGTGTCAACATGACAAAAAGCTGTTCCTGCAAAAATGTGATATTCACGATAAACTCACCTCATTTAATGCCAAACTTGCAGATGTGTGCATAACTGAAACCAAATGAGAAATGTGTGTTGAAGAAAACTTATTGATTTTTACACACAAAAAAAGTAAATGCAACATGCGTAATAAGCACCAGGATGTTAAAAAAAAGAGATATAAAATAGACCTACAAGAAAAATATGTTGCCTACGAATTTCGGATAAATAAAGGAAGTTCAAAAGTGCTTGCAACTACATGTGGTCTGAAAAAAATTCAAGTGCATTGACATGCAGCGTTACGCTAAGCATTGTTACAAGCAAGCAACTATGAATTCGGGCTGATACACTGGGTAAAAAACAGGGTCATATCACAACACGAATACCCGCATTGAACGGGGCAAAGCACACCCTAAAATATAAACCCAACTTTGCACATGATATGACATAAGTTAATTCACAAGTAAAATGGTAACTTATGCAACAATAATAATATCTGGAGCTTAACGTCCCAAAACCACGATAAGATTATGAGAGACGCCGCAGTCGAGGGTGCTGGAAATTTCGACCATCTGGTGGTACTCTTTAACGTGCACCGACATTGCACAGTACATGGACCTCCACCAATTTGTCTTCATCGAAATGCGACCACCGTGACCAGGATCGAAGCCGTAACCTTTGGGTCAGCAGCCAGGCGCCGTAACCGCTACACCACTGGGGTGGACTGTCACTGCAATTTTCGCACAGAGGCTTTTTTTTTTCTTAATGTGTATGTGTTATACTAGGACACTGCTTTATGTGTTTAATCCACTTTTACCTTAGACTAAACCATCAAAAGAACTAGTTACATGTACAGCCTATGAATAAACAGCTCCCACGTTGTTTACACCATGCCCACAAAGAAGACTAGCGCATTGGGAACTAACTGAAGGGAACCTATGTTATTAGTGCTTAAAACTAAGAAAAATGGCAAGTCAAAGAAGCACTATGAATGCTAGGCTGTTTTGGTAGTAACAATACAGTGTACAATTAAAGTGTTTTCATGAACCTCTGGATAACTCTGGGCAACATTCATGATGACTACGCAATTTATTTCTCTTCTGCTGACCACATATAATACAAAACTTCAGTGAGCTTTCAGAATTACAAGTTTGAAATGAACAAGCAGGCGAGGATTATAATGTACGTGTAGTCAAGCAAGCTCCTCTTGTCATGAAATAACATCAAAAAAATTTACTGGTGGAAAATTAATGTCATTAACCTGTAATAAGGCCAAGCATAATTAAATCCTGTCACTTTACTGCCCAGGAGAATGTCCATAGTTCCTTCCAATAAAGCGTGTGCACGCGTAGCCATAAACATTATGGTGTGACCACCAGAACATTTTGAGATAATAATATAACTGTTTTTCTAAAGGAAAAGTGAATGAAATCAATGTAATCATTTTGACTACAAGCCACTATCATAGTGACAGCCAAGTAACATGAGGCGCCATTCTTGCTTTTATTGTAAGCATCTTGTTAAAAGAACAGCATTTTAGTTTCACTTTCAAAAAGTGGGCCAGTGAGGTTGATATAAAAACAAGAGTAATGATGTGTAAAAGTACAATGCAGTTCTTGCCTGAAGAGAAGCATGTTCACTTATTAGCATACTTGTGGTGACAGGATGCACAACACAAAAAGGTTAAAAGCCTCCATGGTAAGAACAGTAGCAAAAAGAGACAATAGCATGCCCACTACAAACAATTCACCGTTAGGGAAAATGTAGAGAAGAATTAAATTGTTGAGTTTTGGACATCAGAACTGCACAAAGCATGATCGTAAGGCCGGTCAGTGCAGGGAATTGCAGAATAATTTTTGAACAACCTAAGCATTTCATAAATTGACTTATAAACGGCATCAGTTAGTAGTGCTGAACAAAGACTACATGACTAACACTATAGAGGACATTTTCAATATTAGATGTTTTATGTCACTGTTTAGGATAGCAATCACGCCAAAAGCCAATGGTGGTGCCTGCAAGCATGGTCAGGTAAGAACATGAGATACATGCCTACCATCTAACAGGTTTCATCTCAAAGACATCAATCTTCAAAGCCCATGTCCAAGTCACTGAAATTGTTTATTAATACGTCAGAAAGCACAAACTACCATTATGACACCTGCTGCTTTACTAAGGGTGCCACTTTTGGTGTGCTTTTGGAAAAACTCGCCTAGTTGGCTTTTTTTTTTTTTTTTTGTCCATGTAAAACAGATAGGGCGATTTGATTCCGTGACTAGCAAACTACTCTGTTTTAACTCGGGTGATTTCCTTTTGATTCGTTTCAGACAGGCGTTCTCTGTCCTGACACTTGTTTGCAAAATTACATTTATATCTTTGCCGGCAGTACTGTAAGTGCTACATGTTAGCTAGCAATTTTCTCTCATACCTAATCCATGGCTTATAGACGTTAAGTTTGCTCTTCTCGGCAGTTCTTCGAGGAGTGCAGTTAGTGTAGAACATTTCTGGCAGTACGTTTCGAAGGCAGAGTGCAATGGTACCAACTGGCCCATATGAGCTTGACCTGTCACGCATGTCAACACCCCGGTGATACCACCTAGGGCAACTAAAGGCACATGGCGCACATACAGATAACGGCTACTGGTAGTAAAGAGCCTTATATACATTACGATACGTTCCACCAAGCGTAGAATGCATTAAAACATTTTGCCCACGCATACATCTTTTTATAAAACGACAGGGCAGAGGCGCATATGCGTAGGTGAGACGCGGCGGGTGAGATGAGACAAGATTATGTGAACATCAGCAGATTACTACGGCCACTTTCAAGGACGATGGCCGAGAGGTTATTTTAAAGCTCGTGGATTTTCCGAAAGCACACGGGCACACACGAGAGCACTAAGTGAGCACCCCGTAAATGTGTCATACTACGTGTTTCGATGAAACCATCGGTTAAGGAGAAGGTGCGAAAGTTTATAGCGTCAAAAGCAATCTCGTGTAAGCCCCAAGCACGAACGAAGCTGAAGGTGCGAGCAGTTGCTTACTCTGTATGTGAAAGAGGCCGACGGCGAACTGGGAAATCTCTGGCATTTGTTTCACAACCTCGTCCGTAATGAGATGGCCGCCCCGATGTTGTGGCCTCAAGTTGATCTTCCTCTGTACCCACGAAGAACCGTGCCTTATTCCACTGCCACTGGCCGTCGCCATCACTTCCGAATCAGATGGGATCACTCTCCGGGGAAAAGAACTTTTCTTCATCGGCACATCTTTTTTTATTTTATTTATTTCTATTTTCAATGCGTGGACATATGAAGAGTACGTGTACGCCAAGCATTGAATAAACATGTTAGCTAGCGTCACCTGGCACAACTGATAGTGTTTTCCCGTTTTACGACATTTTTTTGTGATATGCGTTTCACTCGCGTCCAGTGGCGACACTGAAGTCAAAATGTGCTAGAAAAGGCTGCAAAAAGAGTTTTCGACAAGGGTTTTAATATTCTGAAGGAAACATACGACGCGAAATAGCAAAATTCATTACGCGAATATTTGTACTGTTGTCTTATTGATTGATATGCGGGGTTTAACGTCCCAAAACAACCATATGATTATGAGAGACGCCGTAGTGGAGGGCCCCGGAAATTCGACCACCTGGGGTTCTTTAACGTGCCTACAAATCTGAGCACACGGGCCTACAACATTTCCACCTCCATCAAAAATGCAGCCAGGATTCGATCCCGTGATCTGCGGATCAGCAGCCGAGTACCTTAGCCCATATGGTTTCTCTGTGCCAGCCACTAGACCATCGCGGCGCGGTTTGTACTGTTGTCTCAAAGGACATGCTTCAGCGAAACCGAAAGCGTGTGTTTTATGCTCGAATGAATTGTAAAACGTATTTGCAAATTAAGAACTCAGGGAAAAGCGAGAAGAGTGGCTGCCATCAGAGTTCCCAAATTTTATACGGCGACCAGTTTCTTTTCGTGCACTTCTACGGTTTCGTTTTCTACACCTTTTCTGCGGTTTCCTTTTCTACGGCGTAAACGAACTCTGTACTTGACATTTCCGAGCCACGTGCGACAATTGTTTCTTTACACAGCAGCACACATGTGCAACATCTACTGCCTGCTTACTTATTGCCCCCTCCCCCACTCCTTTTTTTGCATAATTGGATAAGGAACCAAGATCAACGCCGCGTCCCGCTCAATTGAAGCTGTTCTGTGAGTTTCTTAGCGCCGTATTTCATGCACTTCCTACGACTATGTCAACTAGACATGACTAAGATTTATGTTGTCTGAAGAGGCGTTGGTCTTTGCTCGAACACGTGCTCTCTTCCGACAACAAAAGAAACGATAATGATGATGCTTCTGAGATGATTGACACCAACCCACTAAGGCCCACACGGCTCAAAAAGGACAACAGGATCATAACAATATATTGGTTTTACGTGCCTCAGGAAGATCAGCTCATAACCATGGAGGATTTTAAATCCCTCTTGGGAGCAGCTGACCATCACCAACGTTGTTACGCGGAAGAGAAAAAGAAGAAGCTAATATCAATGACACCCCCCCCCCCCCCCAAAAAAAAAGCGCGCATTCTCACGCGCATTCCAATTGTCCGACCAATAAGATTCACTTACGTGTACCAGTGGCTTCTCATTCGGAATATCTGCGTGGCCAGTGTGGACCAGACAGCTGCCGGTGGAGAGTCGTTCCGAACAATCGTGTCCAAGATGCAGACGCAGTTCTTGCTTCTGGTCTTGGCATTTATGCTTGCAGGAGATGTTTTCTGCGGTGACATGGAGCAGACACTGAGCGAAGGTGAGCCCCTCATATATATTTAGACGGCTTATTAACCCGCGGTCCACGGGTTCTGCACTTCGAACGTAAGCCGCGGGCCACGTACAGCGCATTGCGTCTTCCAACGTATGACCCTCCTGAAACGGAGTGAGTCTTCTGGCTCATGAGTCTTTAGAATGCTGCTCCCGACTTGAAAGGAAATAGGAGTTTGGATTGCGGATCGACCACTTGATGCTAAGCCGAACGTCATATGAACGTCAGTTGACAGCAAGAATGGTTTAATGCATTCTGCAGACTGTGAACGTATTACCAGGAGGTGTCTTTTGGCTTGGGATGTTTGAGAATATTGCCGTTCACGACTTACGAAAAGGCAGTAGGAGTTAAGATTGCGCATCGACCAATGGACGGATGACCAAGCACGAAGACGTGAACGTCTGTCAAAAACGAGAATCTACCTTGATGGTTGCATGGCCTTTAATCCATCTGTGTTTCCGCTGTAGTTTTGGCAGCTTAGGTTAGCTCTGGGCGAGACGTTGCAAGCGAAGCAATCTGTCACACTTTGATGATGATCGGGCTTGAACGCCATCGTGTGTGAGTGGTGTATAGCGTATGAAGTGACTTGCACATCGCGAATAAGCTAACTGCCCTTTTGTGAAACTGGTTTTCTGCTGCCGCAATGAGCAGTTCTCAGGCTCATACTTTTTTTTCTTGCACATACTGCAGGTGGCGGTCGAAAGGAAACCAGCCTGGACGTGGACAGTGGCAAGTTGGCACCGGAGCTACAGGAACCAACGGTACGTGAAAAGCTTGATGTTTTGAACGTCGCCTGATAATCATCAAGCTTAAAGTCAGAATTTATTTCTTCCTGCTCTTGATACTGGTAGAAACGTAGATGCTCACCACGATCGATCGCCGCATCGTTTCCGACGGCGTTCAACTTTTTTCAACAAAAAAGAAAAGTCGTCCCTAGCGTCCCTCTGGGGAACTCCAGTAAAGGCGTTACATTGTGTGTGTGTGTGGAGGGGGGTAGGGGTATCACGTGAATATTTCGTAATTGGGCATGGTTCGGGCGTGCTAAATTGTTATTTCGTCTTTATTACTCCTATTCATTGAATGAAGGAGAGGCGTTGCCTTCAACGAGTGATGGGACGCTGATGTTGGGCTGTGACTTGTGACTCACTAATGGTTGAAGGTACCGTATACCCATACACATCGCGCGCGTTCGAGGGAGAGGAGTACGAGGGAGAGGTTCGTTGTACTCCCACTGCGCATGCTCGGCTTGCTGAACGCCCGGTGGTGTGTTATCCTTTAGGCTCCTGGAGCGACAGTTTGGCGGGTGTCTTCCTGGGCCGCCACGAGACGCGAAGGCGCGCAGTGGGGTGTGGACGGCGCCGGCGCCGAAGCGCGACATCGTGCGATTAAAAAATGCTCCACATTAATTGTTTTTGATGAACTGTGTAATGCTCCCAGACAATACCTACTGGTAACTAATAAATACTTACGTACACACACCCTGTGTAAGGTGCCACAATCCGGCGCCATGAAATTTTGAAGACGTTCGACAAACTGGAATGTAATAAAGAGATAAGTGAAATATTACAATAGCATAAGCACGAACAGAACGTGCTATCGACACCAGTGTTGATCTAAAGGGTCTCATCAAAACTATCACGAAAGCACAAACATGGGCTGATTAGTGTCGAGCATGATGGAACACGATTACTAGCGTAAACGCCAACAGCGTCGAAAAGGGCGTAGACTCGCGTTCCATCTCGTCCCCGTCCCCTATACGCTAGTAATATATCATATATGCTCAATATTAACTGATAGGATTTTGACACAGACGCCGTTGTGGAGGGCTCCGAAAATTTCGACAACCCGGGTTCTTATTGTAATGTGCACATATGTATAAGCACACGGACCTCTGGCACTTTAGCTTTCACCGGAAATGCGGCCGGGATTCGATGCCGCAACCTTCGAGACATCGAACAGCAAAGTACTAGTCGCTGACTTTGCATAATACGCTAAGGCAACGCGAGTCACTTTCGTATTCCATCCAGTTCGCAACGCCAGTGACTTTCCCGCTGCGCACTCGAGCTACTGCAGGCAACGCAGAGCGAGTAACATCCAGATCAAATGACTGTGCAGCAGAAGACTGAGGGCGGTGACGATAGCAGCGCCAAAACCACTGAGGGTGAGGCCAAGACGGAAGAGAAGGACGGAGATGTGCAGGTGGAGTCTGAGGACGACGAGTCCAAGGAAGGCGCGGCCGAGGAGGAGGAGGACAAGCCGAAGAAGCCCAAGTTCGAGCAGGACACCGCTCCCACGCTCACTCACGTCGACATCGAGGCCATGGGAGTCAAAGTCGAGATGAACGTCTTCAAGCTGAACATCTCAAACTTCTACGAAGTGGTGAACAACACGCGGTACATGCTCATCAACTTCTACGCACCATGGTGAGTTCCCGTCCGCAACCCTACGTCTTAAAAGTGCATCGTTGTCGGTTGCGTACATTATCAGGTTAACGTTGTGCAAACTGCCAATGACGCTCGGAAGTGTTCTCTCAGTCGGTTTCTTTCGTTCACAATTGCTACTGCAGAAGAACCGTAAGTACTAGCAGACGAATTAAACTGGATGTAAAACGAATGTTGTCACCCTATGCTGCCATGATATAACACTTCTTTCGAGCTCGGTTCAGGTGATATAACGAATGGTGGACAGCGGTCGTGACCATGCCACGAGTGCACGACACCATTAATGATCTTGATCCGATGAGCCGAGAAACAAACAAGACAGTAAATTAAATTAACTTAGGATTTTGCGTGCCGACAGCCCAGAACAAGATTATGAGGCGCGCCTGCAGAAAATATAACACCTCCCCCCCCAAAAAAAAACATAAAAAATCAATACCAACTATCTTTCAGACATGCACTCACACAACCCCTCACGTTTCGGTAACAACCAAAAATCGAGATTCCGGATAAAATCTGCAGGGCACCATATTAGGATACTCTAGACGAAGCTTAAACCACGTATAAGGTTCTTTAACGTCCGCATGAATCTACGGACGCGGGTGTTCTTGCACTTCGCTTTTATTGAAACGCGGCCGGCGTCGTTCGAGAATCGAACCGGCGCCCTCGAGCTAGGCAGCGCGGCACCAAGTTCTCTAAACTATAGCAGTGATTCTGTGCAAATTGGAACCGGGACAAACACGCCTGTAGACTACTTCTGCGCTGTTGTTGATACCTGTGTGTATACGTGTGCAGGTGCGAGCACTGCGTGAAGCTGGAGCCCGAGTACGCGCGGGCGGCCCTGATACTTCGTCGGCGAGATCCCCAGGTGATTTTGGCCAAGGTGGACACCACTGTGGAGCAGAAGCTGGCCAACCGTTTCAGCGTCAACAAGTACCCGACGCTCTTTTTCTCGCACCGCGGAAACACAACAGAGTACGAGAACACCTTTTCGGCTGAAGGTCGGTTGCCGCTTATACTAATTTTCTTTCACTTTTTCCTGTTGTCCTTCTCTTGGCGGAACCCCAATTAGCTTAAAATAAAGATCGATATAAGCATGGACGTAGGCAGCGGGTGAAATAAAGGCACTCCCCCCCTCCCTACACAAGGACTCTCCCCCTCCCTCAACTGCGACGTAACACAGGCCTGCACCTCCCCTGACAATCCTGCCGACGCTCATGATTGAGTTACGACTAGCAATGCCACACCGCTCACACAAATAACCAATGCTATTAGCCAACGCAACGACATTCCTTTACTCCATTGAAAGGAGTAAAGAAAGTGTACAGGCTGCGAAATGCCACAACATGATTACGAGGAACGCTGTGATCTAAGTAAACTGACCTCCAGCGTTTCGCACGGCTGGGATCCGATCCCGAACCTGCGGGGGGGGCATGCGCGGTGCGCATCTTGGCCAGGCGCGACTTTTAATCGTTTGACTCAACACACTCAGTGCATGACTATGCAATCGAACCTCGAAATAACGAATGTGGATACAACGAATTACCTGTTGTAACGAAGTAAACGGAAAATAGTCCTCCCATAAATGCAGCGTTACGAAGGCACTTTTAGAACGAATTTTCAGATACAACGAATCCTCCGCGTTGGTTCCGACTTCGTTACAATGAAGCTGGACTTATAGAAACAATCACACATCAAACAGCTTCTGATGAATGTCACCGGGTATATGCGTGCTCGACAGGGCGCCGCCCACAAGGAAATCTGTAAATGCATGAAAAACTAAGTTCCGCGTAGCATCGACTTAGTTGACGCACGCCACTCTCCAACAATAGGCATCGTCGACGCGATGGCCGAGAAGACGGATCCATGGTTCGAGCCACCCCCGGAGGCGTCGTTGGAACTTACTGCTGTAACTTCACGATGACAATCAACAACGCCAAGCTGATGCTCATCTACTTTTATGCTCCATGGTAAGGGCATCGCATGTTGTTCAGACGGGTATACACTGTGTTCACTATTGCACCTGGTGGGGCGAATGTGTTGCCGCTGCGGTGCTCACGGTGACAAAAACAAAACAAAAAAACAATCTTGTGATTTTACGTGCCAGAGCCGCATGGTTATGGACATTGGCGTGCACACAGGGGGACAGCTGGGGCGGCCGGTTCCCCTATTAAGATGGGGAGGGCACAAAGTATGCCCCATACATTGACTTAATAGGGTATGGGGTAGCTTCAATGAACATTGACTCCCCTAAAGGGGAACCCTGTGCACACCTATGGTTATGGTTACCTTATGTTTACCTATGGTGTAGTGGGGATTCCAGACTTCGGACACGTGCAGCTAAATCGAAGCACACTGGCGACTGCAGATGAACTAACTGCCGACAGCCCACATCTTGCCAAGTATGTACTTCTATAGAGAAGTTCTTTTATTACCAGCGCCGTCGTTGGTAGTATATAGTAGCAGTTACGCAGGTCACGTGACCAGAGTAAAAAAAAAGAAAACCTAATGAAATTATGGTATTTATATATACACGCGATTTCGTCATTTGGCTAAGTTTTACATAGTACTGCAGGGTGTCCATGCGTACGTGTCAGCGCGTGGCATTTTAACGCGGTGCCGCGCCCTCTCCGTTTGGAGAGAGGGAGCGGCGTCGCGTCGAGAACCACGCGCTGGCACGCTGCGACACGTACGTGTGGTCGGGCCTTTCGGCATGCGCCAAAATGCCAGCTGCAGCAGCCACACCTGCGGTTTCAGGTGCGGCCACTGCCGCCGCTTGTCTCCCGAGTTCGAGCGAGCTGCGCGGCGCCTGAAGGAGTTCAACATCCCTCTGGGCAAGGTGGACGCCACCAAGGAGAAGAGCCTGGCCGAGGTCAACGAGGTGCGCAGCTACCCGACGCTGCTGCTGTACCGACGCGGACGGCGCTTCGAGTACAACGGCCCCCGCGAGGAGGCCGGCATCGTGAACCACATGCTCAACCTGTCCCAGTACCCGAGCAAGGAGGTCAGCACGCTGAAGCAGTTCAAGAAGGCCATCCACCCGATCACCATCACCGTGCTCGCAGTTTTCAGCAAGACCCGCGGACCTTTCTACAAGGAGTTTGAGGCTGCGGGTAATGGGTTTCTCCGCATATTAGCGACTTCGCTGCGATGGCCCGTCATCACTCGGAACGACGCTCACTTTGCGCGAAGATGCGTCGCTTGATTTTCGCTCGTTGCTTCTGAATTGCTTTCGAGCAAAATTAAGGTGACTAGATTGGTGTGAAAAGGCATCATACCTAACGGAGTCCCTGTGTTGAAGCACAATGTAGGTGCCGGCGTAGTGCACTTATAGAGATGCCCCATTGTCGCTTACTCAGCCGCGAGATCGCGGTTGTATGCGCCGTGTATTCGATAAAGATCGCGTCGGGTTAGTACGTTTCGAAAATGCTGAAAGCGAGAGCGGAAACTATTATCCTGTATCTAGTAACGATACCGAACCGCGGTTTCAAAGCGACGAGTCGCAGTAGGAGTCCCGCGCCTGAAGAAAAATTTCGTCCTTGCTTGGTTGCATGCCCCTTTCACTTCACTCATACGATACATTTTAAGGTCGAGACATAGCAGCGGTTTGACGCCACCAATGACAAGGCGTCATACCACTGTGTTGCTGCCATAAAGCCAGCGCGTGGCTTACTGACGCGGCGCCTCGCCCTATAAAGAGAGTGAGTGCGCGGCTACTTGAAGCATTGCTTGAAGCTGCGTGCCTTCTTTCTCCATAGGGAGAGGGCGCGGCGCCGCGTCAGAAAGGCGAGCGCTGAGGCGCCACAACGCGTACATGTGGTCGGGCCTTCATTGCGTAAGCAGTAGTACCAGCCACGGCCGGACTCGACTCCTTCTCCGGCGCTCGGAAGGAGCGTCGACTCCGGCCGTGTACCAGCAAAGATCTGATGTGGTGAAGCTTTGTCTGTGCACGTCACAAGTTGACCTTAACTGAACTCGCAGCGAACAACCTGCGCGGCCGTCACACTTTCTACCACACCTACTCGATGGAGCTGGCCAGGCACTACAAGGTGACCGAGAACTCGCTCGTGCTCATCCACCCCGAGATTCTGCAGTCTCCGTACGAAGAGCCCTACTACACATTCAGCCGGGTGCGTCCTGGACAGTGTTTCTTTAAAAGAAATTTTGTGAATGGGAAACGGCTGCAGTTTCGGATAGATTGCCACCATGATAGTGCCTTGCTCTGCCTTCACCTCTAAAAGATGTCTCGAAGTACATACGCCTCTAATCACCAAATTCAAAAACAGTGATACAGTTTGAGCTAAAAAGCGACACCATGCCGGCAGGGATCTTTCAGGGTTGGGTTGTACATACAGAGTATAAACGCACCATCTGCTACTTCTCGTTTATTTTTTTAGCATTTCACACCCGTCTTATCTGCACGTACACAAGTTCGACCTAACACAGTCATCCAGCTCCTGCTTCATTTTAGCATTACAATGACAAGCAAAATGAAGCGAATGCAGTGTGATCGAGCGCTTACGGCCAAGTTGTAACTGCTGTGCAACTAACATTCTCGCAATTCATTGACAGTTCTAAATGTCCAATGGCAATACATATGTTTTCATATGAATGTTGCAAATTCGCTTTCAAAGCCTTAGTGGAGTCTCGATGGGTGACAATTTGGTGAAGCTTTACAGTAGATCCATGCAATTAAGATATGGTCAGCAGAGGCAAAAAATACAACTGCCTATGCCAGACAATATTGTCACGGCGTGCCTGTTGCTGCGAGTCGCCCTACTTTGGTGATCCCTTTGCATGCAGCCCGATGCGACCCAAGTGCACATGGAGCGATTCATGGAGGAGCACCTGTTTCCCCTGGTCGGCTTCCGGGATGTGGCCAATCTCTGGAAGTACATCAACAAGTATCCCATTGTCGTTGTATTTTACGACGTCGATTTCGGCTTCGACAACAAGGAAGGTACGAGAGCGTCCGTGGAACTTTTTGCAGGGGAGTGGACCAGAAGGGAAGAGGGGGCGCTTTCAGAACACAGGCTTTCTTTCACTGCCATACCCCGGCCGGCGAGATCAGCGCGCTAATCAAGCTGTGCATATGCTACTACATAAAAAAAAAAGAAAAATATCCGAAACTTTAGAGCTACCCCCTGCCCCCTCCTTCAGACGTCTATGCAATCTTGTGGCCCGCACGCAGGCCCAGCTGTACGAAAAACTTTAGACAGGATCATAGGTGTGCTCACCGGAAAAGTGGGGGCACTGGGACGAACCTCTTCCCTCCCACCTAAAGGGAAACCATGCGCACACTTATGAACCTTGTGCCCAGAGCACTAAGTCACTGGAAAAGGAACTTTTTCCAGTGACTTTAATTGCACTGCTAGAGCACTGAAGCTTTTTACAAGTCAAATCCCGATGGGGCAATAACGCCAACGTGCGAGAATGAAGTATGTTTTCATGTCGATAAATAATTTTTTCTCCTCACATACACGCCAAAGTGACAGTGATTTTTCCAAAGTAGCAGCAATGTGCTAGTACGAACAAAGCGCTAATAACAGCAGGTGTAAACAGAACAAGGTTTTAATGGCCTGATGCATCTTCAGGAACATGTGTCGGGCTCGCTATGCTATGTTCTGACCCTGGGACATGGTATATATGAAGAGCCTGGAAGCAGTACTGCCAATATCTCAAAACGTTCAAGTTCATGTACGTCAAGGCAGCATTTCGCAGTATCATTTATGAGGTACCAAAATCTATTTTGATGCTGGCAGAGACACAGCGCATCCGGCACAAGGTTCTGAAGGTTGCCCAACAGTACAAGGGCCGCGCGCTGTTCGCTGTGTCGCACGAGACTGACTTTGAGGACGACCTGAAAAGCCTTGGTCTCGAGGACAGCGGCGCCGAGGTCAACGTGGGCATGTGGATGTCCGAGCGCGAGCGCTACCGCATGGCACCAGTGGACGACTTCAAGAGCGCAAATCTGCGGAACTTTGTTGAGTCCGTGCTTCAAGGTGAGAACAATCAAGCACGCACGCCCAGGACTAGGGAGCGATGAGTGAAAGGTGCATTGAAAATCACGTTGAAGTGGGTGGCTATGTGGTCAAGCTATCTGAATTCTGGGCGCTTAAACGCGAGCGCCAGCTTTCTCAGTGACCTGCTCCTTCCATTCATTGCTCAGTTGTGTTGCAGCATGCTTAGCGTCCTCTGGGGACGACCACATGACGACGAATTCTTTAGCGAATCAGACTGGCAAACGTACAATGATTGTCGAAACACTAGTGACCACACCTGGAAACCTGATGTTGGTGAACGTGGAATGTACTGCGCAGGCACCCTGAAGCAGTACGTGCGGTCCCAGACGCCACCACGTGAGCAGACGAGGGACGTGCTCACGGTCGTGGGTAGCACATTCGAGGAGCTGGTAATGGCCTCAGACAAGGACACTCTCATTATGTTCCGTGGTCCTGACTGTCACATGTGCGACGAGCTGGTAGAAGAGCTCGAACTCTGCTACAACCGTATCGACTACCAGGCTCCTGACCGCTTCCAGTCAGCCATCATCGACGCCACGCAAAACGACTTCCCAGGCATTTTCAAGGTAAGAACCATTGGTGGTCGAAAACTAGACGAAATACAAACACAGTAGATGGTCTGCGCTATCAGCCGTGTTAGTGTCATTGGCTGCGAAGGTACAACTATTGCTGAACAAAGTATACATGCAAGATATCCGTGCATGTATATGTACATTAGTGCCAGCTAGACGTGGTCTATGTGAAAGCCAGACGTCCAGGCTGTGGTGCATTATATGTACGCCATTGACAATTGAATCAGACTGCAGATGTCTGCAATCAAATCAGCCATTTATTACATGTTCCTCAAGGAGCATCATAGCCATTTGTCAGTAGGACATGCCGACTTGGGTGGTCCTTCAGCAAATGGCGAATGCATTTAACAAACACCTTCTGCCCAATATTTAAAGAAGCCTCACTGCCGCAAACAAACCTTGGCTACCTTTGTAGTCACCTAAACTAATTTTGCTTTTCCCCCAGGTCGATGACTTCCCTACCATTTACTTTGTATCCGCTAAGGACAAGATGCACCCCAAGTTGTTCCAGGGCATCCGCAAAGCTTTCGGTCTGATCAAGTTCGTCAAGGAAAATTTCTCCTATGACATCCCTGACCGCTCAGACTTCAGCGTCTTCCCCGCCTTCAAGCGGCCCAAGCCACCCAAGGATGACAAGAAGGCGAAGGATGACAAGAAGGCAGATGATGACAAAAAGGCGGAGGATAAGAAGGCGAAGGATGACAAAGCCAAAGAAGAGAAAAGCGAGGATTCCACCAAGAAAAAGGAAGAGTTGTAGTTTTTTTTTTCTATTTCTCACACTTGTTCTCATTCCTCATTTCACTAAAAAAAATTCCTCATTTTGTTGTTGCATCATCACATTTTTTTTATAGAGAAAATAAATATGAACACACCTCATTGTAAATATTGGTCAGTACAACTACATAGGCATTAAAACTTCGTTAGCACAATAAGTTGAGACTTTTAATGTAGTTACACAGTTGAAACAATGTAGCTGAACACTGTATGAAAACACTTAATAATCCTGGCAATAGTGTTGCATGCAGTGGGTGTGCACAAGACGATTGTTCTACCTGACATGGCATGAAAACATTGGAATTTTTAATAACCCTGGCCATAGCATTACATGGAGTAGGTCTGCACAAGACAATAATGCTATGCTATGCTGCCACATCACGCAATAGTATTGCATACAGTAGGTGCACACAAGGGGCTAATGCCCACACATGTGGCATGGGTATATGCGAGACAATTTGCAAATAGACGCATTCGCTTGAAAGCGATACTATGCTGCCACATCATGCGATATGGCTGCATAGAGCAGGTGCGCGAGGTTGGTCGGGACCTTCATATAGAGGTGTATGGCTGGCATGGCTCAGATACAGGAGTGCACCTGGTGGTTACCAATGAGAAGTGGATTTGGTATTACACGTGAAAGTACAATAGACACGCATGTGAAAGAGTAAGTACTGATTCCAAATCAAATTGCTATAACCATTAAATAGTAAATGCATAGTGAAAGCTCATGGCGTGGCTGGCCGCAGTGTAATCCCTGCGCCTCTAAAATTTTCAACTTGCAGCAAGCTTCACCTTGGCAAGGACCAGTGCTAGTAGCCAATGTCCCAGGAACAGTTTCTTCTGGAGTGTATCAATGTCACTTTCTCTGGTTTTCTGTCACCTTCTCTCCCTCACTCATTCACTCACACTCACATGCATGTACATATATATGCAGGCATATTTGCAAGGTTTTGCATGATATGCCTGCTTGTATTTCAAACTGTGGATAAAGGCTGTGTATATCTATACCATCTTAAACATCACTTTTTCTATTATTGAGAAATTTTTAAGCACTTGGCATAGATAGAACGAAAATAAAAGCACATGATATTGTTTTGTACTAAAGCTTTTTTAGCTGGTATACTTGGCAGTTACTCTAGATGAGTGCTTTTAGGAAAGAAATTGCTCAACAATGATCTTGCTTTGAAGTACTTCACAACCACAAGGCCAAATTGAATTTTCTCAAACTACTGTAACTTCAGACATATGTGCCTATCATTAATCAAGCACCACTGAATTGTGAAGTGTGGAGCTAAAATCTTATCACAACAGCTTGCACATGTGTACAGTACTGCCCAGTTTGTATATAGACAATACCTCAGATATCGTAGTATTTAGCTGAGTAAGCTTGAACAGTCACCTGAAGAACAGTGCTGTTTGTGTAAGGTACAAACAGGTGGAAATGAGCACACATTATCTATAAGACAATGTCTGTTTTATGAACTAAAAAATACATTCTGCACCACAGGCAATAGGTCACTTTATGGAGTGTAATGAATGTAAAGGTAAACAAGCTACATAATTTATATTAACCAATAATAAGAAAAACTCTGTCATAAATAGCGCTGACCAGCTGCTTAGACTGATATGTAAAACTTAAAATGTGTGCAAATCATTCTGACAGCTCCGTTAAAAGTTTTGTAGAAATCACATCATGTGGCCACTCCAACACACGCTCAACACTGAAGTACTGACTTTTTGAACCATCTGTACAAAAATGGCATCAACTACATCAAAGTACAGCAAAAGCCTGCAGCAGTTCTCTGATTAGTCTATTCATTCTGACCAACTTTAATTGAACCAGAACTGAAATCCAAACAGAAAGCTTGCAATGCACACATGACTAAGAACACCGGCATACACTGCAGTAATTAAGTCACGGCAATGCTTAATAAATATATATTAATTTAACCACAGACACCTAAGCCAGACTAGACAAGAAGCACATTTGAAAATATTGTTTCACTATCAAGCAGCTGGTGAAAAATAATCCCGTATAACTCAAGCATGTAACATTATTATAAGTTAACACTAAATAGCACAGTGCAATTTGGCTGTTCAATCAGGCAAGGGGCACAAAACTGCTCATAGATTATCCTTATTGGAAGTTGGCTTATGAACACTTATGGCCAGCAGCTTTAAACTGCTCACAATATATATTTAGTGCTGTAGTAGCACTTCATGAAATAATTCCATCTTTTTGAAAACACTGTGTAGAGCTTTAGGAGCACTTATAAGGAAGCAATTATAACTTGCACGCACTGTTACGAACGAGCCAGAAATGTGCCAGTCAATTTACTATTTTTAAAGTCCTAAAAAAAAGAAAAAAAAATATCACCAACAAGTATTGTGCAAATACGAAAGTAAAAAATTGTGATGTCTTCATTTACAATCAGCTACAAGTAATCTGGCCAACCTTGCATTATCAACAACATATCGTGCATGAAGAAAGAAAAAGTACACATACCACAATAGTTAGCGCCACCTCACTTTGATATCTGGATGGCTCTCTCAAGAATTGTGCCCTTTGTCGAACCATAGCAGCAAACTGCACACAAAACACCTTTGGGAATAGACCTCGCCAAGAATCTGAGGCTTTTACACACTGAAGTGAGCACGTTCTCACGGTGCTCACGGTGTGTAATATGGACCTTCAACTTTTTTGCCTTTGTGTTACAACGATCATCAATAAAAGGCAACAATGCCGTAAATTGAAAAATAAAGCAACAAAAATATTTGCTGCTATGTTCAACTTGGTAAAACCAACAGGGCTCAATTAATTGCGAGTCTTGCTTGAGTGCTATTAAATTCTGCCACCAAAGTGTGTTTGATTATGACCCTCTTCTCGCATTACAAATGCGAGAAGTTATACAAGGCAGGAATTATGCTGCACCTGCTCCTGCTGTGAGATACTCTTATTGTAAAGAAACAAACAAACAAGATAGAGCAGACAAAGCTCACAGATATGGAAAACAAGAGCTGCATTTCAAGAATTTCTAAAGGCAAGAAAACATCAGTGGCTTACGTAAACACACACACACATATATATGTATATACATAACAAAATATATAAAAACAAAAGGGGAGGAGAAAGGAAGGGTTGAGAGATACGAAATGCAACTGTTAATGCACCTCACCATCACAGCACAAACAGGTACAAATACACCACATGCACAAATCTGAGATCCCTCAAGGTACAATCCACTGGCCACTGGGTGCTACTACACTTGGCAAAGCAGAAAACGCAAAGGCCCTAAGATAACCGTGACTATGAGGTGTTGTTAGCAAAGCAATACAGGTGATGGAATAAAACACTTATAAGAAGCCTCAGAGCAGACAAACAGCTACCACATTGGCTAAGGTGAATTCCACTGGTCGAGCTGCAACTGAGAATCTGCATTCCACTATCTCATTTGGATCACTCACTCCAATGGAACGTTCCGCATTGCTTGCAAAGACAGATTTCACATGAACTCTGGAAACACAGGGCCGTCAGTGCTGGTACAGTCTGGCAACTTTGTTGTCTTCAGCGTTTTTTGAGGCGGCCTCCGACAAGCCTGTGCATTTGTTTACATTCATAAAATGGCGTTGTTTGGCTCTGCTGGATGATTCCTGATTTGGTTCTTGCTCTGAGCAATAGAGAGAGCACAAATTCTGACAAGCGACGACAAAAGACTCTACATGCTCTAGAAAGCTATTTTAAAAGAAATGTCCCATGGCCCCCTGTGCGCAGGCCTTAAAGGGCCACTCACCAGGTTTGACGATTTTGAGCTGACAAGCACAATGCGTAGACGAGGCGTTCATGATCACGTCTGCCGAAATTTGCCACGCTATGCGGAAATGGGTCAATTTCAAGATGAACGCTGCTCCCCCTCCCCTCTGCCGGCGCGCGCCTAGAGAATGAGGGCATGATGTGCGCGTATGAATGGCCCTACGTACACAGCAATGCAGTGACGTTGGTCCACTACGTAGACGACTCTGCTCTGACGTTGCAGACAGTGGCACGTGATATGGCAAAAATGATTTAACACGGCATGCATAGTTTATGTAATTTGTTGCTTGAAAAGATCAATAAAACTATAAATAAGAATGAGACGCAATAAGGAAATGTGAGCATCTTTTTTACATTTTTCTCCCGCGAATTGCAACGAGATGCGGGGCTAATGTGTCGGCGTTTCGCATGCGTTCATGTCTCCGCCGTCAGCGCATGGAGCAGACGACCGCCGCGGAATGCTCCTACGCGTTCGCGCACTCATTGTGCTCATCTATTCTACCGCGTTTCCAAACGTTTCCAAACGATCCCGCAGAAACAGGCAGAATACCACAAAAAAACGCTGGTCAACAAAGCAACGCCGCTCGCATGCTCGGGGGTTGGACTTGTTTGGGCACGTCATGGGCACGTGAACCTCTTGGTCGGATGCTGGAGAGGGTGGGGAAGAGATTTGGCTTGCGAAGGTTACACGGAGGAGCGGCAAGGGTTTTGAGCTCGCCTCCTCTCATCCTCGTTTCACGACGCTTCAAAAACCTGTTTTCTCCGCTCGTGATGAACTGATTAAAAAAATGTTTGTGGCAAAATGTTCCTCATCAGACACCCAATATTCCACTGTTTAACTAAAATTTGGTGTGGGGCCTGATGAGTGGCCCTTTCAGATCATCAGCTACGTCAAAGATGAGATCACCATGTGCTCATACATCTTTGTCAGTACAAAATGGGAAAATGGCACCCCTGTTTAAGCAACTCCATGGTCCAAATGCATGCTTTGCAGCTGTGACATCTGGAAACGCACAGAGCAAAAGCAGAAACAAGATCTGGTTTACTGGACCTACGCATAAACAACTTCTAGAGTGACTTTACGCAAAGCATTCATGTGTTCCAGCTTGTGCTCGCTCCGGAATTTCGGCAGACACTCCGATCTCCCAGAGGAATTCACCTTTGGATTTTCGTCAAATTAGACATAAGCTTTCCCTTAATACCAACAATAGCATAAAGGGACATCAAACATAAATTTACCAACATGTACAGTACAGCACTGGCATCAAAGTACAAAAATGCAAAAAATGTTCCCAGTGCATCCCACTGCCTAGGCAAGCCTGACCAAACCCAATTTACAAATAGGCCTGTAACAGCCTAAGAAGTAGCTCGACTCCTCCTCTGACTGTGTATAAGTATGTGCCTGAAATAACGAACTTAGGCTTCACAGAAAACAAACACATTAAAGTGAAGAAACTGTTGAGGCTCTTGGAATGAAGTCCACACTTTCTCTGCTGCCTGCAACTCCTAATGTCCTGTTTTATGGATTGCAAATAGTAGCCAACAGGAGATGAAACGATTGCAACATTATGTAGGAACATGAACTCATTCTCTGTAGGATTCGAGAAAAGGTAAATGTGGTTCACGATCATTGATACAGTACAGTATCCCAGCCATTTTATTGTCCATTGTAATATATTATCAGCAACTGAACTCTCTCTTGAAGTACACAAGCAATATGGAATTGCCCGGACGATAATCTAAAATAGTGCCCGGATTTCAAAATAAGCACTTCCTTCACAACTAGCACTATAATACACTGCAGCAAAGTACTCCCTTTAATTGTCCGTTCATGGCATAAATCAAGAGGTGTTCTATTTACGTTGTCGAAATTACCTAGACGACAAACAAACTCATATGCTTTTTTGAATAAATGTGCAAAAACAGGACACACGATGCTTCTTTACTAGGCAAGCCTAGTATCCTATTTATGTGTTATTACCCAGATACATATAGCACAATGTTAATCGAATTTGTCAATAATTGCAGTACTAAAAGAGGCCATGCTCTCTAGAAAAATATTCTCATCCCTTGTGTACACACACTATGTGACCAACCACACATCACTAAAATTTCCTTTTTATAACTGAATGCATAAGGTTCTTGTTTGTCAAAAATAGCTCTTTTCCCCATAAGCATGGTTATATATTCAATGTATATTCAGCTGCATCACCACATGATGGTTGTCAATGGTTGCAGGACAGCTTCGATCTGGAATACAATGCATGCTAGCCCTGAAAGCAATACACGTAGCAGGCACAACTCCCGCTTAGTAAGCTGTGTACCAATGTCGCAAGCCTTGGCGATTTCTCATTAGGGTATGTGCTTATGCATTTTTTTGATAATTTGTTGCATGATGTCAGTAGACCTGTTTTTTACCAATGTTGCTCTTTCAATATAGCTGCGTCTTTTAACCCTTTACTCAGAAAATTTTCTATGAAAATTGCACATAAACTGAATCGTGATTTTTTTATGGTGGGGGGGGAGGGAGGGGATTACGATAATGTGTATCAGTCGTAAAAGAGCTAGTGTTCTCTAGCAGAAAAGTAATTCAACAAACTGGATTAAAATGTCGCATGTATACATGGCATATTAATAATGTCATACATTAAGCTCCTATAGAACTGTCACAGAAAAGTGAGAAGACTGACAAAGACTGTATTGAGTTCCCAAGTGATTGACTCATTTTTACAATGCATAAACTTTGGTTATAATGCTTTGGTACGATTGTTGGCCTTCAACACATTAAATGTCAGCCAGCCTTTTGTGAGAACACCTCAGAATGATCGACTAACAGAAAACATGACTAAACAAAACTTTGCTGCGATTGCACACAGTTTCAGACTCTAAATGACACCGTGCCATTACCATAGCAAAACATTAGCAATGCTGCCAGATGCAAAGAACAAAGTTGTCAGCACCATTGTAAGTATTGAGCAGGACTTGCCAGGAAGGAGTGTGCCCGTAAACATTGCTGCTATTTATCATGCCTTCATCAAGATAGCATTCCACAGAGTAGCCAAATGTGCAGCCTTCTTTCCTACCCTTATTTTTCCTCACCCCAGCGTGGAGTAGCAAACAGGATAATCGCACCTGGTTAACCTTTCTGCATTTCCTCTTTCCAGGGTTTGTACACAATATCTGACTAATCATTCAAGGATTTCAAGGATTCTGGATTCCAAAGGCAAGAATTCAAGGAGGGACAAAATAAACTTTATCCACTTATTTGTAAGCATTTCATGAATTCTCAAATCTCCTTCTCAGCTACAATAGCTGTCTACAGTACCTATCTCAGTCTTGTTTCTGCTGGCTGTCATTTGGAAGCCATTTACCTCGGCAAACAGAGTTACATCCGTTTTTTTCAATACAAGTGTCAGCAAACTCGGTCAGATAGTTCAATCTCTTCTGGAGTTTGGACCTCTTTCTTATAGCGTATAAAGCTCCAAAACACATACCCTTTTGTTATTTGTTTTAGCATTTCCTTCCTCCATCTCTCGCACTTTTCTGAAGACTCGCTGCATCAATGCCTTGACTGCTCAACTGAAATCTTCATCGCTTTTGTAATTTGGACATAGAGCAGCCCATTGCTTTTTCTCACAAAATCACAGATAACGAATTGACTAAAAATAAGATGTATTATATGAAAATAAAGAAGCCAAGCTGCTTCCAGAGCTGGAAATTCAAACGAAGGCAGATAAAAATATGCAGACCGTGTGGTGCTGAACATGCAACCATGGTTGACAAGCTTTGCCTGGTGCGATTTTCATTTACAGACAAACCAAGTACAGAGGTACACGGTACTACTATTCTGGACACCGTTGAATTCGCCATCTTGTGACTTCATATTGCTCCAGAGGGCTGCTGCAGTCTCTCTGAGTGGTTTGAAATACTGTCATTACGGATCGCCTTCTCGTCACACTTTCTGCTTCTCCCCACTTTTACTGATACGCCCCGCCCACTCCAGACAGCTCGCAGCTGTGCAGACGCAGACACACACCAATTTTCAAGAAACCTGAAAAGCATATGCGTTTCAAAGGAGTCTCAAGGGTCCTTATATATAATATATATATATATATAAATCCAATGTTATTTAATGATTTCGTTGTCCCACTTACGAACCATCATTCCCTCAACAGGCATGATACCCCACCTATGAACACCTCAATAATCTATCCAGGTAATCACAAAGAGAGTAGGAGGGGCTGAAAAGCATATGCCTATGCCATGTTTTGCACACCAGAATTGTATTTACTCCAGGCGGACAGCCGACAGACGAGCCCCCATCCCACATTTCTCTGGTAATCACCTGTTCGTGCCAAAGCTCTCACATGAAGCACACAGACATGCTGCCAAATCGCCTGCTGTAGTAAAGAAAAAATGGAACCCAATGGCACAACTGTTTGGAGATCAAAACACGACGAAAGTCAAGGTGGCTACCTTAAACGTGCCCTTTCAATATGGTCACTCAGATTATGTACAAAGCCTTGTCGACAATGAACTATGCTCTGAAAAAGATCGTGACGGCAGCCACGATGCTCCAATGTGTTCTTCGGTTACTTTGTTTCATTTCTCAAAAGTGAAAACAGTGACGAAGAAAATGGCTGTGCCATTGAACACTGGCAACGCCAGTTGCACATGAAAAGCGACTGTGGCTGCAAGATATGACGAAGAGACAACACAGTATGCTGGGAATGACCTCAAAGCTGCCTGCTAAATGATTAGAATTGGTTTCCTTTAGCTGCCAAAAACCAATTCCGTGATGGTACTACAACATGGATGCCCGCAAGAAGCGAAGCTTGGCTGCGATGTCTGTCGTGTTGTGACAAATGAACGAGTAGTGTTATTCTTTCAGGAGAAAAGGGAGTTGCTAGCAGGATATTCTTTCAACTACATTATTCCCCGCTTGTAGAACTTCTAAACGTGTCTCCCGCCTTTTTTTTTTTTTTTAGAAGCGGCACGTCGCCGGTTGCAGAAGTTGGAATATTTCACCACCATGACGGCTAAGAATCTCGCGTGTTAAGCGACGGCGGCGACATTTCCCGAACCACCAAAAGTTATTTCTGCATATTTAATCACCCGAGAACAAAGTCTCCGGAAACTAAGTAAACAATGCTCAAGCGTAGATGATGCCGACCAGTCATGCAGCTGTCCGCGAGCCATGGAGGACATGCCGCGAGCAGACGAAAAGTGTACTGGTTGCCACCGACCCCAAGCTATTCCGCTGAAGTACCGGCTCTCCCCCGCCAGAATCCCGATGTGAGAAACAGGTTACGTATCTCAAAAGACCAGCAAAACCAAGAGAGAAAAAAAAAAAAAGATTGCGCCCAGCCAGGCAAGAAAGGGCTGGAAGGGTTTGGAAAGGGCACACCAGTGGCTCACGGCAGGCTCGTTACAGGAGGTTGCAGCGGGAGTTCTTCCACCACTTTCTCCGCCGCTTCGGATCCAGCTGTGGTGGTTGGTTTCTGTGAGAGTGCGGCCATTAAACAGCAGAGGGTCAGTAGGCACAACAGGTTCGAAGGGCCACACTCTTGAAGTGAACAGCTTTGTTTCTATGGTGCAAAAGCAACAGAAGCTATAATGTGCCAGCCACAAGGTAACCTTTTGTGGAAAAGGTAAAATGAAACGAACAAAAGAAACAAAGACTTATTTCTACTAAAGCTTTTGGTCTCTAAAAACGTTGAAATGTCATCTAAGAGGACTAGAGCTGTTTCGTTTGCACTGACTACAGTTCACGATAAATGGTGAACCCTTCATCATATACCCTGTTTCATGACTACTTCGCGGCCTCAAGTAGCATGCTACCAAAAAATTTTTGTATATAACAAATTAAGAAGGTTGGGCAAGCTTCTGCATGTTCATGTTGGTAAATGCTTATAAAAAGCGACGACGATATTGTAGCGATGCTGCCTCAGCATCGCTACAATATGAAGACACACAGGTGGAGGGAGACATAAGCATTGGATTGTAAACTTGGTCAACATTTCATCTTTGCACTGCAAGACAAATTTAAATAGGACAGACAGAAACCACACTGTGCTTCCTGCAGCGCAGTATTAAACTCAAATTGGCTCTCGCTCCAAGTAAACATTTCATGACATCAGTTGAGTGCATAAAAGCATGCAAGGTATGAACAATATAAAACTAAGATTTAGAACCGATAACAAATGGTGACACCAGCACAGTTAAAACATTTCGCAGCACTCACCTAATTATCCTCACCACTTCATGAAATGCAGCATCCACGTTGATAGGTGGGTCTTTGGCACTTGTCTCAATGTAGCTTATCTGCAAAAATCAAGAGTCAAGCTAAATAATATGCTTTAAGTTCTCAGAAATATGCACTATTGTATTCAAACCTGCATAATTTGAATACCTACTACTTTGTCGGACACACACACACACACAATGTTCAACTACCATAAAGATTCACACAGCTATGTGCACAAATATCTACATAGTGACCAATCTGTCTCACAGAGTTGGAGCAATGACTTATATAGTGCATTTGATACACTATTTTGTCACTGCGCTGAAGTAACTAGCTATACACCAATAACAGTAAGATTCAAAATGTTCTTTCAACATTATCATGTAAGTTCATGCCAAGAAGCCTTTCAGGTTCACGGCACACCAGTTAATAATAACCAGACTTGAAAAGGCCCCTGCATTGACTTTAGGTCTTGGCAAGATACAGACGAATAAAATTTGCTCCAATTTCTGGAGATGGGACACAATTTTCAATGCAGTTCAACCTTCTTTTAAAATAAAGTTCCAACATTGTGGCCACATTCTTCAATGGTCTTAATTTCTGTGCATGTATGCTGAACAATTGTGTCTTTGTCATTAAAAATGTACAATTATTGATATTATTATTGTAGAGTGCAAAGAGTAGAGAGTAACTGCATGAGTAATATGTATTGCACACTTTTGCTGGTGTAAAATGTATTTCAAATGTGCCTTTTAGATTTGGGAAAGGCTGTGCCTGCCGATAACTATAAGTCTAGAGGCGATTAGTAGGTTGTGCTAAAACATATACGTAGATAAAAGTATGCATATTATTTCCACCAACTGGGAAAAGGAACATCAGGGCTTACATCAACCTGAGTCAATGGAATACACATCATTTGTACAAATAGAACCCTTCAAGTAAGGCGTAATGTGCGCATCATTTCTGCGTTGATCCTAAAAAAGAAAACAGTGGATTAAACGAATATGGTAGGTTCATACTGTCAGTGTCATGCACCCATACAGTTATGCTTGCATGAAATAGAGTTGAAAGAAAAAATGGTAAAGTTTGCACGTACCGTTTGAGAGAGATTTGGGTTCTCGGAGGTGAAAATGTTTCACACCTAAGGGGCACCGGGAGCATCAATGCTAGAACCATGGCAATTAACAAGCAACCATAAATCACCCACAGTTATCTATAACTGGTTACAAACTAAGAAACAATTTAAGCTCCCCTCGCTGTCCCACTCTGAGAGAATTTGCATAGGTGCCCCCCGTCCAAGTGTATTTCCTCACTTACGTCATCACTCTAGTGCATTTCAGAAAAAGACAAACTTTCAATTCTTAATAGAATTTACATAAAATTTATAGAATTTACATTAGCAGTGACAAAGTACTCACGGTTAAGGTGGAAAGCACCAAGAACAACTTTCTTGCACAGATTAATGGCAGGCACACCAAAGTTCTAGAGGTCGAGCACATATATATATATTTTTTTCCTGATTTCTTTATATTGTAATAGACCAAAGGCACCACTTGGCCAGTGCCGCCGACTTCTTCATGACAAAATAGAAAGCCTATAACCACATGGGTTACAGACCTTCAGCTGCTGAGCAAGCTCTCGACCTTGCTCCTCCGAGACTCGTCGTAGGTGCACCAGGTCCACCTTGTTCGCCACCAGCAGCATGGGGTACGAATCGCGATCTTTGACGCGAAGAATTTGAGTGTGGAAGTGACCCATGTTGTCAAAGCTCTGTTTGTCTGTCACCGAGTACACCAGCAGGAAGCCATCCCCCTTGCGCATGTACTGCTCCCGCATGGCACTGAACTCCTCTTGGCCCGCTGTATCCAACACTGAAATAAACGGGCACATAATACTGCAATGAAAGAATTTGTGAACAGGGGTCGTCTGCTCAAGACAACGTTTCGACACGTAGACTTGTCTTCTTCGACACTAGAACCGATTTCCTTAGCACTAGCGTGTACATGCTTCGTACCCACTTCTCTAATCAGAACAGAGGAGGGAGAAGGCCGTTGAACTGTGGATGTAGGAATATGGGAGGGGGTCCTGACGAATTGTGTCGAAATGTCGCCTCAAGCACACCACCGCTCACTGATTTTTTTCAGCGTAACCTTCCTTCTTCCCTTCCTGCCGTTTTCTGGATTTCCACATAATACTCCATCCACATAAAGTTCACACACTATGCGCACAGACAAATGGCAGTAAAGCAAAGGATACAGAGTCAAATTGTTGCATATCCCACAACTAATGAATGCAGGCTCATAATTGTGTCTGTATTTTTCGTGCAACATATTTTCGTGCAACAAGTAGCGTTTTCAGACAGGATCCAGCCCACACTGGTGAGATATTAGTATTTGTCTTACTTTATACATTCTCACTTTGCACTTTTTGCAAGTCTGAGAAAGTCGTACTTTTTGCTGGTTCCTCAATGCTAAACGGCATCTATGGTGAAGTACAACGCTGAGTGCACTCAGCCATCACTTTCCGCAGTGGTACGAAATGCACACCAAACTACTTTGTGCAGGAGTATATATGCAAAAGTTGTGCCCTTGAAGGTTTTCCTTCACAGTAAAAAAAAATAAGCAATTATACTCTTAAACTTGCCTGTCATATAAAATGTAAAAAAAAGCAGACCCTTCCTTGCGAATTATACGCACACGTGCTATAAACACGATGTCTTCACAATATCTGTGGGGAAACACCCACTCCTCTTTTTTTTTCATACTGCCCATTAGTGTCTCCTTCATGGAGCGAAAGTGCACAGAGAACAGATATAGTGATCTGCATCCCCCACTTCATTGCACTTGGTGCACAATGAGAAAGGAGTTTCCCTTAAAAGCATGGAAGCTTGGGAGAGTTTGTAAGACATTAAGCAACAAATTGCAGCACAAATTGAGCTCCCATTAACTTAAACAACACAAGAGTGTAGGTTGATCGTGTTCTTACTCATGTATGTGAGACACACTGCATGGAAAGAGTGGCTCAGGTGAAGCAATTGCCGCCTGGTCTGCTGGGCTAATCCTGCCCGCCATCACTGGGTACCAGCTGGTTCTGACGCTACGTGAACCTTTACTCTAACGTGCAGATTAAAAAACTGAGACATCAAATTAGTGCTAGTTTCCCCCCATGTTCATTTATGTTCAACCTTGGCCCAGCTGGCAAACAGAAAAAAGCGGGGGGAAGGGGGGCATAAACAAAAGAACAGGTGAGGGGGGCGGGAACTGAACGACTGCGTGTCCTCCTCTGCACTGACCCTCTCTAATGAAATAAAAAGTCACGGAGACCACCATGCCTGGGTACCTGGCACCAAGAACCGGTCTGTGATGTCACATGAACACTATGTATAGTTCACACTTTAAAATGTGCTTCACCAGGTTAGTGCACAGCTAACAGACGCACATAAGGTGAAGGTCACATGACAGTTATGTCTGCAATGTAGTACACCAATTCACATAGGCAACGCAATTGAAAATTCAAACGCTTCTGCACTATTCTCCTCAACAGATCTACTGTTGCACCTAGTACAGACAACGTAACATGTCGTCAGCTGTTACCTAAACGTTGCACACTTGCTGCCTACAGTGCACAAGTGGCAGACAGCGACACAAGCTTGGAGACTCCAGTGGAATTGAGAGTACACGAGCATACTATGCAAACGCGTAACGCCGTAATAAAAGAACGAAAACAAAGATTCAAAGACGAAGGCTGCAGTGGCTCGGCCAATATCAGTAATACTAGTGTTGTTGGAAGACTCAGTGTCTGTTGTCACATCCGCGTTTTTTACATGGTACATAAGCTCTACTATGATGCAAACGCGTGGTGTTATGCAAAGATTTGCTTTACTGCGTGCAGTGTGTGTGGAAACACAAGTTTTTAGGGTATGCACTTGCACAAGGACGCATTAGAAGCCGTGCGGTCCAAGAAAGCGTAAATATGTTGTAATCCCAGGGAGGGTTTCTATGACGTGCGTATGTATCCGACTGCGCGAATAAGCATTCGATTCTGGTTGTGGGGAGGGTAGCCTTTATAGCTATTCGTGGAGGTTTCTGCGCATAAAACATCAATATGACTCCCCGAAAACTGATTCGCGAGAACTACGAGCACTTTGCGAATTACGGAGGCACCACAATGATGACTTTCACTTGTACTGTGTGCACTGATTTGCCCGAGCGCGCACAGCGCATGACTTACCATCTAGAATGCACCACTGGCCATCAATTTCGGTATGCTGTATATACGAATCTTCGATCGTCGGGTCGTAGTCCGTGACGAAAAGTTTCTGAAAGAACTGAATGGTCAGTGCCGACTTGCCGACCCCTCCGTCACCAACCACGACCAACTTGTAGGTGGTAAGGTTATCACTCGGAGGCTTGGACATTGTCATTGATGGTTCTAGCACAGGACACTCTCTCAAAACCCTAACCGCACCGAGAACACAGCCCTTGGCTCATCACAACAAAAGCAGTTTCTTTTTTCCACCACGGACGAGCACCGTACTGTTCTTGCACGAAACACCGAGGCCTCTGAAGCGATTAGGGTTAGACCCTGCATGATTTTGTCGCACATCTATTAGCCCAAGTTACATTTTTTATATAGAATGGCGCACGCGCACGATTCATGTTCTTCAAAGCAGTGAACCGGAAGCTTCTAAGCAGGCGCAGGCTGCCTCTAGCGTCGCGCGACACATAATCGCTGCACACCTATGTCCAAATGAATCACGCGCAGGGAGGCGATAGGAGCGACGGGAGGACTTATGGATGGATGGATTGATACATGACCTACTACACTCCTGACCTGTTCAGATAGCGGGGTTCCTATGGGAGCGCGTGTCCCCGCTCTCGTTCAATCGCTCGCCGTAGGTGGCGCTACCTATAACCTGTTCGTCTGCTTCTTTACGGTTGTTTTGTAGGCGCTGGTATAAGAATGCCTGCTTTCTGTGGTGAACTGTCGGCATATATGTGACTATTTCTTCCCATACATTGCTGGTCAAGTAAGCTGTTCAGTGCGCTTAAGAATTTATAGCACACTGGTTGACAAACGTGGAAACCCGTGGATTTACATGATTTTGGACAGCCTATGCGTTGTCGCGTGCATTTTATTGCAAAAAAAATTCTGAATGTCTTTTAGTATTATTATTTCTGGATATTTCTAAATTGTGGATCATAAATTCGCACTACGAGTGCTTTGTTGGTTAAAATTTGACTACAAAGAGTGAAGGTGACGTCAGCGAACAGGTGCTGCCTAGCGCCACGCCGCTCGTAGGTGACGGCCCTAGCGGCAGAAGGTATGAACTAGAACGTGGGCGCTGGAAGAGGTGCTCTCTGGGCAGGTCAGGAGTGTAGTAGGTCATGGATTGATATGGCTGTACCTCAGGAGTCAGAACACATATGGCTGTACCCTTTAGGGCGGCGGCTAACGCCATCTAGCCGTAAGACTTGGTGAACCAACAACTAAATTTATCTTTTTTTTTTCCCTTCAAATAGTGAGGTTGAAGACTGGTACTTTGCAGTGAAGAATTTAATTTTCACTCGTGCATTAATTTTAGCCACCAATCAGTTAACCTCTTTCTAGTTATTTCTACCCGCTTAAACTCTATTTTGCCCTCCCTGTCCCTAAACCCTAGTGCTTTGAAAAACTCTGCGCCATCATCCTGAACTATAGGGTGAAGCCCTTTACAGAACATTAGGTGTTCGGCAATTTCCTCTTCTCCACTCGCACTGCATACCGTGTCTACCCCTTCGTATTTGGCAAACGCGCACATGTATCGCCACCTGTGAGCAAGTTTTTCAGATAGCTACGCGTACAAGGCACAAAGGAGCAGACTAGAGGTAAACGGAATGAAACCCAAGTTTGCTTACGAAGTGTAAGAAAATGCCGTTGGTATCGCGAATGAATTTTCAGCAGACGAGATGACACCCTTCCGAGCAAAAACGAGACAAACTGATCGATGCACGCCCCATTCAAGTTTCTTATTCCATGAAGGTATTGAGACGTCAGACTGGAAGTTCTCGAGTATGAGTGCAAACAACCTGCTCTGAATATACGTTGCCTCTGTATACAGGGGGAAGAAACATCTATAAAAATAATGGCAATCATTGCGTTAATATGAACTGGACAATGCACATCATCAGGACAAAATGTTTATTGCTGAATGTTTGTATAAACTTATTTATTTGTACGTGCCTTACTGAATGCAAAATTGGTGCTGTAAAAGTGCACTAAAGAAGCCTCTCAAAATACAGCTGCATTGCTTTGGTGGAGTTGAATGTCTTCAGATGTTGATGTACGTCCAGAACTTCAACGGAGCAATTGGCGGCTGCGTCTGTGCCTTGACTGGAGAGCCAGTTTTAAAGAGGTAGAATGCCTTCCCTTCATGGCCAGTGGTACGTGAAGCCGACAGCACCGATACACCACTTTTTACAAGTGAACCTGAAAGAATTAACACCAGTCTGAGTGAGCAGAAAACTGAGCAAACATGAAATTTGAGCATATATGCTAGACTCCGATTTGCTATGCAAATGCCCCTTAATTGGAATTTTGATTCTAGAAAAACCAGCGTTTTCAGTTAAGAAAGTGTGGCAGCATTTACCCACGAATAAAAAAAGAAAAGAGAGAATATAATTATATAGTAGTTGAGAATGCAGAGTTTGAGTAATAGCTTCCCAATGGGTTTGTTGAAATATGCCGCTGTAACACTTGCTGGTTGGCTCCATGGGTCAAGTAATTGTTTTTGTTCGGTTAAACAGGCACATCTTTGAGAGAATGTTGACTACAGCACGAAAAGTGTTCTGTTCACCGTGTGACAATGTAAGAAACACACCTATGCATTAATTTTATATTAGCCTGAAGAAAATCTCTGTCTGAGTGGGAGACAGTCAAATGTAAAACTAAAAGGAGAGCAGAATACGCATATATAACATGACCCTGCGCTGTATGAACACTTATTGCTAATGTTTGTAACACGGCTAAAGAAGTGTGCAGGCATTTATGCTTTTTCTTTTTTAAGCACTGTTCAATATCATAACATTGCAACAATTAACTGTTGTACGTCCCACTGTGATCCTGCTGACATACACAGGGTGTTTCTTTTTATACAGAACAGATATTTTATCAGAGTCCTATGACGTTAAGGCTCCTGTAATTTTCTCGCACGAACTCTATGTCGAGGTGGAAATAATTTGCCCCAGATAAAATGACAGTGTTGCAACTAATTAACAAAAATATGTCAATCTTTAATGTATCACATAAGGGCAACTGTTTACATTAAATGTTTGTAGTGCATGACAATTTGTGGCATAAGCATAACGATTTTATAGAAATCACAAAATTTGCACATATTTAGAGATATTTAGCATTGAAATTAAAGGCAATATCAAAACCGATTGTGTCCGGCGTGCACGAAGCACTACAGCTCTACCCGTAACAGCTCTACAGCAACTACCCGACAAGAAAGTGACGAAATTTGTTCAAAGGTCCATCATAGCCATACCTGTTTAAGAAAATCGAGAAGTAACCTCTGTTGCAACTGCAGATCATTTTACCTATCATGCGGTGTCTGGTGCTTAACAGTTTCCTTGAACTGTGTACAGGTAAACTGCAACTCAGCAGCAAGTGTGGTGGAATTTCTTGTAGACAAGAAAAATAGTTTTTCGCACCTTTTCACATTTCTTCAAATTGCACCGAAAAAAGAAGCTGTCTAGTTGTGTGTTGAAAATGCACATGCCCTTTATAATAAAGCTAGTGAACGAGGACGACGACATGACGGAAAGACTCTTGTGCCGTTTGTGGCCTGTGTGGTGTTAAGTAGCCTGTGTGGCATTCGAGTAAGCCTGTGTGGCACGAGTTTTATCATGTGTGAGTTAACTATCCTTTTTATCACGAGGTCGAAGTTAACATTTCAGAAGTGGGATCGTCATCCAATTGCCACGGTGAGAAAATGAGTTTGGTCAGTCTACGAAGCCTGTTAACATAAGCCTAATGGATTGCACTAACGAACAAGTCAGCCCGACTGGTGGTGAAGATGCGGACTCCGACCACAGAGACAAGATCACAGCTTGTGAACGCCAATGTTCCAGGTAATTCCAGACTTGAGCCACAATATCATCCTTTCGGCGGCTCCGAAGATGCTCCTTCAGTGCACGAGTGGATCGAGAATATTTGTAAAACATTGAACCTTCACAGGTGGCCAGCTGCGTACACCCTGGAAACAGCCAAGGCGCGAGTGATAGGAGCTGCCAAGGACTGGTACTGTTCAAGAAGTTCCCAGATTACATCGTGGTAGGAGTTCGAGACACGCTTCCGTCAGACCTTCATCAGCCAGACTCGTGTTGCAGAACGGTGGCACAGGATGCTAGAGCATGTGCAGCAGTGTAATGAGAGCACGGCCATCTACTTCCACTCTAAGGTGCGTCTTTGCCACGTACTCAACCTGGACTTCAATGATACGTGAGAGCAAGTTCTATCGGGGCTGAGGTCGCGTGAATTCCGCATCATGCATGCTCTTGGGTCGGACACATCACGATAACGACGACCTGCTGCACGACATCTTGGTGCTCGAACGCATCAAACTGGAACGATAACTGGTTTTCGGCACATGCAACCGAAGCCTAAAACCACCTTCAGATTAAGAACATTGCCTGCCCGCTACCAGGACAAGAAAATTGACGACCGACGCAAACCAAGGAACGAAACGACGCCAACCATTGGCGCACGTCCACCGACACGCCACACCTGAGACCGAAGTTTACGTGACAGGCCGTCGTCTGCTCTCAACGGAAAGCGCCCCAGTGGAAGCAGACGACGCCCCAGGTCTACAAGAACTGGAAGTCGTACTTGATGCGACCTTCAAAGAACACGTGATCCCGTTTTTCAAACAAGCCCTGCCACATGTCGAGAATTTTGGAGACAGCAAAGCACCAACAACAAAGGAGGGAGAATATATGAAGTCCGAGATGTCTGCTGGAGCAATGAGAAAGCCAAAAGACAAGGACGAAGGCAAAGCCCAGGTGAAAGAAAAGCAAATGAACTCACAACCTGGTGCTGCGAGAACATACGGCGAGGCGGAGAGATTGAAAGTAAATCCAACAGAGAAAAAAAACTGCACGAAAATGCAGCGAAAAAGAAAAACAAAGAAGACAAAGAAACAGCCCAGGAACAAAAGGAGACTCGCAAGGAGGAGGGCCAGGTTGCAGAAGACGAAAAACCGAAAGACCAGCGGAGCCAAGACGACAAAACAAAAGACAAGCCGCTGGAAGAATCGGGAAAAAGTGCTGGAGAGCAGACGCAAAGAAAGAAGAACGAACAGCCCTGGACCAACCCGAACGAAGATAGTGAGCCGAAACAGCCAAAGCCAACAGAACCAGACTACACTAAGAACATTGGTAATGCCAGAGCAAATCCGAAAAAAGCACCGCCGCCGCAGAGAGGCCAACAAAAGTCGAAGCCCGAGCTTGACTAAGTAAGCATCAATGCTACTGCCATCGTGCGTGTTGTGGTTTTCTTCAAAGTCAAACCAGTCAAGATGGCCGGAAGTTACGACATTCCTTTGAAAGTTTGCCGCTATGAACGGGCGAACTTCTGTGTGCCGTGAAGAGCTTCACGCGTCAATGTATAGGCATAGCTAATTTCTTGTGTTATTGGCTTGTGTCTTGTTTATATTGTTTCTATCGTGTGTGAATCAAAAAGTAGTTTATTGGCATGGCTGAGCATTTGCATAAAAAAGCACTTACGGTAACTTTGCCAAAAG